CCACATGTCGCCACACCCCTTGCCCCACCCCTTACCTAGCTACCATCTTACCCACACAAACATCGGTCCGTACCCCCACCCCATCCCCCACAGCAACGCCAAACGAACTAAGGAGCACTTCGTGGAACGTGTATTTTTACACATCCTAATAAGTAATTTCACCTGTAACTGTTATAATTAACACGTGGTATTGCATGATAAAAAAAAATATACTAAAACTTTTAAGTATTTTAAGCTTAAACCACTAAAGTTATGTTACAGACATACACTAAAAACCAGAAGTATAAAAACCCATAGTTCTTGCATACGAGTATTTTTTTCATAAGCAGTTAAAAATTTTTGGTAACCAAACAAAAAAAACCACTCACACAAAAAACAACACTGAAAGTGGGCTGAACGATCAAATATTCGTTTCACGAGGTACAAGTGCACGCTGTTATTAATAAAACACGATCAATTATCGTTTGATTGGTAATTCGGTGGGCGAGTGGCCATCGATTTGAAAGAAAGAATATTGGCTTTAGGGAGGTTCTCAATCCTGGAAGTCTGACCAATTGGACAGAGGGCCGTTCTCAATCATTGAAGTCTCGACTTGAATCTAGGGAGATTCTCATGCCATGTAGCGTGAGGGCCGACTAGATTCCCCAATGGCTACAATGGCTACAGGGGTAGCCTAAGATCTGCCAGACTGCATCTGTCGCCCTGTTTGATGTGGTAGCTATGTAGCACAAAACGACAGACCGACTGTTTGTACGGCTCACAAGATATTTATTTTTTGCTCTATAAAACTGTATTTTCATTGTGTTAAAATTTAAAATAAAAAATGATGTTTGTGTATGGCTCATGGTTATATATTGGTGCAAGGGATGAATTATGTGCAGATCCCATGTATATGCTGTGAACACCAACGTACATGTGCATAAATAAATAAATAAATAAATAAATATATATATATATATATATATATATATATATATATATATATATATATATATATATATATATATATATATATATATATGCAGAGGCGTAGCCAGGATCGTCTCAACGGGGGGTTCCAATTTTTACCCGGGGACAAACTTTCGATTTGTACCCCCCCTCATAGTTTATAATATATAGAGGGGTCTATGGGGGGGCGGTTATGACCCCCCTAACCCCCCTGCCTACGCCACTGTGTGTGTGTGTGTGTGTGTGTATGTGTGAGTCTGTGCTTGTTTGTGCAGGGTCACACGTATGCGTTGGTTAAATAAATAGTTAATAAAAAATATTGAGTAACCGTCCCTGGCTAAAAAAAAAAGATAGTTTCAACAATTTTACGAGCCTTGTTTTATTAGGTTTAGCAACACTATGGCCAGGAGCTGATAAACTAGACTCTATTACTAACAGCTACATCGTGGTGTGTTGGGCAGGGAGGGAGGGAGGGGAATTAACTGGCAATATAACAATAAAACTCAACAGCTGCTGTACTCAGGGTTTTAAAAGTTAGACTGATAAGGACAGAGCTCGCCAAGGGAGTTAATTTATAATTATAAAAAGGGAGATAACAATAATTAGCCTTTTTTGTGTGTTACCACTTGAAATTTCTTTGGGTAATGAAAATGTGATGACATCTTCGGTATTTAGTCGAGTAGGTTGAGGTGGGAATAAAGGTGGTCTATAGGAATATAGAAAGAGAGATGGTCGAGAAAGGTGGTATAGAAAGGTGGTATAGAAAGGTGGTATAGAAAGGTGGTATAGAAAGGTGGTATAGAAAGGTGGTATAGAAAGGTGGTATAGAAAGGTGGTATAGAAAGGTGGTATAGAAAGGTGGTATAGAAAGGTGGTATAGAAAGGTGGTATAGAAAGGTGGTATAGAAAGGTGGTATAGAAAGGTGGTATAGAAAGGTGGTATAGAAAGGTGGTATAGAAAGGTGGTATAGAAAGGTGGTATAGAAAGGTGGTATAGAAAGGTGGTATAGAAAGGTGGTATAGAAAGGTGGTATAGAAAGGTGGTATAGAAAGGTGGTATAGAAAGGTGGTATAGAAAGGTGGTATAGAAAGGTGGTATAGAAAGGTGGTATAGAAAGGTAGTATAGAAAGGTGGTATAGAAAGGTGGTGTAGAAAGGTGGTATAGAAAGGTGGTATAGAAAAATGGTATTGGCCGCGAAAGGAGGCATAGAAAGATTATATAAAATAATTGATCTTAAGTTGACCAAGCAAGGGGAAACTAAACATTCGCCATCGTCTTAAGTTACACATCGTAGAACATACTGTGCCTATTCACCATCACTTGCACACATTTATTTTTGAATGAACAAATCAACATAACGCTAACCTATTCTTCTTTTAGAACATTATTGGTGTTTCAGTTTTAAAACTGACGCCACCCGGTGTTAATAAAAAAACATCGGGAATCGATCCTGGTTTTGTAGCGAGCAACTTGGCAAATCTGTTCACAGTTTGCTTTAATAAAATATCGATTTGGTTAACAGAAATCCGCCAATTAAGAGGATTAAATTAGTGATTAATAACTGATGATTGAAATTTAAAAATTCGAGTTTATAACAAAAATGACTTACACCACCAATTTACTGTAGCACGAAAGCTAAGTTAGAACTGATAAAGAGAGGTGCTCAAACAAAATTTGTTCAAACTTTTCAAGAAACTAAACATACAGGGTGTTCAAATCGGTAGTGTGTAGAGTATATTTCTTTACTGCTGTGGTGTGTAGAGTATATTTCTTTACTGCTATGGTGTGTAGAGTATATTTCTTTACTGCTATGGTGTGTAGAGTATATTTCTTTACTGCTGTGGTGTGTAGAGTATATTTCTATACTGCTGTGGTGTGTAGAGTCTATTTCTTTACTGCTGTGGTGTGAAGAGTATATTTCTTTACTGCTGTGGTGTGAAGAGTATATTTCTTTACTGCTGTGGTGTGTATAGTATATTTCTTTACTGCTTTGGTGTGTAGAGTATATTTCTTTACTGCTGTGGTGTGTAGAGTATATTTCTTTACTGCTGTGGTGTGTAGAGTATATTTCTTTACTGCTGTGGTGTGTAGAGTATATTTCTTTACTGCTATGGTGTGTAGAGTATATTTCTTTACTGCTATGGTGTGTAGAGTATATTTCTTTACTGCTGTGGTGTGTAGAGTATATTTCTTTACTGCTGTGGTGTGTATAGTATATTTCTTTACTGCTTTGGTGTGTAGAGTATATTTCTTTACTGCTGTGGTGTGTATAGTATATTTCTTTACTGCTTTGGTGTGTAGAGTATATTTCTTTACTGCTGTGGTGTGTAGAGTATATTTCTTTACTGCTGTGATGTGTAGAGTATATTTCTTTACTGCTGTGGTGTGTAGATTATATTTCTTTACTGCTGTGGTGTGTATAGTATATTTCTTTACTGCTTTGGTGTGTAGAGTATATTTCTTTACTGCTGTGGTGTGTATAGTATATTTCTTTACTGCTTTGGTGTGTAGAGTATATTTCTTTACTGCTGTGGTGTGTAGAGTATATTTCTTTACTGCTGTGGTGTGTAGAGTATATTTCTTTACTGCTTTGGTGTGTAGAGTATATTTCTTTACTGCTGTGGTGTGTAGAGTATATTTCTTTACTGCTGTGGTGTGTAGAGTATATTTCTTTACTGCTGTGGTGTGTAGAGTATATTTCTTTACTGCTGTGGTGTGTATAGTATATTTCTTTACTGCTTTGGTGTGTAGAGTATATTTCTTTACTGCTGTGGTGTGTATAGTATATTTCTTTACTGCTTTGGTGTGTAGAGTATATTTCTTTACTGCTGTGGTGCAAGGATGTACTGGCTATTTCCAAGAGGTCCGGGAAATTTTAAAAAGGAATAGGAATCTCCCCTAACCCCAGGTTGAAATTTTCATCATGTATTTTTTTCTCCATCAATGACTGAATTTTACGTTTCAGTATGAAGGAATGGTAATTTGTACTGGCCGAGCTATGCCGGTTCATAAATAAAACACAAATCCTGAGCGTTCATGTTCCTTTGTTATGGCGTGCATCCAACCAGGGGGGGGGGAGCGTGTCACCACTGAGTGCAGTGTGTATGCAAATAGCTCTGGTACCGATGCCCCCCACATACACACACAAATAGCTCTGGTAACGATGGACCCCCCCCCCACACACACACACAAATAGCTCTGGTACTGATGGACCCCCCCCCCCCCCCACACACACAAACTATAGTACATTGTGAGTACAAGTAGTTCACTAGTTACACCTGTTGTATAACGGTACCGTTACGGACAATAAAAAAGTGGTCGCTTATAGGACTGAATATTGTAAGATATATAGGGTTGGCCACTAGTAAATGTAGAGCCGCACGTATATAGATTCTTGTAGGGCCGCACGTTATAGATTTGTGTAGGGCCGCACTTATATAGATTTGTGTAGGGCCGAACGAAGATATATAGTTGTAGGGCCGCATGCATAATGCTTAAGTGTAGAGCTTATGCACAAGACGAACATGAACTATTTAGTTATTATATTAGTGGCGTGGGGTGTGAGTGTTGTCACACTTCTGTGGCGAGAGTGGAGGAGGTGGTGGTGGTGGTGGTGGTGGTGGTGGTGGTGGTGGTGGGGGGGGGGGGTGCGGGGTTGGTGTTTTGAGACGACGCGTGACGATGGCGAGGGGTGAGTTCGGTCCAGAAAAAGTGTAACGACACACGTATTGGCTTTTTAAAAAATATATTTTTGTTTGCATTTTAAAAATAATATTTTTTGCAAAATGTATTAAACATTGATTCGTATACTCGACTCTCTCCGAGCGCAGTAAGTAGTTAATATATACTTAACAAATCTCTTTTAAAAACAACAAAAATTGCTATTTTGATGGTTGTGGGGGAGGTTGATTAGGTTGAGGTGTGACGCCAGTTTAAGCGGTATTTTTATGAAGATGGGGAGGGGGTGACGAAAAGTAGTTTTTTAAAAGCAAGGCATTTTTTCAGGGGCGCCCCCTAAAATGTATAGTAAAACAAAGATATCCTACTTACAGTTTTGGAGGGATTATCCGTAATATCCAGACGGTATTTCTCCAGGATATTGTACGCTGCTTGACTGTGGGTATGGCTAAACGAACTCTGCATCACCTGCTCAATGTCTTGACCGTTGTGTCGCTCCAAAACCTCTCGCCCGCCTGGGTGGCGGTCAACGAAATCTGTGATGTCATACTCTTTACCTGCCCGGGTCACTCTAATCCTGGTAGGCTGAGGGCACCCGTTGGAGTCAGTGAGGCCCATAGTGTGACGGACACAAACTACAGCTTTCCCCTGAATTTTTCCACCCAACAGGTAGAGCGTTTGTCGCTGCGCCGCGGTGTCCCAATGGATGTGTACAAATCGACTGCTGGTTACATAAATACGCCTATAGCCAGCCAATAAAACACCGGTGCAGGGAAATCCGCATTATTTCCGAGCCAGCGATTGGTCGAACGGAGTCAATGAAATACGGTGTCACAAAAAACGCGAAGAAAAAATGTAGGACAGAAACGCCGGGAGATGTAACCACAGCAACACGGGCTATAAATAGTGGATACATTAAAGCATTAATTTACAAAAAAATAGATTTATAGAATTACGTTGTTATTTTGTAAACTAGTATTATGTGTAGGTTTATATACATTTTTTAAGTGACCAAGTGGTTTAAAGTTTCCGTTGAGAGTTAATTGTTTACAGTCGTTGGTTACCGTAAGCCTCAGTCACGTGATCGAGCGTAAACACGGGATGAATGAAGATCCAAAAAACATCAATAACTGATGCGAAAAAACCTCGGAAAAATATTGCTGTTTATTTTGTAGATCATTGCACATTTTCTTTACTTTCTATTGCCTTGAGTATTAAGCATGGTTTATTTGGTTTAAAAAAAAAGATATCGATAATTTGGCGACAGATGGGATTAATAGGCCTAAAATGGCTTGGTGTGTAAGTTTGTCTGAGTTAGAATACTAGATCTATAGTACTACAGTGACGCAGCAAGATTTTAACGATTTTTGTTTTCCATCTTAGAAGTTTGAGACCAGTGTTTCTTCCAGACTTTTTTCTCCGGGGGGGGGGGGCACTTGAAATCTTCGGGGGGGCGGTAAACTTTCTTCGAGGGGGCGGACACTGTTAAAAGTACATATTTTCTATATAAATTATATAAATTTCATTTCGTTCGGGGGGGGGGGGGGGGCGGTAAAAAATTTTCGGGGGGGCTTAGCCCCCCCGAAGAGATGCCTGGAAGAAACTCTGTTTGAGACAGTTATCAGACGGAATTAAGACAATGACATTAATAAAGTACAAATATAAAAGGAAAATTCCCAAAAAGTAAAAGTTGTAATATGCTAAAACAACTTTATTTGGAAGCAACAAAAGTCTGAACTTTAATCCTAGCAACTTAATTCAACTTATCTATTGCGCCGGATTGGTCTATATGGGGAGTCAACTTTACAAATATACTTCAATACAGCTTAGTGTTATTAGTTGAATGTGATATCGCACCATTGATGTCATAGAAGTTACATTCAGTCAGTTCTGTCACGTAAGTTACTGTCACACCAGTGATGTCATATATGTTACGTTCACGTCAGTTCTGTCACGTAAGTTACTGTCACACCAGACATGTCATTGTCATAGAAGTTACTGTCACGCCACTTATGTCGTAGCAGTTAAAGTAACGCTGTCAATGATGTACAATCGCACCTGTTCCAAATGTGACAACCTTAAACTAACTCGGCAAACAAAAAAATCTGGCCTGTACCCTATAAATAAATTAATATCTGACGAAGACCGAAGAGCGAAACAGCAATTGCTATGCATTTAAAAACCCCACGAAACTAAAGTAGTTCTAAAAATGTATTTTATGCTTCACGTTGTTTTCACGTGGTTAACCACGCGACATGAATTAATCGTGAACAAGCTACTTATTCTACTCGCCTTACACGGCAAAAGTATTTCCCAATCGTCTTAAAAATAGCCGAGATCATGTGATCGCTACTGTTTACATTGAGCGCGTGAGAGCCGTAACGTCATCGATGACGTTGAACAAACTCGGGTACCAAAAATATCAACAAATCGCGTGATACGCCTGAGCAATAAAAGAGGGGGTGAGGTGGTGGTGGAGGATCGAAGTTGTTGCACAAGACCCAGACGACTAATTCGCGCCAGGGGTTGAATCAGACGATGTTGCAGACGATCTGTTACAGTCGTATTTCACTGGCCTTATCTGAGTTATCTCAGCCATAAAGGCTTGTCAGGGGGACAGCCCGACAACCACCACAGAATGGCGGGAAGAGGTGGGGAGGGGAGATAAACTCTATGTGGACGTGTAACTAAATAGAACAATAGCTAATCATACATTTATGATTTATAAACTTTATGCTATATTTATCTAAGTTCTACCCACATGACATCTCACTCTCCCCCAATGACATCCCAGTTCCTTCACATGACATGTCTCCCCAGATGACATTTCTCACCACATGACATATCTGTCTCCCACATGACATCACAGTTTCTCTAGATGACATCTCTCCACATGACATCCCAGTCACGCCACATGATATCTCAGCCTCCCCACATGACATATGTGACATATCTGTCTCCCCACATAACATATATGACATATGTGTCTCCCCACATGACATATCTCCCCACATGAAATAGCTGTCTCTCCACATGACATATATGACATATCTGTCTCCCCACATGACATATCTCTCCATATGCCTCTCCCCACATGTCATATCAGCCTCCCCACTTGACATCGCAGTTTCCCCTCATGACATCTCAGTCTCTCCACATGACATTTCAATTTCCCCAAATGACACATCAATATCCCCATAAAACATAGTCTCCTCCATGACATCTCAGCCTCACCTTAAAACCTGTCATCCCAATCACCCAAAAGACCTATCTTTGAACACGCCACAATCACCCACAAGACCTATCTTTGAACACGCTACAATTACCCAAAAGACCTATCTTTGAACACGCCACAATCACCCAAAAGACCTATCTTTTAACACGCCGCAATAATCCAAAAGACCTATCTTTGAACACGCGACAATCATCCAAAAGACCTATCTTTGAACACGCCACAATCATCCAAAAGACATATCTTTGAACACGCCACAATAATCCAAAAGACCTATCTTTGAACACGCGACAATCATCCAAAAGACCTATCTTTGAACACGCCACAATCGTCCAGGCCCGGATGTCGGATCTTTAGTCAGACTATCATCTTGATGTTTGCTGATAGTTCAAATAGCACAGACTTACATTGATGTGCCACGTCCGTCAGTTTTCTAGTTAATTGCTGATGGTGACGGGACAATCTTGTGTTTTTAAAAATTGACCAATCAAATAAAAAAATTAATGAAAATTGATCAATACTTCTTATCTTCAACTGGATTTACTTTAAAAAAAACACGTCATTATTAAATAGTGTGTAGCGATAATCTCGACTTAATCAGTTTGAGATCAAGGAAGTGCTTAGATCTATATCCGCCAACGATAGAGGAAATACGCAAGTACAGTATCTCATAGTATTTATTTTTTCCCCCATGTAAACCGAGATAACTCCAATAATATTTTTGACAAAATTCACCTACCTTGGTTATATCCCCTTACAAAAAGGGGGAAACAAATGGGAGTTCCTTCTAGAGTGAGGGTCTGATTTTTTTTTTGTCAGGGAGAAGGGCTGGGACTGTGGGTTAAAATTCATCCTATGATCATGTTGTGGAACCGTGAAAGCTGCTCATTATGTGGGCAATAAACAAAACCAAGGCAGCTTTCTGTAATTCACCTATATTATTAAACAATTATGATATTGAAGACAATATGGAGATATAAAATCAAGACAACTTTTGGTGTGTTAAATTAAAAAAAAAACTGCGCCACTTTAAAGCATGTGTCAACACCTAAGAAAAACTCAACTTCAACCCTAGTGGCGTGTTTGACCAGACAAGAACCCTTATCCAGGTAATTTTTTTAATGTGAAAAAAAGATTAATCATTTTTTAAACTGCCTGTTACTAAATAAAACAAATAGAAAAAATTATATAATAATAATCTTTTAAATTCTCTGAAAATAACAATATAAAAAAACCTTGCTTTTTTAATGAGATCTCTAACATATTTTAGCAACCAAGCATAATTTCTTATTCTCGGCACATTTAAAAGCTTATTAGAAAGTTTTTAAATGTTTGTTTTATGTTCCACTTTCCAATTGAAGTTGACTTCACATAGGAAAGGACAAAAATATTTGTGCTTTTGTCCCATTGTGATATTTTTTACATTCGGGCAAACATCCACTGGTTTTACATTCGGGCAAACATCCACTGGTTCTACAATCGGGCAAACATCCACTGGTTCTACAATCGGGCAAACATCCACTGGTTCTACAATCGGGCAAACATCCACTGGTTCTACAATCGGGCAAACATCCACTGGTTTTACAATCGGGCAAACATCCACTGGTTCTACAATCGGGCAAACATCCACTGGTTTTACATTCGGGCAAACATCCACTGGTTCTACATTCGGGCAAATATCCACTGGTTCTACAATCGGGCAAACATCCACTGGTTCTACAATCGGGCAAACATCCACTGGTTTTACATTTGGGCAAACATCCACTGGTTCTACATTCGGGCAAACATCCACTGGTTCTACAATCGGGCAAACATCCACTGGTTCTACATTTGGGCAAACATCCACTGGTTCTACATTCGGGCAAACATCCACTGGTTTTACAATCGGGCAAACATCCACTGGTTCTACATTCGGGCAAATATCCACTGGTTCTACATTCGGGCAAACGTCCACTCCTTCTAACAGCCTTAATAGGTAACTCCATCTGTTGATTTCAGTGTGCCTGGTTCAAAATACAACACACAGTGCATACAAAAGTGCACCCTGTCTGTTGACAGGAGGGGAAGGTGGGGGGGGGGGGGGAGGTTCTAAACCACACAACCCCCCCCCCCCCCCTTCCTACACCACTATATAAATTATAAAGGCAAAAAACAAGCTTGATACCAAAATAACTATTTTATTATTGTAAACATTATACATTTATGATTGTTTTTACTACACAGGATGAGCAATGGTAACTGGAGATTCTTACATTAGCTTGTTTTTAATTTGGAAATAATATTTTATATGATCTGACAATCCATTCAAAACAATGGTTTACAGTGTAAAAGAACAAACATGTTCTCAGAATAAAAGGAGATGTGCTGTGGTTTAGATGGATGCTATAGGGCAAGAGAAAACAAGGAAGGCAGAACAAAACATGGAGAAGATCCACACAGAAGATTGCTGGGGAATGAGTTGAAGAATAGAAGCTTAATGTTTAAAAAAGTGAAGGCTATAGCTAGAGACAGGTGATAATAGTATTCAATTGCTGATAACACATGCAATGGGCAATGAGAAGTGAGAATGAAAGGAAAAAACAATACATTCAAACAATTAAATGTAAAAATTTTAGTAGCAAAGTATTCTACATTAAGTGATTTAAAAAATAAACTGCATGTGAGTGTTAGACAAATCCTCAGATTTGTGCATTAAAAATTTGGTAGAGTATAATCAATTGTTGGGGGCATAGACAGTTCTGTATATATTTACAGTCTAAACAATATCATCATCTTAAACTGAAAAGATTTGAACAATTCACATAGTTGAACACATCTGGGTCATTACAAGAAAATAAAATGTACATAGTAGGACCAGCACCTACAACACTGGACACTGGTCAAGCAGACATATCATTACAGGGGCTAATTAACAATAGTGCTCTTTAGAGGGAAATCAGAAAAAAAATCTGGCATAGCTAATGCTGGGCCATATGCCTGTTTGGTTCACTGAGCACCTAATGTGACCAGAGCAAGGAAAAATATTGGAAGTTTGTATGTTGTAGCACCAAGACCATGGGCTGTACATGCTTGAAAAATTATCACTAAAAGATGACCCTGTACTAAACAATCATAAAAATAATGCCAGCTTCTGGAAATATATTTGATATAAGATTAGACAAAAATCTTTGAATGCCCTTAGAAGAGTACTGCAAAATCATGTGACTATTGAACCTAATGTACATCAAAACAAAAAGTTGAGTACATTGGCAAACATTTTATGAAGCAAAAATTGTGTGCATTAAAACTGTAAGTATTGTTTTATGTGCTTCATAGTTTATGTAATATGTGGCACTTAGAAGTAATCAACTTTATAGCATAAAGATAATTTGCTTATAAAAATTATACACTTAATTAACATCAATTATTTGTCCATTTCTAATCTACAAAAAATGAATCTATAAATGTTTGCTTTTCATTAATACGATTTGTATGATCACAATGTTGTACTGATTCTCAAAAAACAAATACAAGGAATGCCCTTAAAACATAATGTCAATAAAATACAAGACTGAAGTACTGTTAGCAACCAGTTTTAACTTTTATAGTGCAAACAAAAAAAACAACAACAATATTATTAACACAATTCCTATAAGGAAATTCCATTAGGTAAATACAGAACAATGTTTTGAAAGATTTCAATGTCAAATAAACACACATGGGATTTCTTAAGATAAAAATTTCAACCCTAGCCCTTTATTTAAAGTTTAACCACCGTAAGAATCTAGATCTATTTAATTTTTCCTTCTTCTACTAGCAGAAGAATTATTAGCAACAATTTTCTTTTTTCTCCCAGTTGCTTTCTCCATTTCATCATCTGTTATCTCCCCTGCTTCATCACAATTTTTGTTGCCAGATTTTTTAACAACTCTGTTTTGTTTTTCCTTTTTAGTTTTCTGATCAACTTCCTGTTCCTCTTGTTCTGTGTTTTTATCTTCAGTTTTCTTGGCTTTTCTGCCCCTAGTTTGTCTGGCTGGCTGTAACTCTTCAGTCTTCTCTGTCCCTACATCATCGGTGTTAGCAAATCTTTTAGATTGTCTTGTATTTTGGCCACCTTTTCCCTTTGGCGGGACTTTAACCTGATCATTCAAGTTTTCAAATGCATCTTCATCCTTCACATCAACCATAAAATCTTTACCTGATTTCTTCAGACCCTTTTGTTTGTTATCACCAGCTGGTGTTTGTTCTAAGGCCTTAACCTCTGACCCTTCAGGTTTTATGACTTCCTCAATTAACTTTTCCTGTTTCTGCTGTCTTGGCTTATCTCCCTTAGTTGTCTGCTCTTGCCTATTGCGGGGCCAGGAATGTTGGACATCAACAGCCACCTCACCGTCTGAGAAAGTTTCTTTTTCCTCACACACCTCCTGCACCAAGGTTGGTTCCTGCAAAGTCCAGGTCAAGAAGAACACAATAAAGTCATTTCATTCCTGAGACTAAGTAATAGTTTCAATAAACCATTTACAAAATCATTTTATTTAAAGAATTCTTTAGTAACAAAAATACAGCCTTTAAATGATTTAATATTACAAAGTGAAGCTATATGTTCAGAGAGATCAAATAAAGTGTTACAAAAAAAAAACATGACCAAAAAAATAATTAGGAAAAAAATAGTTTGCTACTTTTAAAAAACAATACTTAAATATTTAACAAAAATCTCCAAATACAAATGTGTGCGTAAATAAAAAGAAAAAATTGAAATCACAAAAAGGATATGCTGGAGCACTCCCCATAGTTTAGGTTCTAGTTAAAAAAACAAAAGCTTAGGTGCAAATCAAATCTTTTAATTGTAGAGATCACATTTTGTTTTAAAGTTACCTGTAAAAACTTTTTATGCAGCCTTTCTTTAATCAGCAGTCCTCTAATTAACTTGCGCCAGTTACCATACACCCTACTGTCTTTTTTCTAGAAAATTAAAAACAAAAATAATGTAAACAACAAAAGAGGAGTTGTCACACTAGTACTTGCCTCCTACATCACACAACTGACCACTAGTACTGACCTCCTACATCAGACAGACACAACTGACCACTAGTACTTGCCTCTTGTTCTCTCTGCTGCTGAATCTCCTGATCTTCCAGCCAGGCTGTCATCAGTGTGTCAGCAAATTCTTCACACACCACCCAGCCATCCATCCTATGTAGGACAACACATGGTACAATTATTTTGTCAATTTAAAATATTAACCATTCAAATCTAAACAACATCATTTTTTAGGAGTAGAAATAAATTATGTTTGAATATGGATGCTAGTAGCTTTGATAATGAAAAATAATAAACTTTAAAAAAAAGTATATATTTTAAAATTAAATCAAATATCCTTCTATTTGAAATGTTAATACCAATTTACTTATAAAAATTTATAAATAATAAAAACAATAAAAATAAAAAGACATGATTATTTGTTTGATAAATAAGAAAAAGCTCAATATGGTGTGTGACTAACATTGCATGTGGCATGCCCCGGTGATAATCCCATCCAATCATAGCTGGTGCTATGTCTATCCCAAGTTTCTTAGCAACTCTCTGTAAGCCTTGCCCTACACAACATAAATTTTTTTTATGATTACTGTGTATAAGAAGAGACTATATCACGCCAACTTGAGACAGTTCTAATCAACAGTCACTGAGCTTGTGTTTACCTCGAAGTTGGACAGTCCCAGATGGCAACATCCAGGGTTTGAACAGTTCAACATTTCCATATTCATTTCTTGGAACTTTTCCCTGTGGGAGACAGCAGTTTTATCATGTAATATGGTCTGGTAGATTTATATTTCTGCTAGAATTTAATTCTATGTTCAACATTAAAATATTAGCAGAGAACTTGTGTATCTAAATCTTAAGTAAGTGCTCATAAAACAACAAATCTACCGTTTTATAAGTGATAAATTAAGTTTAACCATGTTACAAGGTTTACTAATGTTTAGAAAGTTTTGAGTTATAGTTTTCTTGTAAAACATACAAACGAACAGGTGAAAACAATTGTTTTCACAGTTAATTAATGAAAAAGTTTCAAGAAATGTACAATTTAGAGTATGTACTTTATGATGAAAGAACATTTGCTGAATCCATTATGTGAATAAATTTGTGCAATATATGTGACACTAAATTTTTTTAAAAAAGTACTCACATTATAAGCAGGAGGGGGAATATATTTATCTGTCTGCCACTCTCCATACAGTTCCAGGTCCAATTCATCAGGGTTGTCTTTGGGTTTGTTCTTTTGGGGGCAAAATATATTTTAATTGTAACATAAGTAATTTGATAATTGTATAATTATTTATTTAAAAAAATGTTTGGATACGTACCCACTTTGGTCTGGATTTAACCATTTTGTAAGGCTTTTCATCCAGCTGAAAGTATAACATGGGACACATAGAGATGTATTTTTATTTTAGAAGAAATGTGGCAGATAAATGTTATATTTTTAAGGACATGCTACATAGGCATTATTACAAAAATAACTGTTCCAGCAGACTAAGGTAAAAAATAAATGAAAAGTAAACAAAACTAACAAAAAAATAAATAAAAAGTAAATAAAACTAACAAATAAATAAATAAAAAGTAAATAAAACAAACAAAGACAAGTATAAAAACTAACCCGAACAAGGCGCCCTTCCTTGAGCCAATTGACCCTGGAGTGTAGCTGTGAACAGATTTAGTTTTAGAAACTGAAGGGTACACATTTTAATCATAACATTGTTCAAGTTTGTTCTTTTTTTTTAAAGTTCACTTTAGAGTGTAATTTGTGTATGAGTGTGAGTTGATACAGAGATAGTAAAAATGGTAAGTAATAATGTTGTAAACTGTTGTGTAAAACTTTTAAAATACTGCTCTATAAAATTAATAAAAAATTTGATGTAAAACAGGAAATAAAAAATTCTAAAGATGTATCTTCTTAGTCCAATACAAAAGGATATTAGGGTTAGATGTAAGCAGAGGCTGTGAAGTGGCAGTGTTGTGAGAAAACTTTCAGTTCTGACATATTCTCTTGAGAAAACTTACAGTTCTGACAAATTCTCTTGACAAAACTTACAGTTCTGACACATTCTCTTGCATAGACTGGCTCTTTCTTAATGTAGCCTACAGGAATGGATGTGTCAGGGTAGATAGCCTCAAACTTGAGCAGGTGGCGTCGGAGGGCATACCTTGGTCAAGGGACAAGTTGAAAACAGGTTATAGATATAATGGGATGGCCTGGTTAAGTGATAGGGAATACTATTGATGATCTAAAGATTTTAAGTTCTATTCCCATGCTAAAGTCTATCTCTGAGTCCACCCAACTGTACCTGATTCAGATGTGGTGATGATAGCACAAACTTTTTATAGGCAGAGGTCAAAGAATCACATGGACATCATCTGTCCTATGGACTATCAGTACAGAAAGGGTACTTGAATTTTTACAGAAAACTAAATAGGTTTGTACCCCAGGTTTACATAAAATTAGTCTTACTTACAAGGGATGGTTTTTAAATTCAGCAATGCTTGTAGGCATGGGACGCACCAACAGCTGGCCTGCAGCCAGGGAAAATTACAGAAATATACATTTATTACCCAATTATAATTTTTAAAAAAGCATTTACGAAAACAAATGCTACTGTTCTTACATCCAGAAGCTATAAAATTGTTTTACAATAGAAAATAGAAAACTAAATTGTGACATATATTCCTACCTTTGATTTCATCATCTTCTATTAAATTATCCTTAAAAGATGCTTTGTCAAAGATAAATAAAGTCTGCATCCACCATTCAGAGTCTACACGATTTTTCCTTGTAAATGACAGCCATTGTTTAGCATAGCGAGCAGTCACATCTTTAACACTACCATCTGTACACAAAGTCTTTACGTTATTATTATTGCCATTTTACAATTAATTTAAAATAAAAATATTTTTCAAAATTTTAGTTGAATAAATTTTAATGAATGATGAAATAGTAACACTAGAAAGGTTCTAAGTTTTTACTTGCCATTTTTAAAACCTAAGACGTAGGTAATTGGTTGTGTGGCTGAATTTTCTAATGAATACGGCTTTCCAAACTGTGACTTAAACAGGTCAAAACCTGTTCAAACAAAGTAAAAACAGAACAAAATAACACTTGTAAATTAAAATAAATCATTTCAAAAATAAAAATGTTTACATAGACTGAACTATTAAAGCAAAGACATAGCTTATAAGTAGATTCCAATATGGAAACAACTTACACATCCATTTATTCTTTTCAGGAAAATAAATCTCTAGCCAGAAGTCATGACCTGGTTAAATAGAAAGTTGTATTGAGAGAATTATAACAACTTTACACTGTGTGTGTTTATCTGTGTAAGTAATAATGTGCAATTTGAAAATTTATATTTAAGACTGAATTAAGATAATTATAAATTTTATAATGTCCAGCTATTTATACTACCTTTCCTAAAACCTAAAGATGGCTATATTAAAGATAAATTACAGATAATGTTTATAACTGCCCCAAAAGTAATGCTAAATTGTGTATGTATCTTCTACCCACCAACATCGCTGGAACTGTGACTGTCTGAATCATCTCCGCTAGTCGAGGCTGACAATATCTTTCTGTTGGACAAAATTTTTAAATCTTTTGTCAGATTCTTGGGGCTTCGAATATTGAAACTTGTGTCTGCAAACTCTTTTTCTGAACTGCAAAAATGTAAGAAAAGATTTTCTTCTTCTTCTTCGTTCTTAATTATTAGTGTTGAAGGGGATCGAGATTTATCTGCCAATGGGTTTGAACTCGAGACTTTGTTCGAATTTATCAACCATGAGCTTTTTGCCGACTCGAACACGCCTTCAACACAATTAAGCGTTACGTGTCAACTGGTTATGCGCCATTGAGGCCATTGACTCCGATTTCAGCCTGCTTTTCTTTTTGGATTTGCTTCCATAGCCTTTGTCCAGCCAAGAACAAACTACAAGGCAGCAGTTGTTTAGTTTTGGAGTTGTCTCTCCTAGAAGAGTGGCTGTCCCCAGCTAACGAGCCTCATCTGCCCGAGGGTTCGAACTCGAGACTTTTCGGTTTAGCAACCATGAGCTTTACCGACTCGACCACGCCGACCCCAAAGATTTTCTGAATATTTAATTTTTTTCAGCTAGTTATTTTTATGAACACGTCTAGAACAAAAATACCAAAATAATAAAATTTATGTTGATTGAACATTTGGAGGTGAAATAATTTCCCTACCTTGACTCATCATTGCTATGAGATTTCTGGCATTTTTCTTTTTTCTTTGTCAATTTTTTCCTTTTTTTATTATCATCATTAGAAAATTTGTTATCTGAGCTGCTTTGACTGTGATCTTCATCATCATCACTGTCATCTTCCATATCTTCTAAACTCTTCCTGTTCTTCAGTGCTGCCTTTTTGCTGGATTCCCTGACAGATTTTCTCTGGTGCTGTGTGGACTGGGCTGCTGGAGCTTTGGTTTCCTTACTTGCTGCGGCTTGTTTAGCTGGGGCTTTCTTCTGCTTTAAGGCCTCTACATACATTTGGATTACTTTTAAAGTCTTCATGTTTTTTTATTATATACTAAGATTTAGTAAATTTAAGTAAATAAATTAATTACAAAAATTCGTATTTATTTTAAAGGCTAGGTATTAAATTATTTCCCATGTAAAGACATTTCTTTCTAATTCATTCATTTTAAATTATATCAATGCCATTCCAAAACATCCTGGTTAACTAATCAACTTGTAGAGCTATGAACTATATATACCTTTAGAGAAAAGTATTACCTGTCTTCTTCTTTTTGTCACTACCACTTGACTTCTTCTTGTCAGGTTGTTTAGTTTTTTTACTCTGTGAGCCTTCTTCAGAGTTCTGAAACAATAAGTTAAACCTCAGTAGATGCCAACACAGTATGAAATGTTGAGTGCACTGATTAATTGTTTAACTTTTTTACTCTGTAAGCCTTCTTCAGAGTTCTGAAACAATAAGTTAAACCTCAGTAAATGTCAACACAATAAAAAATGTTGAGTGCACTGATTAGTTGCTGCCCCATTATGACAACTGGTGCTGGCAAGAGATTTACTGGCAACTTGACAGAGCTAATTTCTCCAACGGACCCAGTGGTATTGTTTGTCTCTTGTGTCACCATAGAGAATTAAATCATGAAAAACTTGTATGGTAAAGGTTTTTTTTACCTCAGGAACTTTGAATGGCATAGGCTGTAGAGACAGGACAAGCCTCACTGTGTGGCCCATTGCTCGCAGGATACAGATGAACACCTACGATAGGATACACTATTTAATGATGGCTAACTTAATATACATCAACACCTACGATAGGATGCACGATTTAAAGATGGCTAACCTAATATAGATAAAAACCTATGATGGTATACACCATTTTAAAAACAACTAATGTAAAGATACTAATTAGCATTTGGGAAAAATAGATTTAATTTATCAAGTTACATCCAATGAAATACATTTTACAAAAAAACAAATTTACACATATTTTAACAAGTTACCTACCAACACCCAGACCCTAGCATCTGTTATAGTTCCATGAGCTAGTATATTGATGAGTGTTGTTGTTGATACCTGCAGGATGCGATAGAAATTAACTTATTAAAATATTTAGTTACACAAAAACTTTTCTCCACAATAAAGAATAATATGTCTATTAGAAAATACAAAAATAAAATGCTGGAGAAATTTTAACACCAACATTTGTCCATAGTCTTGTAGCCAAGACTGAAAGCTTCAACTGGTGAGAGACTAGCAACATCAAATATCGGAATTTGTTTTTTAACCCACTCTGGCTCCCAGGAACAAATATTATTAAACACAAAACTGATGCAACTAAATTTTAAAATATGAGGTTTTCATTCATAGCAGCTAATCTTACATTAAAAGTCTGATATCTGAACAACATTTTTGTTTAGAGAATACGTCTTACAACACTTACAAGTCTGATATCTGAGCAATGAGTTATCTTGTCTAGAGTGTAACTCTTTTTATACCAGGCTGCGATGTTTTCAACCTTTTGTTCTAAACTGACTTTTGTCTTTATGAAATGGTCAGGGAGCAATGAGAAGACAACTCCGATTAGAACTGGTTCATTCAGGGCTTCATTTTGTTGCATCCCAAGGGAGAGAAGGCAGAGAAGGTGTACCTTATTTTAGAAGAGAAAATGAATATCAGTTATAATGTACTTAGGTAGATCTAATACCTAAAATATTCAGTCTATGAAATAAGCTACTTATAAAATATACGTTCAATTGTTTTAATTTACAGTGTAAAGAAAATTCAAACTATTAAAAATGTATGGTAAAGTACCTTGTGCATGTCAATAGCTACTTCTTTCTTAAACCGCTTGACTCTTCTTTGTAGATAAGCCTTCCAATCAAATGCTTTCTTTTTTCTGAAAGAATTTTTTTTATAAATGTTACAACAAAGTAAGATCATTAAAATAAAGTTTACACATCGCTCAGAATTTCTAAAAAAATAATAAAAATTAAAATAACTAGGATCTAAATAAATTACCTAATTTTTCGCTTTAAGATATCTGGCATTTCTAAAGTGATCTCGACAGGCTGATCAGGGATCTGTGATCTCTCAGGGGCCATCTCATGATCTAAAAAATATTAAGAAAGAATTTGGAAGCTCAAAGATCTTTTCCTACTCTAGTGGCATTAGCATTTTTAAAAAAATAATTTGTCTATTGAGTCATGGTCGCAATATCTCAAGTAAAATTACTGTACACAATTCTTGGTGAGTCTAGTGAATATAGTTCTGCTCACGATATCTCAAGTACTATTACTGTAAACTTACCATGTACCTCCTCCCAGTCTGACATTCCCTCAGATTCTGAATCTGTTGTGTGGTTGAGTTCACCATCTGATGTCTCAGTTGATGTCATTGAAGAGGTTGATGCCAGCTGTGAGCTTGCCTGAGATGAGAGATGTGAACTCTGCTGACCCTCCATCATCATCAAGATGGCCAGCGGGTCATCCATGTCAACTGGAGTTTTAGCTGGGTAAGATGTGACGTTTTTGTCATTTGCCTGGTTCTTATTTCTCCCTTCATCTTTTTTAGGTGAGACTTTAGTAGGCAATGATGTTTTATTTTTCTTGCCTTTAATGCAGTTTGTTGGCTTGTGTACAGCTTTGGAATCACAGCCTACATTTGTTTCAGACAGATTTAACTTGTCAGTTTTGTTTTCTTGTTTAGATTTAGAATTTATTTTTTCACTTTTGTTGTGTGGCGGTTCTTTAGAAGACAAACTGCTAGTTGATGTAGCTTTTTTCTTCACTTTGCTATTCAGAGTTTTAACTTTTTTCTTCACTTGACTATTCAGAGAATCATCTTTTTTCTTTACTTGGCTATTCTGAGACCCAGCTTTTTTCTTTACTTGGTTATTCAGAGAGTCACACTTTTTAACCTTGATTTGAGATGATGATTCATCACTGCTTGTGAGGGATCTCTTAGAATTTTTTCTTGAATGGGAGGGTTGTGGGTCTGTTTTCGTTAAGTCACTTTTTGTAGTGGTCTGTACATTTGGATGTGACTTGGCCTCAGTTTGTAATTGTTTTGCATTGAGACCATCCTTCACTCCTTTTGCTTGCTTGTTGGGTAAGGGACATGTGTTCTCTGGTATCTTCCTTTTCTTGACAATCTCAGGTCTAGATTGCATGCGTTTAATTGATTCACTTTCATGTTTCATAGCCAGTACTTTTGTAGTTCCTTATATTAGTAACCATACACCTTGATAAATATTAAAATGTATAGTAAATTAAATAATAAATATTAGATGGCTAATATTATAATATACCTATAAACTAGGTCAACTAATTATATTAGTATTACTATTAGGTCTCTAGTCTCTAGAATCAAGATCTTAAATTACTAAAATTAAAATATGAAACTTTAAACTAAAACAAATCAAAGTACTAGTTTAGTAGTCCTAAGCAAATTTTAAACTAGATCAGGAATCTAAATCTAGATTTAGAAAATATACTAGATTCTAATATAGATTCTAGATTCTACTTTTGATTGTTTAAAAGTTTTAGTAGCCTAACTTATTACTTAAACTTAATAGTATAATAGATAGTAGCCTAACTATATAACTAACTAGTAAACTACTACACTAGAGTCTAGAGTAGAGTCTAGACTCGCACTAACTAGAGTGTGACTAGACTAGAGTAACTAAAGTAACTAACTAAAACTTTTAGTTAGATCTAGATCTAGATCTGGATTTAGGATTTAGAAAGAATCTAGATCTAGTAAATTAGGGCCTAATAATTTATTTTTAATTTAAATTCTGTCAAAAGTTAGATTAATTTTTAACAACACACGCATGAAAACGCTAACCGCTTGGCTTACATAATCAAAAACTAGCAGATTGTATTCCAAGCTAAAAAAAAATTGAGTGATGTGCCCCTGTTATCCAAGGGATACCACTACCGTGAAATAGAAGTTTGTTTTTAGCTTGAAACTTTCACAATGCCTCGCCAAGGAGTATCATATGTAAAAAATGAAGAACCTTCGTTTATTAAACAATTTAAAGAAAAAATAGGTCACAAAGATGAACCAGATGTGAATACAAAAAAGGTGATAGTCTACAGTAGATCTAGTCTACAGTACAGTCTATTCACATTTTTAGGAGGATTTTATTTAAATTTATGACAATTTATTTATGTTTTAAAATTTACAAAAAATGTTTCAAAGTTTCATTTATGTAGAATTTGTAGAATCTAGATCTAGATCTAGAAATCTACCTGTTTGTAAACAATTGTATTAAAACTTTTCAGTAAGAAATAAAGAATAGCGTTGTTGGATGATTATAGAATATTATAGATACTTGTGTCGGATAATGGAATCTTCTTTTAAAAAGGGGTGCTGGGTTGTTAGTAGTATTTTAATCTCAACTAATTTTATGGTTAGAAATTAGGGTTAGGCATATGGATTATGGTTGGACCAGGTTGGGGTTAGGGACAGGGTTAGCATTGACATTAGCCAGCCATGTGTATTGTGTATTTAGTTAACTACCAACTACCAGTAACCTAACACCCCTTTTTTTAAAAAAAATTCCATTATCAGCCACCCGTGTAAACATTCTCCCGCGTTGTTTTCATCAGATGACACATTAGCAGCAATCTTGTTTAATTTTTTTTTGGTAAAATTATAGTTAGAGATTCAAGGGAAACAACTCTAACTTACAGATGGCCGCTTTTTATATAGCAATTCCCGCTCGCAAAAACTGCTGTTTAAAATTAATTTCTTGCCTATATTGATATATTTATTTTATTTAGCCATTGATTTTGGTTTATTATTCATTTATCCATAATATTTGACACAAATATATCACCATATAGTTTTATTAAAGCCTTAACAATGAGGCAACTTTTTTGCACATTACTAGACTTGGCCAATTTTACGTACCTGTTGAATGTTGGTAAATTGTGAAACACAAAATGATGAAGCGGTAAATTGTGAAAAGAAAATGCATTAAAGTTAGTTATTTGAATTGGATGTGGTGTTACTCGTAGACGTCTTTGCATTTTACTTCCACCCAGTATCGGAAGGGGGTAAGATGCGAGACAAAAATGACACCTGACTTGTGGTTTTCGCACACTTCTTGCAATTTACTACCTGGCTCACAATTTACCATATTTTGTGAGTCATTGCTAGCATACTCTTAATTGCTCACTCTGCCTCACCTAGCCTTGAGCCTTGGTGACACCTGGTGGATAGCAGTTTGCTACATATCCTTGTATTGAGCGAAATAAAAAACTTTTGATTCCTTATTATTTTTATATCATGCATGTTACACAATGACAGAAAGGTTTTTTTTAAAGATGTAATTTTTATGAAACTTACATTTTTTTGTAAGCTTGTTTTGGTTACAGTTATTTTAAATGTCAACGCACAAAAAGAAGGTAACAAACTCTACATATAAACTCACCTGAAACAATATAACTATCTAAACATAACTCATAATACCCCATTTCAATCAATCCGCACATCTCTCTTTTAAATGCACCCTGTTGATTAAGTTTAGCTACTATTAGCAGTTTGTTATTATGAGAGCTTATTATAATTATAAGTAACTTTTTATTAATTATTTTTTACAGTTAAGCATTCCAAATTTTGATGAGGATGATGATGAAGATGTGCCAGAAAAAGAAGAGGAAAAACCTGTTGTTGTTGTACTCAAGTCTGGAGATTTGACAGCCGAAGAAGCAGAGTTAGAGAAAAAACAAATTGATGAAGGTGATGGTCTTTTTGTTTCAGTAAAAATGTAAGAGTATAGGAAGTATAGTTTACATGCCTCGGGACTTAGTAGCATGGCCTTTACATTTCCTACCTCAATGTCATTACCTAACTAAATCTTGTGTACGCAAGAGTATCAGATGTACTTTAACTGGTTAACTAATTTGGGTGTATCCTTATTTATGTCTTTATTTGATTGTAACATATAAAAGTATGTACATTATATTATAATAGCTATAATGTTTTTAAGCAAAATTTATTTACAAACATCAAACGATATATATTTATCAGAATCAATGCCACTCAACAGCAAGTTGCTCTGTTTAAAATTATATACTTGTGTGTTTTTTTACACTTGTTTATTTAAATAACTAATAGCCATTGTTTATTAACCAGCATTACTGTCCTTCAATTCTAGGTCCAGCGAGACTAGATGAAAAAATCACATTTAAAAAACCATCAAAAAGAACTCAGGACACAACAGAGAACACTGACAAGGAAGAGTCCAGTAAAAAACGAAAAGAAACAGAAGTAAAGAAAACATTCACAGCAAAAAAGACAAAGAACAGTTCACTATTATCATTTGGCGATGATGAGGGGGATGACAGCTAGTAGCTGGTGGGAACAACATGCAGTTGTGTGCTTCTTGCATTTTTAAGTGTTGTTGGAGTAATATTTTTGTAAATAGTCTTTAGTATGTAATTAATAAAAAGCATTTACATTAAGTCTTTAGGCGTATTGTTATTTTTCAACACTAAGTACTCAGGTACAATATATAACAAAGGTCAATTGATTAGAAAAAGTTTAAAATGTTGCATCTCTTTTAAAATGGCTACTTTTAAAGCCTGGTATGTGAATCTTTATGCTTTTACTTGAGGAAGAGGTGACAGTTTTTACAGTTATCAGGGTATTATATACACAATATATTATATCTTCTGTCAAATAGTGTTGGTAGCTACTAGCAAATGTTTGATCAATCTACAGCTTCTGGCTACTACTACCAGTGTATGGGACATCACTGGAGAGTGTTTTTGGATTAATTCAAATACAAACCCAAAGTTTCTTAAAATGGTTTATTATGTTCACTCTTGTAACACCTATGGATATGTTTAGTACACAAACAGTAGTTTTACAGTTCTATAAAACTTAGATTAACTAACGTTTTAAGATTATTAAAAATCAATATTTGTAATATCTGAAATGACAAATCCAAGAACTGTTCAAGCAAAATTATCAAGTAGGAACATTAACAGTTGAGTCATCAGTAAACACATTTTATCAAATGGTTTGCCACTGTCCTAAACATTGTTAGGTAAAATAGTTTTCACTGTGTTTCCACAAATCACAGGACTAGTTGTATTCCTCAATACATCAAATTATAACAAACTTTCTGGTTCTGACCAATGCCACTTTTACTTACGATGATTCCATGTTTATACTATCAAGACATGCAGAAAATGATAAAACTTAAAATAAGACATACTTGAAAAATTTTCCTGATATGAGATCATCATGGTCTACAAAGGGATTCTACTCAAATAAGCATTTTAATGATAAAATATAAGCACACATTCACAACACAATGTATTGTTTCTTGTACAACTGTTTTTCAGCAGTAGGCACAATTAGAGGAGATTATTGATGATGAAACAAATGGAAGTAAAAACTATTCTGGTGAAAAACTAGTAATGAATTTAATCTCTGTGAATGCTAAACCTCATTTACAAAATTATACTGTAGGAAGCAATTATATCTTGATATGGTGAACTATAAAAATTATATACAATCCCACCATCACTAATTCTATAAAATGTACCTCACTAAACAATTAGAATATCAGCTTGATAAAATAAGAAATTAAATATATATTATTTACCAAGAAAGTATAATGCCATTTAAGAATACAAACATTTGAAGCTGTCTGCTTTTCATATTAACCTTTGAGTTCTTGATTGATAAATAACTTATAAAGATTTAACCCTCTTTGTACTTAGATATATTTCACTTCTTATACCATATGTAAGAATATCACACGCTTTGAAAACAAATTAGTGTCAGAAATGTCATGAGACATTATATAGTAAATGCCGTAACAGGAGCAAGTTAAAAAAATTCAGCAAAATTAAAACAAAGCCATTTAGAACTAAAACAAATACAAATAAATTAACTATGCAGTAATATATTGCATGCAAAAATAAGGTTAAAAAAGCACAAGCCTTGAATAAATAAACCAGGTATAGAAACGAAAAATATGGCTTTACCCAAAAGAGGAGGTACAACAATCAAAACATTTTCCCCTGCATTTTTCTCAGTGGTGTTAGTGAGATGAGACATCAGTGTGCCATTGTTAAAATCTCGTATCACAATTGAAAACTGAGAATGGCTTAATAACAATGTCAAAATGTAAGTTAAGAGGGAATTCAGATAAACAAGAAAATTATTGAGCAGTTCTCAACAAATGTACACCAACATATAAATAGTGTGGATGCTGATCCTAAGCGTAAACGTTTAGATGAAGGAAATAGCAACAAAGCAAATAATGGATTTATATTGCTGATCTTCAAAAATGAGGATATATGTATGCAACATTTAAAAACTACAGAAAAGTGATGAATATTATGCATGCTTAGCATATATTAGCAGCTGTAAAACACTAATAATCCAACAAATTAAAGTATCACTCATAGATAATTCAGAATCACTCTTCACTTGTTAATGCTACAAAGTGTAGTAAAAGCATGGTATCAAAAACACAAACTGCATGCAGCTTTCATTCATTGTTGTCATTTAATTTAGGAAAAGGAACTCTCTTTTTGTCAGTTGAAAAACCAGAGTAGCTTGCCCTTTGCTTGCTAGCAGTGACAGGAGTGTGCATTGGGCTCTCAATAGCTTCTTTTTTACCCGGAGTCTGTAGTACAAGGCTCTCCTATGGATTAAATTATCATTTTATAACAAATATATAACAAAATATGTTTTTGGGGAAATCATAAAGTGAATACGATTTTACAACATATTGGCTGTTTTCTTTATACAGCTAATTTCTACTGATTCTTATCTCTAGCTTTCTTAAATTTAAGCCATAAGAATTAGTTTATTTGCTAATATAAATTTTTGAAATAGAACTGGGGTAACCTCATCTGTAGTTTTCATATGCATCTCCTCACACCACAGACGTGCAGCATCATGAATTTGTTCGTTATTTGATTTGTTACAGCTGTAGACACGCACCAGTAGCTCAGAAAACTTAATGGGACCTAAGATTCTACTAGCCTGAAATAGAGAATGTAAGACATTATTTCTATGTTAAAATAAATGAGAACTTTTAAGAGCATCAGGTTTAAATAACAGTAACAGATCTATGGAGAATTGCTTTCATCTTAACACACCTCACTATTAGGTAAATGTCTAGCTTCATCAGGCCTATCTTTTGAATACACCAAAAGCTTCTCAACTGGATTCTGATCTTGCATACCAAAGTCCAGGTAAGCAATCTGAAAATATTTAACAAAATAAAATTGAACCGCTTTCTAAAAGTTTCAGTGCCCTAAATCCCTTTTCAAACATCAGCTAATTAAAAGTATAATAAAATATCCAAAACAACAGAACCTACCTGAACAATGAGATCATCTACAGAAAGACTTGTGTGGCCTAGAGAATGTGCTTTCTTTAGTATCTCAGATCTGATCTCATCTGTATTTTGCTGATTTTAATTAAAATGTCAATAAGCATAATTGAAATAGTGTGACAGTTCTAACCTGTTTAACTGTATGCCTATACTTCTAGATAGCAAAAATTATTTAATTTCTTTAGAATCCCATGCTTACACCTCCAGTATCCACCCCCAAGTAATCTTACTTTCAAATTTTCTGATCCAATAGGTTTGCTCTCACACACACAAGAGTAGAGATCTCTATTGAATATCCGCTGGATGATATTTTTAGCATCACACATCTCAGATGAATGTGAGTCAGGGTCATCAGAATAGAGTATTTTAAAGAGCACATTATCTGTGAGCTCTGTGTATGCAAACATATCATCCACACACTCAGACATCTTGCATGTGCTCCTGAAAAATTACATCATATATATTTGACACAAACAGAACCCTGAGAGGTGATCAACTTATACTACACCTACTAGGGGAGTTACTCAGTAGATGAACCATCTCAATAACACATTATACTAAGGGAGATAAGTCTAAAATTATCTAAAAGAAATTTACCCATGTTACATTGTTAAAATTTATAAAATTTTGAATTATTTAATGGCAGATTTTATATGCTTCAAACAAATTACTAATAAACAACCATATTACATAGTATTCAGTAAGCTGACTGATGATATAGTCTCAAATTCCAAAGTATACAAATATGAGAATTAATAAACTGATTTCCCACATTTAAAAACTTACTTATCTTTCTTACTGAACTTGATATAATCATTAGCTTTTATTAAAGCTGCAGTCACCCTAAAAATATCAACAAGTAAATCAATATAAATGAAGCAAAGATGTGAGCCTAGCAGTTTCTTCTGAACTTTTTAAAATCCACATAGCAACACTAAACTAAATTGTCAAAGAAACAAATCGCTTAGCATAGGGAAACAAGTTAAAAGTCTTACATTGTCTCAATAGCACAGTTAACTCTGTGCTGGTATGCTATCTTGTGTAATGTGTACCTAGTGTAAAACATGTTGTACAAGCTAGCTATCTCCTGCAGACAAAAACTGACTTTTAAAAAGATGATAAACAAAAGTGAGAGAATAAAATTCTATAGAAACTCCTATTTTTAATTATACCTTTCTACTTAACCATGTTATTCAAGTAATTATTTGATTCATTACTTTAACCAATCACTGTAATTGAAAACAAAATCTTTAGGTATAGATCTATTGTCTTATTGAAAGATAGACTTACCTTGTCTCTAATACAGATCTGCCAATCACCATCAACTTGAATAGCTCTAGCAAACTTCATAAACCGCATGTGATCAAAGTTGTTCTTGATGCCCAAATGATGACAGTCTCTAGCAAAATAATCCCACTTGTCTACATCAATGCTGTTTCGTTTATTAGAAACTATCTGTTTGAAGGTTTAATTAATCATTGTAGAAGTTATAGGTGAACATTTATTTTAAAAAGTTACTTAAATTCATCCTGTTTACCTCATATAAAAAGCGTTTACACATTTCTCTGCCTTTTAATTCTTTTCCCTGAAAAGCAAATAGTTATTTAATTGAAAAATGACAAGAATAATAAGTTATTAATGCATACTATGTGTTGCGAAGTGAGTTTCGGTACGGGTCGATGCTGAACGTTACGAACAATAGATGACGACGATCCAAAAAGAGAACACTGAACGACGCTACGATGTTTCCATATTTTATTACATATAATACCCACAGCTACATAGACGATAGACGGGACGACGACTTCTAGACATCCTCACAAGACGACGACAAGACCAAGACTAACTCTCAACTATCTTCCTAACAACGAAAACATTCTCTCTTACGTCACATCCTTATTTATTCATGCATTCATAATCTTTTATTAATACCGCTACACACATACTCTCAAACCATCCACAACTATATTAACTCTATTCAACTACACACATACTCTCAAGCCATCCACAACTATATTAACTCCATTCAACTACACACATACTCTCAAACTCATTCCATACACTTAGGTCCATTCACAACATACCCCTCTCCTTTCTTCAGCTGAAAATACATACCAGAACTATCAAACTATTTTCAGCTTCAACTTCATAAGACATGCATCCATACAATATTCTAAACAAATATATACATGCAATATGCAACAAAGACAATGTTCTGTGGTCCATGGTTCTTCATCACCGTCGTCAGTCAACCTGAACACACAAATCTTTTGGTCCCAACCAACACCTTGTCCACACACATCTTTTGGTTTCTTGTCTCTGGACATCAACACAGGCTATAAAAAAAATAATCCAGGACCAACATGTACCCAAACCATACAATAGCTTCTAATTTAAAATTAACATTGTTGAGCACCTCTTCCTGTTATTACAATATGATATTACAACCAAATAGCAAAGTACATGGTTTCTAAAATGTGAAAATTAAATAGCAACTATTAATTAAAATCAATCCGATTTGGCTATATATCATATAACTCAATAGATTCCCAAGCATCATAAAACTACTATCCAACAATCAGGAAATCAACAGTCCAAGCAAATACCAGCACTCCATATTTAAACCAATTAAACCTAAAGATATTATAGTTAATCTATACAATGGAGTACACCAATGAACTAAATTAGAACCATCAACACTTCCAATAAGCCAATACAATATCACATAGAGGAGTATTTCCCGTGAACCCCCAAACACAACAACCAGGTACTCGGCACAACCTCGAGATACCAAAAAATAACGCGGACTGCATCCTCAGTCTCGCAAAACAAAATCATTATCTAGCAAAGATCAATTATCTCAACAAAAAAAAACAACACTAAGCTAATGGGTTCATTATCCAACCAAGAAAATCAAACCTCTTAGGATATAATAATTTAGCACATTGTACCTAAAATACCACCATATTGCTATATCTCTAGTATAGAAATATAATATCTAATGGAGGACAATTTTCCATGACCCCGGGACAAACAAAATATCTCGGCAAACCATCGAGATCCAAATAACAATAATCAATATCAATCATCTAACTAAGTTACGTATCAACCAGACAGCATCCAGCATGAATGGGTGACTACGACAATAAAATCAACTACTCTACACGGGAAACAGGAAAAATACTGGGTCCAACAACCAAATCAGAAAATATATCCTCAATTGATATCATATCTAATACACCAAAGAGTCCCTAAACCTAACACTAACAAAGTAACAAATTCCATATAGTTAATACATATTAAGACCATCCACAAAAAGGAAACCTAACGCTATATATTTCAATAACGCCCTCTCTAAGGCGCTTCCCTAAATGAGAATGGTTAATTGTAATTAACATAAGGCAAGTTAATTATACATTTAAATTTAAAGTATAGTAAACAGTATAACTACCACCAAAATTATATACATAATGACAAAATACAGTACTCTATCTCCATGATGGTATTTGGAGAGAGTAAAACCATATAGATCTACCAATATTAATTAACAGGTATTGTTGAAACTAATCATTAGTGAACCAGTAACTGGTTGTTATTATCTTACACTAGAATTCACCAGATCTAGACAGACTTTTATATATATGGTAGATAGTGTCTAGTTGTCCTAATTATTACATGATTTGCTTCTAAATATTAAATAAAACTAGATTCTAAATTAAAGGGCAAATGAAATGTTACACAATTAGCGTGAACTATGACACTGGTAACTGGATTCTAGATCTAGATCAATGATGTTGGGGAAAAAATTTATATCCAGTAGGGCCTAAACAAATATTACTAAAAATGAACAACAAAAAAATTGTATTAGATCTTAGTATCTAAAAAAATGGAAGAGGTGTACTCAACTTAAACAATCCCAGACGTCAGGTCTTCATGACAACTCCAGATCCCACACTCCATAGGCCACATCAGATTCAGGCGATGACTTGTAGTACACATGCTGGTATAGTCCAAGTCAGTCACACACACTCGATTGGTGACGCAGATTGACGTTGACTTGTACTTCGAGAATCCATTTAGATAATGTCGTTCTTGTAGTTCGGGAATTCATCTCGACCAATACAGGATTGAACAAACGAAGAAAATTCTCGTCTGCACTGTCGATAAGGTCAACCACTAAGAAATTTGACATGATGAAGGTCAGGGACGTCATCAAAACATGTAGGCCAAACAATTCAGCCGATCACGACGATGTGGGTTAGACGAGGGTGATGACGTAAACTCTTCCAACGAACAGTTGACGATGTAGGTAGAACCCGAAAACTAAGCATTCTTTAATGGTCATGAAGAAAATCTGCGTAAACGATAGATTCATCACGACTAAAACAGCACGGTCATTGTAGAGGGTCGGGGACGAGTGCGGGGGTCCTAACGTTATCTTCTAACAATAGCGCCCTCTCCCAGGTATGGACATCAAATAAATGCCGGCCTTTGGACTACTGCTCAGCACGAACCAAAGATGAAAAAGACCACATCTGTAGTTCTAACCTTGACGGGAATCAATGGGCGATGAGAGACCCGATATAGTCGCTGGATATCGCGCCGGTCAACCAGAAGTCCGTCTCCGGCAAACGACGACGACTCGAGCAGGCCACATCACGCGTCGAAAAGTCCATTCATCACGGTCCAAGGTCAGGGTCTGGTACACAACTGAGTCCCGATCAAATTAAACAACGACGTACTGCTGTAGATAACGGGCGAATCTAGATCTAGATGAAGGCGTACTGCTAGCTACAGATGAGATGACATCACTGCAAGTGTAGACGGGAACGTACTGTGCGACAGATAAGTTCAGCAAACCGCTGCATCCACCATATGTTGCGAAGTGAGTTTCGGTACGGGTCGATGCTGAACGTTACGAACAATAGATGACGACGATCCAAAAAGAGAACACTGAACGACGCTACGATGTTTCCATATTTTATTACATATAATACCCACAGCTACATAGACGATAGACGGGACGACGACTTCTAGACATCCTCACAAGACGACGACAAGACCAAGACTAACTCTCAACTATCTTCCTAACAACGAAAACATTCTCTCTTACGTCACATCCTTATTTATTCATGCATTCATAATCTTTTATTAATACCGCTACACACATACTCTCAAACCATCCACAACTATATTAACTCTATTCAACTACACACATACTCTCAAGCCATCCACAACTATATTAACTCCATTCAACTACACACATACTCTCAAACTCATTCCATACACTTAGGTCCATTCACAACACTATGTATTTTTTCTATAAATTCATGGTTCTTTGATTATCTATTCCATCTTACATTTAATAAAATCTGAAGCATTCAATAGATGAGCTACTTACATCCAAAGGCCCATAAATCAACTCTTTAATAAATAAAATATCAGTTTCATCTAATCCATATTTCCTTAGTTTTCCATCCTTTTCCATTAAACCATTTTCTTTAATCAGGAAATCAAACATATCAATAGAAGCTCGTTCATGCTAGAACAAACAGGAATCAAAAAGTTATTTTATGTTATTGTATAATATTTTGTTCAAAATGATTTATAATAAAATTTCCAGGTATAAAAAATTATGTTCCAACTTCTAAAAATAATTAGTCTGTTTAATATAGTCAAACATACAAATGCATTCTATTAGAATGACATTAAATAAAATAACACCATCTACATAAGAATCTATACACAAGGCTTCATATTTACTTTAAATTTCTTCTCTGGATTAGCAGCAGGCATAAATTTACCATCAAACAAGTGAGAAAATGGACCATGACCTACAAAAAAAAAAAAAATCAAAGTTTATAAAACTGTTATCCTGTATCTTTAAAGTTACCGTTCCAAAGTTGGAATAGCTAAAGGAGGATTGGTAGTTAATTATTACAACTTAAACTAAGCCTATTTCTATATCTTTGACCTCAATATTTTATGTTTTCAAATGATAAGTTAGGTAAACAAACCTTCAAAAACAAATTTTAAAAATCTTACCAAGATCATGACATAGCCCAGCTAATTCCACACAGAAAACATCTTTCTCTGTTATTCCAAGAAATGGCTGATTTTGTTGCAGAATAAGGGCAAATTGGCCAGCAAGATGACAAACACTGAAGATAAAAAAACATTTATATAATATTTAAAACATAAACAAGAAGTCTTGAAGTCTTAGTTAATTGTTCAACAACATACCTTAAATTTTGCATTACTAAATGTTAGCCAACATGGTAAAAATAGTTCTTAATTAGGTAAATGAATAATTATACAGATGAGATGTGATTAGCAGATGAATAGGTGATTTAAGGCTTTTTTTTCACAGGCTTAATTGTAACATTTGCTGACCAATTGAATTGAACTACATTCAAATGACCTACAGACCCAATAGAATGTTCAAATCTGTTGTGAGCAGCACCAGGGTAGACAAAGTAACACATGCCAAGTTGTTTAATGAATCTGAGCCTCTGGAACTGTGGGGTGTCAATCACTGCTAAACAAACGGGGTGAAGCTCAATGTGCCCATGTATGGGGTCATGAAACACCTATAAAAATACATTTTAAAGAAATATCAGGCAAAAAAGTCACCACCATTACAAATAAATTTAAAATAATTCTAAAATATTGTTTTTCAAAACTGTAAGTAAAAGAGGGTAATGTGTAAAGAAAATGTAACTATTACAGAAGAATGCATATTTTTTCATATTGTACCCACAAATAAAGTAAATTAAAAAGAAAACAATCACAAAAAGAACAGAATAAATAAATTACTTATTTAAAAAAATCACATGTACTTTATTGTTGGATGAAGAGAGCACAAAGTTTCAAGGAGTTTGGATCCAGGGTTTCAGTCTACCCAGCTCAAAAGGGCACATGATTCACTTTAGGGAAAGTAAGGCAGTTAGGCATAGAACCACCACACTATCCTTTAATATGCCAAGGTTACAGAAACATGTGAACTTCATTTGCCCAACTGACCTAAGGTTGGAATAGGCAACTTTATTTCTAACATGTATATAAACAAGGAATGAAGATTTAAAACAGCAATTACCTTTGATACACTGTCTGTTTTAGTTAACACCCCGACATCTTCTAAAAGATTATGGATACGTCGACAGATACCAGCATCACTGAAAATAGTTTTGGATGGTAAAACATAGTTTTACAACTAATGGCAAAACAATAGAACAAATAGTTTATCATTTACCAAAAATAAATGAACATTATATGCTTTGTAAATATCATAACAACTAATTTCCATGGCATTTAAAGATAACAAGAAAAATGCAAAACTATTTTAGTTTTTCATGATTCAAATGGTTAAAGGTCTGTTTTATGGATCAAACACAAAATACGTGGTCTTTTAGCATACCCAAAACTTTAGCAGTAAATATATAACAGATTCAAAAACATGTAAAATATAATGGCTCCTTAAGGTCTGAATTATCTTAAACAACTTTTTATCAGCTTACACCAGAACTTTGATGACAATAATGATGGGACTCACGTAATACCAAATTTCCACAGTCTTGCCACCGTCAAATCTCTTAAGTCTTTTCCACACACACCATTCCCTATGGACATTTTATTTGGAATTAATGTTATTGTAAAAAGAATCTGTAAATTGTTTATATGCCTGGACAAAGAACTGCAATCTTGTGAGAATTTGAAGAAAAATGTTTTTACATTATAATTTTACTATGCTTTTTCAAGTTTTACCACCATATTTTAGTACTTATTAAATGGAAATTAATTATTTCTCTCACAAAACTAGCCCAATGAAAATTAATATGCAGATATTTTATTTAAAAATCTGATAATATTAATTATTTTTTTTGTATAGGCTCTATTTCAAATCAACTTTCCACAATAAAGATTCAGAAGTAATTCATCAGAATAAAACATGTAAGAAACTGATTTTACACAAGAAGTAAAACTTACTCTCAAAAATACTACAAATTTCTTCTGTAAAATTTTTTGACTTTAGTTCAGATATAACATCATCTGTAGTCCAGTCTTCAAATGAGACATTTGTGGGTCTTTGAGAGGTAGCTTCATGAACATCTTGGTTAACATAAGTATACGCCCGCTTTCGCGATGGAGACTGTAAGTTTGTTGACATCTGATTAAATAATGTTGAAATTTAAATCAATATAACATTACAGTTTATGTTGAAAAGGATGTATTAATTTAAACCACCTAAAAACACTATAAAAAATTATTATAGGGACATTTCATGAATTTTAAATTAGGGCACACTGTACAAAATAAAATCTGCTACATGTATTTTTTTATTTAAATAATCAGCTGTGGCCATCTTTATGCTTACACTGGTATTATCTTCATTTTTGCTATGACCATTGCAGATGTTTGAGGAAGGTGTATCTTGTTGTTTATTGACAGAATATTCCATCATCAGTTTTGTCATTCTCAAAATCAACACTAAAGTCTCACCAATATAAAATCTTCTAAACCAAAATATTTGAAGAAAAAAAACCAGCCTGTTTTATTATTATTCTAATCTAACGCAAGATCTAGGCCCCTAATATTAAATAATAGTTATTATTGACAGTATATTTATTTTAGGCATATAGGCCTACCAATGTTGAGTTAAGTCATAATAATAGAATCTTAAAAATGGGATGTCAGATTACTGTTAGTTAACTAAATACACATTTGTCTTGCTTAATAATGTCAATGCTATACCCAACTCTGAACCTACCATAGGCCTAACCCTAATTTCTAACCATAAAACTAGACAAGATTACAACAGGCCTACTGAGGGCCTTTTTTCAGAAGAGTCTATTATCAGACATCAGCATACCCAATAATTAATTAAATCTACATTTAGATCTGGTAGTTGTAATTAGTTGAGGATATTCTAGTCAAGTTTACTTAGATTAGTATTAATAGTATTATGATAGCCTGCCTAAGAAGGGCAAGGCCCTTCAATTTCAACAAAATTGGTTTGGCCTTGATAGTCTATTAGTCTATAGTTATAGCTACAGCCATAGGCTAAATAAAGCTTACCGATAATAATAGTAGATAGGGCCTATTCTATAGATTCCTATAGAAAGAGATAGAATATAGAATATTAATATTATTATATAGGCCCTAATCTTTATTCTATAGGCCTAGGCATAATATTATTATATTACAGAATAAAGATTCTCCCTAAAAAAGTGTTAGGCGTTAGGATTGTTATATCTAGACTAGTTGTATTTTGATTTTTGTAGCCTTGTCAAAGTTTAGTGTTTATCATGGTTAGAAATTAGCAAATTAGGGAGGTCTAGAATCTAGATTTGAAATTACTAATTCAAATTTTTAGATCTAGATCTAGAGGTGTGTAACTGTAAGGCATCTAGATCTACCACAAGGCAAGGTAGGACTAGAATGGACACCAGCGAGAAAAGTCTCAAAGGTATTTGAGAGGTCCAAAAATTCATTTAAAAATCTTGCACGGCGTAGTTACAATTAATATGGTTATAAAATCCTGTCTGTCTGGTTTTTTTCGGACTTTACTAAAGATTGGATGTATTTGATGTTTTTAATATTTTCGGTAACTAAATAAAAATTAAAAAAAAAAAGCAAAAACAATTTGGTTTTCACGTGTAATGGCGCCATAAACAATAGCCGCCATAAATTTTATTGTACACATTGTAAGCTAAAAATAGGAAAAATAGGTCATGGTGTTTAAATTTGCATAGTTATTTAAAAACTTGATCTGCAATTACAGTGCAAAGTTTTGTAAACAAAATAACTATAAAGTGGGGCTGTCAGAAATAGATCACGGAGTTCCTTTACAGCCAATCAATGTTTGTCTTACGAAAGTGAAACATCGGGTTATAACTTAGGCTTGATGAAGAATAATGAAGATAAATAGATCTAGAAATGTAGCCTCAACAAATTATTTTCAAGTTCTCTGGATCTGCAACTTGTATAGCATTGATTCTAAAAATATTACATTTCTGAATTAATTTTAGGCTTAAGTTTTTAATAAAATTTTATCTTTTATTAGTTTTATGGTCCTAAATCTAAAAAAGCACATTTTTAGTCCATGTCAACAACATTACGGAAGGAATCTCATCAACTCGCTGGTGTCCATTGGGGTTAGCCGGATAGCATTGACATTAATGTCATTATCATTAGTTATTAATTAGATTATATAGATCTACAATTTTAGTTAACTACCACCAGTGACAGTACAGTGGTGAGTACAGAATCGACAGCAGTACAGTAACAGACCAGGTAAAGTAAAATAACCGTAGATGTGTGTGTCAGTCCAGTACTCAGTACAAGTACAACCCTTTTTTAAGAAAACTCTAATTAGAATTAACTCTATTTACTATTTTATTGCGCCATTGGACATTAAGTCAGAAATCTACCCATAAATATATTGGTAATGAGTCTAGATCTACTAGTCTATTATGTATAGATCAAATCTAGATAAAAGATACTAGATTAAGGTTCAAACAGTCCATCTTTCCCGGCAGTGATAAAGTTTGAATGTAAATAATCAAGCGAAACACCGGAAGTGTGTAACTTTTTATACAAGGAAACACTTTTTGGTAATCCCTTAGTTTAGCGTCGGTTATTATTCCGGAATCGTATAGCAGTAAAAAACAGTGAAACAATAACAAAGTCTGTCACACACTTCCGGAATTCACCGGAAGTACCGTAAACCATACTTTATTTGGCGTCTTCTTTTATTTTTAAACAGAATGTTTAAAATTTGGACAGATTTATTTTTGTAATCATTTTTACATTTTGTAATCATTTTTACTATTTTCGTAATCTAGATTTTTTTACTTGGCCTAGCAGCTAGATATCTAGCTTGATCTAGATTTAATTAATTAATGGTCGCAAATCCGCTGCAAGCCAAAAACATTAAATTATTACATTTGATACATTATTTATATTTATATGTTTTTATTTTTAGATCTACTAATTTAAATCTACTATTATATTTATTCTTGTTTCCTTTTGTCGATTAAACTTAAAAAATTAAAACATTAATTTACTACAATCGACTTTCAATTTATTTATATTTCAATGGTCAAATAAACCATGGTTTACCGTAACTCTAATTACCGAAACTCAACAAACATTACCCGATAATTTCCGACGCTAAACTAAGGGATTACCCACTTTTTATCGTCTGCTTTAGATCTAGTCTAGCCTATGCTTGAAGACTTCTCCCCCGCTCCCCCACGACAGCCAAATTGAACCTGATAAAATAAGTTATTGAATCGTGCGTAGCCAAAAAAAAAAAAAAAAAAATCCACTTCTCGGTAGGCCTATATTTCCGGGAAACGATCGGTGGCAAAGCCCCCCCCCCCCCACGAAAAAATTCTACCGCCCCACCCCCCCGAACGAAAGGAAATTTATATAATTTATATAGAAAATAAATACTTTTAACAGTGTCCGCCCCCCGAAGAAAGTCTACCGCCCCCCCCCCCCTGAGAAAAAAGTCTCGAAGAAACACTGGCCTTGGGAAGTTGGGATCTGTATAATATATAGATTTAGGGCCTATATACGCCTATATATATATATATATATATATATATATATATATATATATATATATATATATATATATGCCTAAATATCTATATAAAATATGCCTATAGGCCCTATATATAACTAGCCTATAATATTAGCCTATATTATTATATACTACATATATAGGCTAATATTATAGGCTATATACATAGGCCTATATAGGCTTATATATGTATATATAGGCCTATTATGTATATATATAGCCTATAATATTAGGCTATATATATATATATATATATATATATATATATATATATATATATATATATATATATATATATATATATATCCCTATATATATTATATTGACCTATATATATTCCATACTATTTAAAGAACATACAATATATAGGCCAATATATATATATATATATATATATATATATATATATATATATATATATATATATATATATATTTATTTATAGGCCTATATATCTATATATAGGCCTATATATAGCCTATTTACGGTGTCGTTTTTTTTGGGGTGATGTGTGTGGGGGAGGGGAGGGACACCAACCTCTGTCCTGCCTCCACTTCTGTGAGCCCTTTAATATGATTGGCCAGATTGTGATACCAACAATACATTGTTATAATTGTCAGGTGCTCTTATTAACATTATGAGACTACATTCCCCAAAATATTAACAAAACAGTCTACAACATGTGGTCGGTATGAGTTGTACAACAAATTAGTTGTAACGTTGGTATGGGACCTAAATGACTGTGTTAAGCTTTTTTTTTAAACCACCACATGTACACAGTGTCTATTCACTTCATTTGTGAGATGTGAAGGGTAATAACAATGCAAGTCCGGTTAAGGATGTCATAACAGTGTCATTTAACTAGGACAGTAATTAAAACAAACGACACATTCAGAAATGGAAGTTCGGAAAGTCTGACGTTATACATTTGTTTTAAGTAATTTTTCAAAATTAACTTATTTGCATTTTAAAACTTTGTTTGTGTAATTGTATTTAAATTTTTTTTTTTTACTATTTGGCCTTTATCTAATGTTGACGCATCCCAGTTAAAAAGTTTTAAAAATAAATCGCTGTTTCAATAAACTAAAACCGCAATGGGACAGGGCGGGCCGAAAAAACAAAACAGAAAAACAAAATAAAACAAATAAGTCTAACCACCCTGAAATAAAAAAAAAAACCAAAACAAATAAGTCTAACCACCCTGAAATAAAAAAAAAACCAAAACAAATAAGTCTAACCACCCTGAAATAAAAAAAAAACCAAAACAAATAAGTCTAACCACCCTGAAATAAAAAAAAAAAACCAAAACAAATAAGTCTAACCACCCTGAAAATAAAAAAAAAACAGCTCAAGATAACTTACCCTTTTTTTTTTTACACAACGGAATAAGTTGGTTAGACGATTAGGCCCAACTGTTAAATTCAAGCGTGCACGCGTCTGTAGAGCCAGTTGCAGTCTGCTATCGTGAAAGCCAGTTCAATCGAGCAGACGAGAGCTCGAGCGGAACACAGCCAGCGACACACGAAGCTAACAACAAAAAGGACATTTCAATAAGAGTTGAGCCCGCGCAGTTTTAAATCAAGTCAAGTTTATTTTGGCTCATAAACGTCTGCACTTCACTGGTCAGTTCCCCCTCCCATTTTTAATTAGGCTACGACATAGTACCACGCAACATAAATTATTCACAGAATTATGTTTAATTAGCAGGTTAAAAAAAAGCTGTTCGAGTTATGGTCGTTTATAAATGACGTCATGGTATTTTATCATCCCACGTCTTCAGAAAACTCCAGAGCTCTCCCCATAAAGTGACGTCATAATGCAGCACCCTCCCCTAGAGAAACAATAATTCAAAGTAAATAACACATAATTCATCACCCCCACTCCGGAAAATTTAATCCCTTCCACCCCCCACCGCCGAAAATATCAACTGCCCCCTCCCCCCCTCCTCGGAGAAAAATGTCTGAAAGAAACACTGACTACCATATCCACTAGTGGGCTTGTGATTTCACCTCTCAATGCACCCCTCAACTGGTGTCTGTTATGAGTTTTAAGATGTTTCGACACATGAACACACCATTCGGGGATTCCCGTTGTAAGGTCTAACACGACAAAACACGTGTCGGCCTTACACTACGGTTGTAGTCAAACAATTTTCAAACAACGAAAAAATGACAGGGAAGTTTACGTAAAAGATTAAAACTCGATGAACACGTATGTATTCAAACACACACGCCATCAGAGCTAACGCTGTTTGTTTCATCAGTACGTGATTAAAATTCATCAATACTAATTTATGGGTCAAATTTTCATCAATACTAGATTCGGGTTAAAATTCTTGCTTATTAGTCATATTAGAGCAAAGGTTAAAGGTGACTAGTCATTCTGGAGAACATGACTATGACGTAAGTAGTGTATGACCAAGATAACAGTAAAATAACTGTAACTTATCTTTAGATAACACTAGACTACCCGTTATCCGTGGATAACTGTGGGTCTCGGGGCTCATCCATAAATGACATCACGTCTGTCACTTATCATCACAAAATAACCAGACCTCACATTAAAAAAGACGTCACACCTCAGACGTTTTTGTCTTTTAAAAACAATTATTTCGGTTGAGCATGGGTCTGACCACATTATCCCTTCATATGCTGAGGTCACAAAGCAGGTCGACTCTACTTCACCTGCCTAGTGTCCCGCCAACTCAGACATGTTTTTGTCTTTTAAAACACAGATTTCGGATCAGAATGGGTCTGACCACACTATCCCTTCATATACTGACGTCAAAGGTGAACTCTACACCTGCCCAACTCTACTTCACCTGCCCAGTGTCCCACCAAGTCTCAGGCAACATGTTTTTTTTATCGTTTAAAAACACTGATTTAACAAGACAGGCCATCTCCTGGAATCCACAAGGCAGGAGGAGGAGAGGCAGACCAAGAAAGACCTAGAGACGTGACCTGGAAGAAGACACCAAGAAGATTGGATACACCTGGGGACAGTTGGAGAGACTAGCCCAGGACAGAGACGTCTGGAAATCTCTTGTCAGCGGCCTATGTTCCAGGGGGGACGACAGGCAAACCTAACCTAACAACACTGATTTCGGCCGAGCATGAGTCTGACCACACTATCCCGTCAGATAACATTGTCACATTGTCTTGACAACGATACGTGACAATCTCCACATAGCTCTTATTTAGTAGTAAACGTTTTAAAACCTATTTCGGACTCACATATTGTTTTTACACGGTTTATGGACAAAACCTCACTTCAATAGTAGCCGATAGATCCTATACAGTTTTGTATTTAGTACAAGTTAACCATCTGAATGAATGAAAGTACATGTCAGAAAGAAGTATTACTATTGTTTCAGTCCTCACACGCTGATGATGAAAACTATGACACTGAGGCCAATAAAATGAATTCAAATTTATTATTGCCAATAAAATTGCCACTGTCTCTAAAGCCCTATCCACTAGCAAACTTCATTAGATTTTTTTTCTACCGCTGAGATATGTTTATCGATCGAATTTAATCAATAACGTCTTCGATAACTTTGGGAAAATTTAGCCCTAGTTTAAGTCATCTGTAAATAGAGCTGTTGGTTGGTGTTAGCTGTTTGTTGCAAACTTATGGTATCACACGAAGTGAAGGTAGGTAGAATGGGGGACCAGTCACAATTCACGTGTACTGTGACATTCTGTTATTGGGAGTGCCATTTCAACAATGTTAAAGTTAAAACCTATTAGAAATAACGTTCATCTCTTGAAATGTAGCTGATTTGTATTTTATACCACATTTATTCTCTCCATTGAGTTCAGAGTTAGGTGTGTCAATTATTTACGTCGACTGACGGCTATCAGATGTGAACACATTCCGTGAACACAACTCACAAGACCTAGATATAGTTTTTAAAATAGTCGTCTTTGCAATCTCCTTATTTAACTTTGTCAATCATTGCTTGTGGACAGTTAAATTACATTCATTCTTTTACACTGATTCAAAAGGCACAAAGTCATTAAAAAAATAAATGTAAAAAATGATTTATTATATCATTAATTTTATACATGGTCGTGTTAAAATAAAATGCCACGTTTAGTAATAGAAAGACAATAAACCATTGACTTTTACTGAGTTAAACTGGGAAAATCGTGATCGTAGTGGCGTCAATAGGTCGGGTGACATCAGTGGCATCCGCACCACACGTCACCGCCTTGTGACTCTATGATCACACAACAAAAGAGATGTGTACCAAGTCATTAAGACTGGTCCCGGTCAGAGGCGTAGCGGGGGGGGGGGGGGTGCGGACCGCACCGGGTGACACCATTTAGGGGGGTGACACCAAGGCCAAAAAATGCAAAATATATAGAGAAAAAATGATAATTCCACTTAATTAAGTGATTATTTCGAGTGTTAAATAGTCTTTTAAGAGGTGCAAGTCGAAAGTTTGAGGGGGTGGGGGGGGGGGGGTGCAAATCGAAAGTTTGAGGGGGGGGGGTGTGCAAATCGAAAGTTTGAGGGGGGGGGGGGGTGCAAATCGAAAATTTGTCCCCGGGAAGGGTCGCTACGCCTCTGGGGTGACACCATTAAGTGCCGCACCGGGTGACACTCGACCTCGCTACGCCACTGGTCTAACGTAGATAAACAATAATAAATAGGGCACGTTTGAAGCAACTTTTAAAAAGTTGACCCAATAATTAGATGGGTTACTGTATGATGTGTGAAGGAAGACAATGCACGTTAGCGCTAAGTTTTACAACTCTAATCAGCTGTTTTTCATTTCTAAGTTGACTGCGAGATTTGAAAAGAGGTAAATAAGGCACACTTCTCCCGACTGGTCTGAATGAGAAATCGATAAATACAAGTGATGTAAAAATATATTTAATACAAATAATATTTTTGATATTAAATTAATTAGCTGCCTGCTAATTGTTTATCGTAAATCAACATACTTTTGTCTAATATTAAAATTTTGAGAATCGTTTTTTCTTAATTCTCAACTTTTTGGACAGTTTTGTAATACCGCCATTGGTAGATATAAGAGGATCGTCCCCTGAGAGAGTTTTAATGCCGTTTGGTTTTGTTTTGCTGGAGTAGCCATTGGTGTGATGGGTTGGTTGACTAGAGTGAGGTTTGACTGGTCTTGAGTGAAGCTCTTCTGTGTTCATTGGCTCATGGCAGATGTTGTTGTTGTTCCCGTTGGTGTTTTTATAAGCTGTTGTCGCACTGTGGTCAGTGGTGGATGGTTCAATCCTGGCTGGTTCAACTACAAATGGGTCGGCTCTAGCTGGTAAACCATTGCATGACATCGCTCTGAATGGCTCAACTCTAGTTGGCTCAGCCCAGGACGGCTCAGTCATGAATGGCTCAACTCTTGTTGGCTCAGCCGTGGAAGGTTCAGTTCTGAATGTGGGTGCTCGGAATGGCTCAACTCTAGTTGGATCAACCCAGGACGGTTCAGTCCTGAGAGGATCAGCTACAGATGGCTCAGCTACAGATGGCTCAGCCCTAGGTGGCCCATCACTTGAGGGTCCCCCAGTGCTGAAGTCATCAGACTGCTGGTACAACTTCTCGTACCACATCCTTGAGGCTGCCCTCAGAGCTTCTACTCTACACTTGTCTGGACTACAACACAGGACCCTCAGCATCCCTTCACTGAAGATACTCGGGCCCAGGATTCGGCTGGCCTGGGGGACATTGATTATAGTACATTAAAAATATGTATGTTGAATCATGATTTTAACGGAGGAAGTGAATATATTTCTTTATAAACACATCATTTATATCCTCGTTAAAGTATTTAAATTCTTTATTATTAGCAAAAGTAGATAACAAATAATAAATATTTAAAATAAAAAACAACAAACAAACAACAGATCTATTAAATAGTTATAAACTATTAATTAGCGGCTAATGGGTTTGGGATTCTTGGAAATGTGGACAGGCTTACCTCGTCTTTCGGCAAGGCACGCGCGATATTGAGGTCACTTTTGGAATAGACGTTCAGCCTTTCTATTGGATTTTTGTCCTTCATGCCGAAGTCGAGGTAGGAAGTCTGTTGAGATAAAGCTATTATAGTCGAGGTAGGAAGTCTGTTGAGATAAAGCTATTAAAGTCCAGAAGTCTGTTGAGATAAAGCTATTATAGTCTAGGTAGGAAGTCTGTTCAGATAAAGCTATTATAGTCTAGGTAGGAAGTCTGTTGAGATAAAGCTATTATAGTCTAGGTAGGAAGTCTGTTGAGATAAAGCTATTATAGTCTAGGTAGGAAGTCTGTTGAGATAAAGCTATTATAGTCTAGGTAGGAAGTCTGTTGAGATAAAACTATTATAGTCTAGGTAGGAAGTCTGTTGAGATAAAGCTATTATAGTCTAGGTAGGAAGTCTGTTCAGATAAAGCTATTATAGTCTAGGTAGGAAGTCTGTTCAGATAAAGCTATTATAGTCTAGGTAGGAAGTCTGTTGAGATAAAGCTATTATAGTCTAGGTAGGAAGTCTGTTCAGATAAAGCTATTATAGTCTAGGTAGGAAGTCTGTTCAGATAAAGCTATTATAGTCTAGGTAGGAAGTCTGTTGAGATAAAGTTATTATAGTCTAGGTAGGAAGTCTGTTGAGATAAAACTATTATAGTCTAGGTAGGAAGTCTGTTCAGATAAAGCTATTATAGTCTATGTAGGAAGTCTGTTCAGATAAAGCTATTATAGTCCAGGTAGGAAGTCTGTTGAGATAAAGCTATTATAGTCTAGGTAGGAAGTCTGTTAAGTTAAAACTATTATAGTCTAGGTAGGAAGTCTGTTGAGATAAAGCTATTATAGTCTAGGTAGGAAGTCTGTTGAGATAAAGCTATTATAGTCTAGGTAGGAAGTCTGTTGAGATAAAGCTATTATAGTCTAGGTAGGAAGTCTGTTGAGATAAAGCTATTATAGTCTAGGTAGGAAGTCTGTTGAGATAAAGCTATTATAGTCTAGGTAGGAAGTCTGTTGAGATAAAGCTATTATAGTCTAGGTAGGAAGTCTGTTGAGATAAAGCTATTATAGTCTAGGTAGGAAGTCTGTTCAGATAAAGCTATTATAGTCTAGGTAGGAAGTCTGTTGAGATAAAGCTATTATAGTCTAGGTAGGAAGTCTGTTGAGATAAAGCTATTATAGTCTAGGTAGGAAGTCTGTTCAGATAAAGCTATTATAGTCTAGGTAGGAAGTCTGTTGAGATAAAGCTATTATAGTCTAGGTAGGAAGTCTGTTCAGATAAAGTTATTATAGTCTAGGTAGGAAGTCTGTTCAGATAAAGCTATTATAGTCTAGGTAGGAAGTCTGTTGAGATAAAGCTATTATAGTCTAGGTAGGAAGTCTGTTCAGATAAAGCTATTATAGTCTAGGTAGGAAGTCTGTTCAGATAAAGCTATTATAGTCTAGGTAGGAAGTCTGTTCAGATAAAGCTATTATAGTCGAGGTAGGAAGTCTGTTCAGATAAAGCTATTATAGTCTAGGTAGGAAGTCTGTTCAGATAAAGCTATTATAGTCGAGGTAGGAAGTCTGTTGAGATAAAGCTATTATAGTCTAGGTAGGAAGTCTGTTCAGATAAAGCTATTATAGTCTAGGTAGGAAGTCTGTTGAGATAAAGCTATTATAGTCTAGGTAGGAAGTCTGTTGAGATAAAGCTATTATAGTCTAGGTAGGAAGTCTGTTGAGATAAAGCTATTATAGTCTAGGTAGGAAGTCTGTTGAGATAAAGCTATTATAGTCTAGGTAGGAAGTCTGTTCAGATAAAGTTGTTATTATACACGCAATTATCCATGTTTTGTGTGTGTATGCCCCTCTCTCTGTACATGAATGTGCACGTGTGTGCTCACGTTCGTGTGTGTGAATGTGTTTTGTGTTCGTCATGCATGTCTCACATAAACTCATCTGAGCTCACGGCATGAGCTGGGATCTACTGTAACACTCACGTGAAAAGCAAGGTCATCTTGCCCCACAATGACCCCGGGCCGGACGTACGCCAGGATCGTCTCTTTGAGGTCATCTTCATTCAGCTGCAATAGGCAAACAGACACACTCAAGGGGCAGTAATTATTATTGTGTATGCAGTTAATGAGTCAAGCATTACTCGATTCAAATGTAGTTTTGAACGGCTTGCGATAAATCTTTACACTGAAATAAAGAAAATTGTAAGAAAACCGTAAGAAATCTTTACACTGAAATAAAGAAAACCGTAAGAAATTTTACCGTCTGAAGGAATTCTGGGCTTAACGGTTTCGTCTCCAGCACGCAGACGTACAGGTCACGTCTGAAGATGCGCTGGATGATGACCTTGGCCTCCTCAAGGTCCTTTGTTTTGACGTCTGAGTAAAGAATCTTAAAGAGGACGTCATCGGTCAGCTTCGTGTAGGCAGCCATGTCGTGGATACATTCGGACATCCGGAGTGGCTGGCTGGTGCAGATAGGTCAGTTGTTAACATGAGAAGGTCAGTTAACATAAGCAGGTCAGTTAACAACATGAGAAGGTCAGTTAACAACATGAGAAGGTCAGTTAACAAGCTAAGGTCAGAATTTTAGGTCAGTCAACATCTTAAAGACGGTCCATGAACAATTTCAGAAGTTCAGTCAATGTGTTAATGTGAGCATATTTATAAAGTAAGACAATGATTCCTACCTATTTTTTCCATAAAATAGAACATCATTGTTGGCTTTCATCATAGCATGCAGTACCCTGGCCAATTGAAAGGGGGAAAAATAAACTAATTAATGAATGCAACTACGTTAATGCAGCTAAATTATATGTCCCTCTCTCTCTCTATATATATATTTATACATATATAATATATATATATATATATATATATATATATATATATATATATATATATATATATATATATATATTTATACATATATAATATATATATATATATATATATATATATATATATATATATATATATATATATATATATATATATATATATATATATATATATATATATATGTGTGTGTGTTGTGTGTGTATGTAAATGAATAGTTTACAAGAAACAGATTGTGACGTACATTGTCTCTATAGCACTTTTAACCCTATGCTGGTAGGCGTATTTGTGTAGAGTATACCTGGAGTAGAACATGTTGTATAAGTTGCTGATTTCCTGAGGATTCAGACAAGAAAGGGTTAACATAAACACATGCATTTAAAACTTCAGTCTACTAGAAATTCATGTACTTAATTACAGTACATCAGAATATCATGCATCTGTATACCTTACACCAGCAAATCATGACTCCCAATAATGAAATGTGCATCTCATTCACTGATCCGTATGTTATCCAAAGTTAAGATTAATATATTCGTGTACTAAACTCACTAGAAGTTCGGGTTTTTATGCAAATGATACATTTGTTGAAAATAAATATGTTTGAGGGGAGCTCTTTCTATCGGTCTGGGGGTCGCTTTTTTTTTGGGGGGGGGGGGGGGGGGGGGGGCTATATGGTCGTCAATTGATCGTAAACACGAAAAAAAGCAAAATAAAAAAAACAAACAAAAAAAAAACAACAATAAATCTCTCCTAGTCATTGAACGTTTTGAGTTGACCTACTTTGTCTCGAATGCAGATCTGAAGTTGGCTATCCACCTCACAAATCCGGGCCATCTTCATGAACCGGAAGTGGTCAAAGTTGTTTTTTAGGCCAAGATGGTGACAGTCTCTAGCAAAATAGTCGAATTTATCCACATCGATTCCGTTACGCTGGTTACATACGATCTGTACAAATATGCACATAAATGTAAAGTATGTCTCAATAATAAGATAGTATCACATACATGTAAGGTATGTCTCAGACATATGACAAACCTCGTAAAGAAACGCCTTCTCCCTCACAGGAGAATCACTCACACAATTCACACACTGAACACAAACCTCATAAAGAAATGCCTTCTCCCTCACAGGAGAAACACAACTCACTCAATTAACACTGAACACAAACCTCGTAAAGAAACGCCTTCTCCCTCACAAGAGAATCACTCACATAATTCACACAATTCACACACTGAACACAAACCTCGTAAAGAAACGCCTTCTCCCTCACAAGAGAATCACTCATACAATTCACACACTAAACACAAACCTCACAAAGAAACGCCTTCTCTCCGCTCCCTTCAAAGGAGAATCACTCAGACAATTCACACACTAAACACAAACCTCGTAAAGAAACGCCTTCTCCCTCACAAGAGAATCACTCACACAATTCACACACTGAACACAAACCTCATAAAGAAACGCCTTCTCCCTCACAAGAGAATCACTCACACAATTCACACACTGAACACAAACCTCATAAACAAATGCCTTCTCCCTCACAAGAGAATCACTCACATAATTCTCACATTGAACACAAACCTCATAAAGAAACGCCTTCTCCCTCACAAGAGAATCACTCACATAATTCACACAATTCACACACTGAACACAAACCTCATAAAGAAACGCCTTCTCCCCCACAGGAGAATCACTCACACAATTCACACAATTCACACACTAAACACAAACCTCATAAAGAAACGCCTTTTCCCCCACAGGAGAATCACTCACATAATTCACACAATTCACACACTAAACACAAACCTCATAAAGAAACGCCTTCTCCTTCCCTCTGCCAGTGCACATCCACTCCTGAAAGTGCAAAAAAAAAAAAAAAGATCGATAAAATGCATGCACCAGGTACTCAGCTAGCGGTTAGTGTGAGCATGTGGCTGTTTGCCAATTTGGAGATTAATTCATCACTAACGTTTATAACTTGATAGCTGGCAATAAATGTAGCTGGCTTTACGATACTTGCCCGAACGCTGCTTGCTCGAAGGGCTTTTATCCGATGTACATTTGCCCGAATGTGACAAATGCCCAACTGGAATTTTTCAAGAATGGGATAAATACTCTAAAAAATATTTCCCGAATGGGACAAATGCCCCAATAGACGTTTACATTTTCTAATTAAAGAGGCGAATCGTGCTGAATTTGTATTGTTTGTGGCTCAAAGATATGCCAGATGTATAAAAAATGTAATCCGTCATTCAGTTTGTCCAAATTCATCTATAACTTAAGCCAATAAAACTCTTATATAACTCACTTCTACAGAATTCGACTAACCCCGTGATCTGTACCTTGATAAACATCATGTCAACACCACTTAACCCTGTGAACACCACTCACCTCTGTGAACACCACTTACCCCTGTCAACACCACTCACCTCTGTGAACACCACTTCCCCTGTGAAGACCACTTACCCCTGTCAACACCACTCACCTCTGTGAACACCACTTACCCCTGTGAACACCACTCACCTCTGTGAACACCACTTCCCCTGTGAAGACCACTTACCCCTGTCAACACCACTCACCCCCTGTCAACACCACCCACCCCTATCAACACCACTTACCCCTGTAAACACCACTCACCCCTGTCAACACCACTTACCCCTGTGAACACCACTTACCCCCGTAAACACCACTTACCCCTGTAAACACCACTCACCCCTGTCAACACCACTTACCCCTGTGAACACCACTTACCCCTGTGAACACCACTTACCCCTGTCAACACCACCCACCCCTGTCAACACCACTTACCCCTGTATCGTTGTATCTAACTCCCGCGATCTGTTCCTTGATAAACATCAGGTCCCTGTTGTCTAGACCAAACTCTCGCAACTTCCCGTTCTCGTCCATCAGACGGTGCTCCTGCACGAGATGGTCGAACATCTCCACGGAGGCCTGCTCGTGCTGACGATAGAGACATGAGATTTTATCATCTTTTGACGAGAGTTTTGTAACGTGCTGACGATAGAGACATGAGATTTTATCATCTTTTGACATAAGATTTTCTCATCTTTTGACATGAGATTTTCTCATATTTTGACATGAGATTTTCTCATCTTTTGACGAGAATTTTGTAAAGTGATGACGATATAGACATGAGATTTTATCATCTTTTGACGAGAGATTGTTTTGTAACGTGCAGAGGGTGATGGGGGAATTGAAATAGCGAGACACTTGTTAAGGTGAAATTATCAAATACTTTTTTAACCGTTGGCTGATGATTTAAAAATTTTGCTCATTTTCCCCGTTTTAATACTGAAGGTACGTCTTATTGAGACCTAAGGGCGAAAATTTAGTTTTGGCGTCTGCTGACGATGCTCTAAGTGTTCATACAGCTAAAGACTTTGTGTGTAGGTTGGGAGTTAGTTAATATCTTTCTAGTCGATACTTGGTTAAAAACTTTTGGCTCGATACTTAGTTAACATATTATGGGCCGATACCTGCTTGATATCACATGGGCATATATTCACAAATTCCCTAAACCAGAACAAAGACAAATAATTTTGAAAATATGAAATAAAAGACATAATTCATACCTTCCATTTTGTTCCTTTGCAATATGCAGGAATAAATTTCTGGTCAAACAAATGAGACAAGGGGCCATGACCTGTTTGGATGGAGAAGTTTGATAGGGACACGTGGATAAATACAGGTAAATTAAACTATATTAGACACACTTCACAACAACAAAAATAAAAATCAAGTAGGTTTAGAGCTAAAAGAAACTACCATAAACATGGCCTACCTAAATCATGAAGCATCTCTACATAATCTAAATATGGCTTACCTAAATCATGACACTGCCATATATAATCTAGATATGGTCTACCTAAATCATGACCTAACTCTACAGGATCTAGATGTGACCTACCTAAATCATGACCTAACTCTACAGGATCTAGATGTGACCTACCTAAATCATGACCTAACTACAGGATCTAGATGTGACCTACCTAAATCATGACCTAACTCTACAGGATCTAGATGTGACCTACCTAAATCATGACCTAACTCTACAGGATCTAGATGTGACCTACCTAAATCATGACCTAACTCTACAGGATCTAGATGTGACCTACCTAAATCATGACCTAACTCTACAGGATCTAGATGTGACCTACCTAAATCATGACCTAACTCTACAGGATCTAGATGTGACCTACCTAAATCATGACCTAACTCTACAGGATCTAGATGTGACCTACCTAAATCATGACCTAACTCTACAGGATCTAGATGTGACCTACCTAAATCATGACCTAACTCTACAGGATCTAGATGTGACCTACCTAAATCATGACCTAACTCTACAGGATCTAGATGTGACCTACCTAAATCATGACCTAACTCTACAGGATCTAGATGTGACCTACCTAAATCATGACCTAACTCTACAGGATCTAGATGTGACCTACCTAAAACATGACCTAACTCTACAGGATCTAGATGTGACCTACCTAAATCATGACCTAACTCTACAGGATCTAGATGTGACCTACCTAAATCATGACCTAACTCTACAGGATCTAGATGTGACCTACCTAAAACATGACCTAACTCTATAGAATCTAAATGTGACCTACCTAAATCATGGCACAGTCCAGCGATCTCCACACACAAAATGTCTTTCTCATCAATCCCATGGTACGGCATGTTCTGACGTAATATCCTGACAAACTGTCCAGCTAGGTACGAGGTTCTGGTCAAATAGAAGTAAGTATAGATGTATTTTTAATGGATAGATACATGCGTTTTTTAACTACCAGATGTTCGCGTGTTTTAGATGCACGTAGTGTTGTCATATGTATGTACTATAACCAACCATGTGTACGTTTTAAACATTTTTTAAAACAATTAAATGATAAAATTTGTAAATACAAATACTAGTAAAGTAGAAGAGGTGTTAAGTCTCATGACAACAAAACCACTACTTAACTTTTACACTTACTAACTTTAATTATTTATTGCCATTTGTGTTTCTACAGATCTTTAGACTATGCACGTGTTTACGTTGTTGTCTCAACCATTAAGCTCCTAATGTGTTGTTCAATAAGGAAATAGTTCAAGAGCTCAATAACCCCAAGCAGTGTTCAAATCTGTTGTGTGTCCCCCCCCCCCACAGGAAACTCACACTTACCCCAAGCAGTGCTCGAACCTTCCCCCCCCCCCCACACTTACCCCAAGCAGTGCTCGAACCTGTTGTGGGCCGCCCCAGGGTAGACGTAGTAGACCATGCCCAGCTGCTTCAGGTACCGCAGCCTCTGGAACTGGGGGGTGTCGATGATGGCCACACAGGCGGGGTGGAGCTCCAGGTGCCCGTGGATGGGGTCGTTGAAAATCTGGTCAGGACACAAACATGTCACTTTTTGTTTCAGTTTTGTTCTGCTTTCAAAATTTGAAAGATTAATTGATGCTATGTTTAATGTCGTCTCTTAACGACGATTAGCTGTCGTCTGAATGTAAAGGATTCCCGCGACACTGAAGCGTGTACACATAGTTACCTTCCCGCGACACTAAAGCATGTACACATAGTTACCTTCCCGTGAAGCGTGTACACATAGTTACCTTCCCGCGACACTAAAGCATGTACACATAGTTACCTTCCCGTGAAGCGTGTACACATAGTTACCTTCCCGCGACACTAAAGTGTGTACACATAGTTACCTTTCTGCGACACTGAAGCGTGTACACATAATTACCTTCCCACAACACTGAAGCGTGTACACATAGTTACCTTCCGGCGACACTGAAGCGTGTACACATAGTTACCTTCCCGCGACGCGTATACACATAGTTACCTTTCCGCGACACCGAAGCGTGTACACATAGTTACCTTCCCGCGACACTGAAGCGTGTACACATATTTACCTTCCTGATGATTTCTTTTGATGGTAGGTCCACAGTTTCTTGGATGGCAACATCTGATCGTCTGGTCAGATAATAGAAACAAATTTTTATAACACACAATATAACAGTAACGTATATTCTTGAGATTTTACAATTAAAAACGGAGTTGACAAAGTTATAGATTTCTGAATTAGACTGCTAGCTGCTGTGTAAATTATATAATGCAAGCCATGATTTGATATATTTCACTAACTTACCTGTCATTTGCCTTGACATAGACCGTGGGATAGCTCATACCATTAGCATTTTTTACTTTTCTGCCGTCCATGGTAACTCCATTGACCTGATCTTCAGTTTTCAAACATGAACTATTTAGGTTTAAATTTTCAAATTCCGTCATCTTATCAATGATTGGCTTTTGGAATTTGTGACGTCAAGGTAACGCTGAATCGGAAATAAAAACACACAGTATAAAAAAACTGTGCGTTTATTTTTTGTATCAACTATAATTTAAGAAAAGAACATACACAGTTAATCAAAATGTAAGAAAGATCAAAGCTGGTCACAAATTAATTTTTACAGGTATTTTTTGCTTCATCACATGGGGAGATATTTAGCTTGGAAAACTTAATAAATTCATGATTGTTTTGGTCTAACCGCCTAACCGTCTTTTAGGTTCCGTCTCAGTATTATGAACACTATTTTACAAGATGGCAAACTAGTTGTTCATAGGCCACACGCCACACCTATAAAATATGAACACGTCGAAACAGTCGCCACACCGATAAAATATGAACACGCCACACCTATAAAACATGAACACGACAAAACAGTCGCCACACATATAAAATATGAACACGTCGAAACAGTCGCCACACCTATAAAATATGAACACGCCATACCTATATAATATGAACTCGACGAAACAGACGTCACACCTTTAAAATATGAACATACGAAACAGTCGCCACACATATAAAATATGAACATACGAAACAGTCGCCACACCTATAAAATATGAACATACGAAACAGTCGCCACACCTATAAAATATGAACACGACGAAACAGTCGCCACACATATAAAATATGAACAAGACGAAACAGTCGCCACACCTATAAAATATGAACAAGACGAAACAGTCGCCACACATATAAAATATCAACACGACGAAACAGTCGCCACACCTATAAAATATGAACACGACGAAACAGTCGCCACACATATAAAATATGAACAAGACGAAACAGTCGCCACACCGATAAAATATGAACATACGAAACAGTCGCCACATTTATAAAATATGAACACGCCACACCTATAAAACATGAACAGGACAAAACAGACGTCACACCGATAAAATATGAACATACGAAACAGTCGCCACACCTATAAAATATGAACACACGAAACAGTCGCCACATTTATAAAATATGAACATACGAAACAGTCGCCACACCTATAAAATATGAACACGCCATACCTATAAAATATGAACACGTCGAAACAGTCGGTCGCCACACCTATAAAATATGAACAGATTGAAACAGTCGTCACACCTATAATATACGAACACGTCGAAACAGTCGTCACACCTATAATATACGAACACGTCGAAACAGTCGCCACACCTATAAAATATGAACACGTCACACCAGATAAAATATGAACACGTCACACCTATAAAACATGAACACACGAAACTGTCGGTGGTAAATGTTTTGACGAGGCCATGCGCGAGGGTAACTCATTAGAGGCGTCACGTGACAACAGACCCAGGTGACCTTATTGACCAGAGAGACAAAGGTACGCATACAATTAGCGCTAGAGAGACAAAGGTACTCAAACAATTAGCGCTAGAGAGACAAAGGTACTCATACAATTAGCGCTAGAGAGACAAAGGTACTCATACAATTAGCGCTAGAGAGACAAAGGTACTCATACAATTAGCGCTAGAGAGACAAAGGTACTCATACAATTAGCGCTAGAGAGACAAAGGTACGCATACAATTAGCGCTAGAGAGACAAAGGTACTCATACAATTAGCGCTAGAGAGACAAAGGTACGCATACAATTAGCGCTAGAGAGACAAAGGTACTCATACAATTAGCGCTAGAGAGACAAAGGTACTCATACAATTAGCGCTAGAGAGACAAAGGTACTCATACAATTAGCGCTAGAGAGACAAAGGTACTCAAACAATTAGCGCTAGAGAGACAAAGGTACTCAAACAATTAGCGCTAGAGAGACAAAGGTACTCATACAATTAGCGCTAGAGAGACAAAGGTACTCAAACAATTAGCGCTAGAGAGACAAAGGTACTCAAACAATTAGCGCTAGATATATACATAGACCCACCAGGTTTAAGAGATTACTGTATACAATTATATTCTGTGCTGGGCATTGTTGTGTGGTTAAAATATGAGACAGGAGGGGAGGGAGGGTGCGGAGCAGAGACGTATGTGTGTATGGTGTAGGCCATAAATATACTGTATGTTTCTGTCTGCTGATCAGTTCCATATTCTGAGTGCGACTCGCTCGACCACTCAACAACCATTTACACTCACCTTAACCCTTTACACACTAACATAACCCTTTACTCTTACAATAACTCTTTGCAAACTAATTATAGCCTTTTACACTCTCCTTAATCTTTTACACAGCAATTGTAACCCTTTACACTCACCTGAACCCTTTACACTCACCTGAACCCTTTACACTCACCTGAACCCTTTACACTCACCTGAACCCTTTACACTCACCTGAACCCTTTACACTCACCTGAACCCTTTACACTCACCTGAACCCTTTACACTCACCTCAACCCTTTACACCCACCTTAACCCTTACAAGCTAACCTTAACACATTCGCATTAACATTTACCATTCTTATTTGACTTACTTATTAAGACACATTTAGTAAGGAGCTAAGGTAAATCGATTCTCTAAATGTACCAGCCATACATCGAGGTAGAGTTGTGACTGGGTAGTTGCCTGACCCTGCCACATTTGTTGGCTGGACAGTCCATTCGGTATGCTGCTGTGTTTGTTGTGTGTTAGGCCACAACACACTCGAGACAAACTTACAACACACTCGAGACAAACAACACACTCGAGACAAACTTACAACACACTCGAGACAAACTTGCAACACACTCGAGACAAACTTACAACACACTCCAGACAAACTTACAACACACTCGAGACAAACAACACACTCGAGACAAACTTACAACACACTCGAGACAAACTTACAACACACTCGAGACAAACTTACAACACACTCGAGACAAACTTGCAACACACTCGAGAGAAACTTACAACACACTCCAGACAAACTTACAACACACTCGAGACAAACTTACAACACACTCGAGACAAACTTACAACACACTCGAGACAAACTTACAACACACTCGAGACAAACTTACAACACACTCGAGACAAACTTACAACACACTCTTGTTTCGATAAGCACACCACCACCAACGAAACAACTGACTCAGCAACACCACTGAGATATTGATACTTGTACAGTTTCGTCCTACCCGTGCTATAAACTAACACAAATAGGCTTCCGATTTATCGATTTATCGATTAGGTATTGGATTTCTAACGCACCACAAAAATGGATGATGGATGGAAGTATCTCAAATTATACGATATAAAAATAGAATATTTAAAAATAAACAATATCAAAGATTTCTTTAAAAATTGAAGACTATAACAGTCGCTTACTCGAATCAATCAAATACAATAATTGTCAACGCCCAAATCAATCAGACCTACCTTGGCAGGTGAATCACAGGATTGTCCTGTTGTGTTGTGTCACAGTACTGACTTATAGTCGGGCCACTGTCAACATATGCACCAAGACAAAGTTCAACCTTATCAATTTACAAGTGCGTTCACATCTTGAATACTTGTACATATTGTCTTACGATGTCATAGGTAAGTCAAGAGAGGCTTCATGCTAGAACTCGTTTATTTCTATGTGTAGTACATGAACTGGAATATAGGACACAAGTAGACGACACGTCTATTCCTAGCATTACGCAGAAGTAAACACAAATTCTACTGCGCAAACAGCTTGGAAAGGGAATACCCGATTAGCTGGAATTCAAAATAGGACAGGGGAGTGATTTCCCTTGCGACCTTTGTATTCAGAGAACTGAAGAATGATTTTGAAATCAATTCCTGTTAGATCGACACGGTGTGTTGAGAGGCGTGTCGTATTTACGGGGGCGTTATGACGTTGTGTCACATATCAGTAAGGTGTGTCACAGACTCAACAGTGGAGCAACTAGTCAGGGTGTGTAGTGGTGGGAAAATCAACACAACACATGATTAAACCTACACAGTTTTTAGTGTTGACATACGTTATAAGATCTTGAAGTCAAGTTTTTATTTACTTCGCGATAAAATTTTTAATCAGTACATTTTCTAAGAAACAAAGGAAGTCTTTTCTTGAAAGGTGAAAAAAAAACGACGGCCGCTTAAGGGCATGGGCGGGTGTACTTTTCGTCATAAATCCACTAAATCATCGATTTCCCACTTTTACTTGATCTATACAGAATAACCATCGTTGAATCAAAAAATGACATTGTTATGACCCTGAAAACATTATTTATTTATGAAAAACCGGGTTCAAAGTAGTGTGTTCAGGGTAATTTGATCACTTTTTCGGTAAAAATAGCCATTTTTCGACCTAGAAAAGTACTATTAGATTTTGAGGAAGCCTAATGTGTTTCATATCAATGGAAAGGCCGTGACCTCCTTTCTTTATTTGTTCTAAAATTAAAGGACCAATCAAAATACCTATTTTAATGTGATTATTTTTATACGTCATAAAGTTGTTTATTTTACTCATTCGGGTTTTTCCGGTATGCAAATTTTTGACCTCAATTTTTTCATTGGCATTCAACGGCGGAAGCTAGTTAGCGATTGGTCGTTTCGCTTCGGGAGTAAACATTCCCTTAGTTTCAGCGCGTTGCTAAGTTTGATCTAGTTTTGTTTCTCTAAGCTTCTGTGAAATACTTACATTATTTTAACATATAATTATTTAAATTAAATATACTATTAACAGTTTAGATTAGTTTGTGTGAATTATCATAAGCAGTGAGACGATTTAGTTTGTTTCTCTTTCGATAATGGGTAGAACAAAACACTCGCTAAAAATAGATACACACATCTAACGAATTTACTAAAGCAAGGGCACGTCCGAATGCAACTGATTGCATCTAGAGTCTACCTCTACTCAATCTAGCACTATTCAGACAAGCACTGGTCCAGATGTAATATGCACATTTACTAAGAAACTGCGGCAATGTAAGACAGTTTTTACAGACAGAAGAAAGCACTGTTACATCTAGTATGGTAGTGCTAATTGTAAACAACAGCCATGCAGAATTATTGTCGACTGTGATTTGCTTCTTGATGTTATCAATACATTTCCTTGCCAAGAGTGTAACTGTGATGTAGTCGCTACTATTGGTGAAAAAAGTGTAAAGGGTTTGCTTCAAGCAAATTCAAATTTATTCAAATTTATTCAAACAACGGTTACAATTGTAGGCACAAAGGCCTTTTTTCACATTGGCCGTTTAAACAAATAAAGCAATTCAATAACACATAGCAGTAACACATAGCACTGAAAACGTGGAATAAAGAAACAATGGTACATAGCTATCATACATAATGAGATAAAAAAGATAATATAATAGATGAATGAGAAATGTTACAATGAGTCAGTTAGGTCATTAAATAATTTTAGTTTTAGTTTAGATTTGAATATATTTTCAGATCTAGATAGCTTTATTTTATTAGGAAGATTGTTCCACAAATTAGAACCAGAGTAGGCGAAGCTATGTTTTTGGAAAAAGGTTGAATAAGGGAATGGTAAATTAAGACGACGATTTAATTTTATGTTAAAAGAAAATAGATCTGATAAGTAAGAGGGGGCTGTTTCGTGGAATATTTTATATAAGAAAATTGATTTAGTATATATTATCTTTTTATTTAATGGAAGTATTTTAGTAGTAAGAAAAGAATCCAGACTACTAGACAAGCCAGTAACCAGTTTTATAGCCCTTTTTTGTAAAGAAAGAAGAGGACGCTGCTTAGATATAAAGCTGCCGCTCCACACTACAGAAGCATAATCCAACCTGGATTGAATAAAAGCCTCATAAAAAACCAGCCTGCTCCTATAGTTGAGAAAGTTCTTTATCCTTGCTAATTGAAAGGTTGTTTTTAATAAGGACATTCTTAGAAAATGAATATGGTCAGACCAAGTGAGGTTGTGATCTATAAACAATCCTAGGCATTTGTAACTGTCTACCTGTTCAATGTTTGAATTGTCTATAGTAATGTTTAATGCGGTGGATGGAAGACGAAGGCGTTTCTGATGAGTTGTAATAAACATTGACTTGGTTTTATCGGGTGTGGCAGTGATAAAAATGGTGTAAACCATATGTATACAACTGCAAAAGAATCCTGAACAAGGCCATTCACAATAAACAAAGACATCGTCTTATCATAATTGGCTTTAGACACGAGACCATGCAAAATATACTGCTGTTTCTGCGATAGCATAATTCAGTATTGGGCCCATGCATGCTATGGCATTGCTGTCAAAAGAAGGAAACCATAGTCAAAGACTCAGTGAAGGACGCCAAAAAAGACGCCTTCGCAACAGCTTTACTACAGCTCTAGGTAAAACAAAGAAAGCCAGAAAAAAAGGAAACTTACAGCTGAACAAGCTCAGAAGGAATATATTCAGCAGCACCATACTTCAGGCAATAAATGTGGTCAATTTTAGTGACATACAGCTGTAAATTTTCTTTTTTTGCAACTTTTTGTTGGTTTTTTGCGTTTTTCTCAGTTTGATACTTTTGTGAACAATTATTGAAATAACTTTGTTAATAATTATCAGAACTGAACTAAATTTTTTCCAGTTACTCTGTATATATGTTCAAATAAAACGTATTGAACACTTTTGGAAATTTAAAAAAAAAATTTTTTTTATTGTTGAAATAGTGAAAAAATTGGACGAAATAATGAAATTTTTACAGTGATGTATGGGAAAAAAAAGTAAAAAATAAACTATCTTCTTTTTTGAAAATGTAATCAATAGGAAGTGTTAAACACATGTGTTTCCAGAATGTATTAAGTTTTTATGAAATTTGTACAAACCATTTTTGAGTTATTTCCATTTAAAAATCGTCAATAAAATCCAATATGGCCGCCGTCACCATGGCAACGGAGGATTTAAAAAATTAAAAAAAAATATTTTTATGCTTATCTCTTTGAGTTATAACTATTAGCCAAGTATTACATCTTTAGACTCGGAAATAAGGAAGTTGGTACTCATCACCCGCCCATGCCCTTAAGATAATAAAAAGACTTATATAGTATTAAAGACTTAAAGTAAAGATTAATTGTAAGTTTTTCCCAATCAATACTTGAGTAAAAATACAATTACCATTCTACACTACTTTCCCCATGGCAAGTATCGATGCCGTATTTTGTATCGATCTATATCATGCTTAATGATCGATACTTGATATAGTCTGAAAGCCTCTCTAGGCTAATCGTTACATACACAATTTTTAATAAATTTTGTATTTTCTCGAGCAGGTTTGATTACAGACAGGTCATAGGTCACAGCGATCATGACGGGTCACTGTGGCCCAAACACTGAACCATCAAATGTAACTGTATGTAATGCGAGCAGGAGTTGTTAGCGAAACTGACGTCACTACCTCTAGTAATGCCGGGAACCAATCAAAGCTGAGCGCCACTTGAGCTTGTTATTGATCTCAGTCAAGCTGTGTGACTTACTTGACTGAATCCTTAGGGACTTCTGGTGAGCAAATGACTGCAGCTGCACCTCGCCAAAGGACTGTTACGGGCAGCTCTCTTTAGTTAAGCCCAAGTAAGCCCAAGTCTTAGCCTGAGTTCGATCGAAACTCCGGGGTTCGGCGAGTCAGTCTCAGGGGTTTGGCGAGTCAGCCTCAGGGTTTTGGAGAAGGACACACCCCTGACTGATACTGACATGATTCACGATCGGATTCTGTCAGTGGGAACTATAGAACTATTAAGAAGGGTTCGGTGAATGCGCATATGAAGCTGGTGGGGTTGGGTACCTCCTAAAAGGTTAAGAACCACTGACTAAGTTTCGAACTCCCACGCTTCAGCCTGGTCATGCTCACCAGCTACCAGTCCCCCTTCTCCTAACCTTCTTCTCGCCCCGGCCTGATAAGTTGAAAACTCATGACCCTAACATAAACATGCTAAACTTACTCGCACACTTGGAAACATTACAGTGAAAACACTAGCGATAGGCTCAGTATTTAAGTTTTTTAGTGGACACTTGTGCTGTTTTCTCTCTTTGCTTGAGTAGTACAGTGCACTGTTGACCATCTGCGTGCAGAGGTCCTATGGGTCAGTGGCGTCACTAGGTGGGGTGATAGGGTGTAAAAGACAAGTTAAGAAACTTGACGTGAATTATTGACGACACATTAGCACACACACATCTGTTCACGATATTCCCAAATCAAGATGACACTCTTAGATTTTGCGATGAAGTGTATACTATATGTAACGATGTAAATATATGCTAATAGTGACATTAGTTTATAAGAAATGTTACGATTATTTAAATGTTATAGTATAAGCCGAAGATGAACAATGTTTAATCTTAAAATTAAAATGAGACTGAAAATACCTTATGTCATTTCTGAATGGCAAGTTGCAAAAAAAAAAACCCACAAAAAAAAAACAAAAAAAAAACAACAAACAACAAATGTCTTAAATAAAACTCGTGAAAACAATAATTCTTGTAAACAAATAATACATTAAGTGAATTATTTTTGTAATGCACATACTTATTACTTTCTAAAAGTATCTGACAAGGTTAGTACATTATCAAGTCAACAAAATAGTTACATTTGTCTGACTAGGTTAGTACATTGTCAACAAAATATTTATATGTCTGACTAGGTTAGTACATTGTCAAGTCAACAAAATATTTGCATGTGTCTGATTAGGTTAGTACATTGTCAAGTCAACAAAATATTTGCATGTGTCTGATTAGGTTAGTACATTGTCAAGTCAACAAAATATTTACATTTGTCTGACAAGTTTGAATTTTTTTTAATATAGATAAGGTACTGTTATGTTAATTTACACACAATTTAAGTTATATATACTCCAAAGATATTTTCTGGTCTAATTAACAGCCGAGCAAGTACGACGTGGTTTTAGTCGATAATTAGTCGCGAGAAGTTACACAATCACCGATATACAAGTGAATGTTTCTTCATTGATACAACGTAGAATATGAATAAATCATGTTTTTTTAGCCCGATCTTTAAGGTAACAGGTTGATAAGTGTACGGTGCTTTATCAGAGGCGTAGCGAGGGGGGGCGGGGGTGCGGACCGCACCGGGTGACACCATTTAGGGGGTGACATCAAGGCAAAAAATAGCAAAATATATAGAAAAAAAACTTGAGGGGCGGGTGTGCAAATCGAAAGTTTGAGGGGGGTGTGCAAATCGAAAGTTTGTCCCCGGGAAGGGTCGCTACGCCTCTGGGGGGTGACACCATTAAGTGCCGCACCGGGTGACACCCGACCTCGCTACGCCACTGTGCTTTACTGATACTGGCCGAATAATCAGTTCGGTAGTTTTTAACATCATGTTGAGTTTCAGTGCTTTTTATTCGTTGTGTATGATATTAAAAACAAATCTAATATATAAAGCTCAGTTCTGTATGTAATGCATTTGTATGTCGTTGAAATTGTACGAATTTAAGTGTTAGAAAATTATCGTGCGCATTTGTCTAAATTTATAAGCTAAAAAATTACTATTGAAAGTGTTGGGAAATAATTTTCATTTTTCAAATTATAGTAATAATTGTCGGCATGTTCATTAAACACAAGTTTAAAAAAAAATATCATCTTTTACAAAAATTCTAATTATGTCTTTATTTAGTCCTATAGCACTTACTTCCCTTTGATAAATTAGGAAAAGCACAATTACTTCCCTTTATAAAACCATTGCATTCCGTGAAAATAATTTACTTTTTAATTACTTTGTTTTGGTGTTGGGAAAAAAAATAATTACATAATTAGCGGGGATTGATCAAGTGCAAATGTTGTAGGTATTTTACGGATAAGCTTGGAGTATTAAAATTGTTTATTAAATTGAAACAGGCGCGTTCGTTTAAGTGAGTGCAAAAGACTGTGAATAAGTTGGGGTACTATAGTCGTTCATTAAGCTAAAACAGGTGATTCCGCCCCGGGCGTTTATGTTCGCGTTAGTGTTTTCTTTGTGTTTAGGTGGGTTTGCGTTAGTGGTTGCGTTTTAATTTGGTTCGTTTTTGTTCTTTCTTTTTTCGTTTTTGTTTGTGTTTTTTTTGTTTGGGTTTGTATTTGTGTTTTTGGTTGGTTTTGCGTTTGGATTTGGTTTGTTTTCGTTTGCTTTTTTCGTTGATTTTTTTTTTGTTGGTATTGGTGTTTGTGGTTGGGTTTGTTGTTAGGTTTTTGTTTTCGTTTGCTTTTTTGTTTGTTTTTTCTTTGTGTTTGTATTGGTGTTTGTGGGTGTGGTTGTGTTTGTTGTTAAGTTTTTGTTTTCGTTTGTATTTGTAATTGTGTTAGCGTTATGTTTGCGTTTTGTTGTTTTGGTTTTGGTTGGTTGTGGTTTGGGTGGGCAATGCCGGGTTTATGATGATTACTAAACACACAGGTAATGGTCTTTAACAGAAAGGTTTTTCACAGAAGCCAGAGCAGGGCCTGGCCGGGACGGCTAGTATGAAATATATTTCACGTACTCAAAGTAAGACACAGCATAAAGTATAAGATCATCCGTTGGTTCAATTAGATTTATACGAGCTCCGGGAACATCAAAGAAACTGATTTATAACGGCAACTAGAACATCAAACAAATTGATTTATAACGGCAACTAGAGCATCAAACGATTTGATATTTATACACGAGGTTTCTCTAGGCTAGCTAGACGGCTTCTTATCGAGTTTCCCAAAAATGATCTTCTGTCTGTCGTAACGTTATCTGTACCAAAAATATACAAATCCAGACGTTATGTACGTGGTGTACATTTTTATATGAGAGCTGAAAGTTTGGCTGCACATACTATGGTACGGCTTAACAAAAGATTCATACCAAATATAATCTATATAACTTGTGTCTATTAGTGCGTTTGTGTGTATGTGAATGTATGTGTGTAAATAAATATGTGCGTGTATGTTTGTAAGCTTGATATGCAGCATATGTAAAAGATACGTTGTCCACTAAACAACACTATTTTAGCCGTTGTCTAATATCTCCTCTCCCCTCCCCCTGTCTAGATTATCCTAACGAACGTCATTACGTCCTGCTAAAATGACGTCATCTAGTGATCCAACCCCACCCAAATGTAAGCACAAGGTAACGAGTCCTTAAGATTTATTTCCGTGTTAATTGTAAAAAAAAACAACAACAACAATTTAATTCTCAATTACCCCCCCCCCCCCTCATGCAATATGTAAACTACATGTTTCCTGGTGATAAGCTATATTCTGTAAAGAGGACCAATGCCTTCATACATGTTAACTAACTACTACTTGTGTTTATTAAACCTTGGTTGTATAATATTCAGTAAAGAGGACCAATCCCCCCATACATGTAAACTAACACTCCTGGTGTTTACTAAACCTTGGTTGTATAATATTCAGTAAAGAGGACCAATCCCTTCATACAAGTAAACTAACACTCCTGATGTTTCCTAGAACTTGGCTATGTTGGGTAAAGTAGACCGAAGTCACGGTCAAATACCTAATTTATTTTTACATCGTAAAACCTAAAGTCAGCATTTTGTTTCTCCTATAATGATAAAATGTTTTGTTTACAATGTCTTCACATTAAACGCCCCTGTCCATGTGTGGTCAACTGAGACCGGTATATTGTATTGATAAGTCAAACACACAGGGCAGTTAGTGTTGTTAATTACGCTCGAGTTTATTTCTTTGCCAGCGGCGTGTCGGTACAGGCCGAAGCCATGTTTTCAGGAAAGGAAGTGTTGAAAGAGAATTTTTCGTCAAAAGCTTTCTATAGCTAGGCCAGTTCACCTGACACTGGTTTGTATAACTTGCTGGAATTATTCAGGCTAGAGGACAGGTTGGTCGTAGACCGTGTTCTGGTGCCATCTCTCATTTATAACATCACTTTATGTAAAATTCATTTTGGATTTAGTTTTTCTTAATAATTTATAGATATAAAATATCTTAATATATATATATATATATATATATATATATATATATATATATATATATATATATATATATATATATATATATATATATATATATATGTGTGTGTGTGTGTGTGACTAGTAATATATTAATATAGTAATTTAATATCGCATAATATACAGACTGAATTAAAGAGTAATCAATAATTTCGTATCAATTATCACCGTCTTTTCCCATACCTTACCCACACCCCTCCTCCATTGATTTGAGTTTACGAGAAACAACTAGCAAAAACTTGGTAAAAGTATAGATATCATTGTATATACCGCACAGGAAAGCAGAACTAAATGCAATTCTGCAGAACAACACCCTATATTAAAAAAGAGTCATCAACTAGATCTACATTTCTTTAACCTAAAACTAATTTTTCTGCCATCTAGTTAACAGTGAAGTCAGCCATAGTGGAGTCAGACATGAAAGAGTCTAAAGATGTGCTTGAATGGACTATGCAAGATCTCGTTCAGAAGATGACAGATGCAGATATTCCACAGACGATCACAGACGTTGTAAAAAGTAAAGACAGGAGACTGCCGTGCTAAATTTTAAACATATTTCTAGATCTGTTTATGTCTATATCTTCTAAGTTCTCGACTTATGAGTGTACAATATGGTCAGTTCTATGCACGTGTTGGGTAGACTCAGTTATCAGTCATGCGTAACCGCTGGGCCAGACAGCCCTTTTAGTAAAATTTCTATTGTGTTGACTTTGAAAATATGGAAACTATCAATTTAGGGTTTGGTGGAGGAAATCAAACATTTAAGTACGTGACGTTTTTACAAGCCTTTATTTAACTCACTTCCTCTGTCGACATTCTGTCGACAGTCTGTCGTCAGTCTAGATGGAAACGCAGGAGTGAAAATTCGGACAGTTCTACTTGACCGATACGATTCACAGTTGGCACGTGGGTCAAGACATGAAGACAATGCAATCTGAATCTAAATTTGACTTAATTGGATGCCTAATTAATTTTTTATGAATTAATTAAAATTTGGACCGAATTAGTAGGCATGTCTATCCAACCACACCACATACGTCATCACGTTCAATCAGGTTTAATAGCTGCGCTATCACGTTCAATAGACGCGCAATGGTTTTTAGTCTTGTAACACTATTGCAAATAAAACATGTAAAGTACTGAAAACAAAATTCATAAAAAACGTTTTAATAACAAGCTTTTATGTAATGATGCACTAAAAAGTAGAAAATAAATTATACACTACTATTTAAATTACTATAAAGAAAAGCGTGGGTCTCTTCTCAAATATTAGTAAAGGTATCCAATAGGTACTAAAGTACTAAAGTGACCCACGATTTTCTTTATAGTAATTTAAATAGTAGTGTATAATTTATTTTCTACTTTTTAGTGCATCTTTACATAAAAGCTTGTTATTATAACCTTTTTTATGAATTTTTTTCCTCTCCTGTTGATATAAGCATTTCTTAAGTAGATCTAAAACTTTACCGTCAGCCTTATGGCTTTCGACTTTCATACATTAGAATATACCATTATGATTTGTGAGGCCCATAATATTTGATTACAGTTTTTGGTTCGATATTATGTGTTTTAAGATCGCAAGCGGATTTAGCATATGTGTTTTTGCTAGATATTTTAGAGGGGGGGGGGGTTAAGCTTCAATGTCCCTTATGAGATCCTCTTAAGTTGTACCAATATACATTTACAATATTAAGAGCAGAACTTTTCATTTTCCATTTCCCAGTATAATTAAGGCCATTGACAGCATCCTTCTACGTTTTTGTCTGCTAATTTTTCCTTCTCTCTCATTTTTTCAATGGACAGAACAATCTATTTAATGTTTCAAATAAGAACACGTTTTTCTTTTACTTTTAATATGATATTTCTTTGATTTTTACAATTTTTTTCTAAGCCACCTCTTAGATACAATTATAAGGAGATGTTTTGTACATTACGCTAATGATTAACTATAGATGACTTGTCCCTACCTACAGACAGTCAAGAACTGAAAGTTTTACTAGGGAAAAGGAATACATTTGTTAATACACAAGTAGGAGGAGTGAAAAAATCGAAAAAGGCGAGTTTTCAACAGTTTTATGCTACCAATGTTCATAAAATGTGAGTTTTCTAAAGTTTTTATGCTATCAATGTTCATAAAATGTTGTGAGTTTTTAATAGTTTTTATGCTACCAATGTTCATGAAATTGTTAGTTTTCAACAGTTTTTATGATACCAATGTTCTTAAAATTGTGAGTTTTCAATCGTTTTTATGCTACAAATGTTCTTAAAATTGTGAGTTTTCAACAATTTTTATGCTACCAATGTTCTTAAAATTGTGATGTTTATTATTGCTTATTAACTGAGATTATTATTTAAATTTTTTGTCTTTTTTTCACTTCCTAGTTGATGTTGTTTTGATTTATTTTGATGTATTTTTGTAACAATCTTTAAACACAAACACTGTTACGTGCAACATCTGTGTGTGTAGGTGTTCAGTGATCCCATCCACGGGCACATTGAGCTCCACCCCTTGTGTATCGCCATCATCAACACGCCACAGTTCCAACGTCTGAGGTTCTGCAAGAGGATCGGCTTGTGCTCTTTTGTTTTCCCTGGGGCGGAGCACAACCGTCTGGAACATTCTATCGGGTCTGTACAACAGCACCAGTGATGGTACTGTCAACAAGGTCGTACTGTTTTCAAAGTTTACACAACAAAAAACATGTTTAATGTATAAGTATAATGTTATGATCACATACTGAAGTGATCTAAGTTGTTGCTTATATTAAAAAGACTTAGGTAAAAAATCCTCTTTAGACCTAGCGATCTATTGGGCAATTGAAGTAGAGTTCATATGTTTCTTGACCTCGACATATGAAGGGAAAGTGTGGTCAGCACTTTACACATCCGCCTTTACTTTCCCTAACATTAGAGCTGGGTAGACTCAGGGACGTTCTGCTGAAATGGACCCGGATTCGAGCTCGAGACCTTCGGTTTGCAGCCTAGCGTTCAGCCTCTTAGGCCACGAGCCCGTACCATCGTTGCATATATTGCTCCACAAGAAAATGGAAACTTCAAAGTCATATTGTAGCAGTAGACTAACAGTTTAATTTTTGTGTGTCAGAGTGTGCCATCTGGCAGGCCAGTTGGCCAGGAGCCTACAAGAACACCAGCCGTCACTAGGGATAACAGAGCAGGACATTCTCTGTGTGGAGGTGGCGGGGCTATGTTTTAACCTTGGTACCGTACTCACACATACGATTTTTAAAATGTTATTTATCTAACGTAACAATTAAATCTTCTATAACTATTGTTTAGCTAGCTCAAATACGCTTCAAATTAAGCATTATTTACTAATTTCATAAAATTGTTCAATGAATAGGTCGTGGGCCCTTCTCGAGGTTATACAATGACAGGTTTCTATCCGCGGTGTACGGGATACATAAGGTTGTTCATTGATTTCTAATTGAAGGAACATATTTCTTATATTTCTTATATTTCTTATATTTCTTATATATTTCTTATATTTCTTATATAAGTATATTTACAAGTATACTTCCCATATTTGAATACATTTAGTGAAAAGTAAAATTGTTCCCCCAGAATATCCGACCAACAGTCGCCATGTTTGAACATCTGATAGAGGACAATAAACTCAGAGATTTGTTTGATGTATACGGCCTGAGTGAAGCAGACGTCCATTTTATCAAGGAGCAGCTGGAAGTTATAGGGCCAACAGGCAGCACTGTATGGACATGTTCTTTACTGAACTTAATACTACACGATTCAAACAATATATATATATATATATATATATATATATATATATATATATATATATATATATATATATATATATATGTAACGAGTCCCCGAGTCTATCCTGCCGACAACGCCAAATGTAACGAGTCTCTGGCTACCCTGCCGACAACGCCAAATGTGACCTTCCCGAGTCTAACCACTCATTCCACACAACATTGACCACAGCATAGATACTCGAAGATGCAGGTTTATTATTGATCCTTTTATTACATGAATCAAAGAATGCTTCACAATAATATAATGAATCAAGAGAGATGTTTCACAATAATAGTCTGAATCAACGGACCCCCAACAGTCCTCACTAGGCTTCATCTAACTGAATACACATGTCTAACGTCCTTCTTAACACAATACGGCTAACCCGTTCAATAACCAACTTGATACTGCCACACTGACTCACTGATCGAAAGCGAGCGAGAGAGAGAGAGAGAGACTGCGAGCTCAGCCGTCGCCTTCCTTATTTATCCCCTTCATATCCGTAATCATATTCGGTCCTATCATACTCGTAATCGTAATCGTTGCATTACGCCGCTTCTGTTGTACAGTCCGATTTAATAAGCCATCTGCATCCTGTCACATCAAAGTTGACAGACCGTCTTTCGTATCGCTTCCCGAGATACTACGCCTTGGCTTTCTGATCGTTATCAGCCACCACCTGTGTTATTACATCAGTCGTGTCAAAGTTGACAGCGCTGTACCGCTTTCTTATGTCTGGTAACTTCCCCTAGTTACATCCACCCCTGCCTTTTTTTGTGTGTTATCAACCACAAACAACGCTTGGCAGGTGCAGTCCTTCAAAGTCAATCGCACCACCGTAAAAAAAAATCCATTGTTCCACTCACTGTCAATGTCGTCACATTCGTATAAGATTGACCGTTATCCCTATTTCACATATCAAATGTGTCTACATCATCTTCCTCAGACACAAAACAGTTCTAGAATTCACATCCACCTTTTTTCATCTGGTGCCTTCACCAGTTCACTTTTATGACTTTTTGAACAGTCTGTTCTCATACCAGCGCGACCATGAAAGAATTGATGGTTGCTGACAAAAAATTTCGTATTCTTTCTGTTTCTCAAACTTCTCCGCGGACCACTTAACTGATGGTCTACTGTCTCTCTGCTTTTGGAGGGACCGGGATCCTCCTTGTTGCCGGTATCCTCCCCTTGTGTATCGCTGTTGCGCTGTTGATGGTGACATGGTTCCGGGATGGGTATGTGAATTTCCGTTATAGTTTCCGGTTCCCTAATTGTCTTGGGTTTCCTTGTGTGTAACTGCTCTTCTTGACTATGACAATATTTCTTTAATTGAGCAATATTCGCCCACCGATCCGGTTTGGTGTGATCGATGGGTCTTATCTTAAAGGGGCCACCTGCTACTTTAGGCATCTCCACGACTTGCCATATCTCCTGTCCCCAGAGGTCGTGGATTTTGTTTCTGCCTAACGGGTGGCTACGCAGTAATACCCTGTCGTTCAGTTTGAGTGGCGGGTCCTTTGTCTGTACCGGCGGTTCCCTTCGCCGTGCTTCATGTTCTAGTCTTTCCTGTACTACCCTGTACATTTCTCTAATTCGTCTCATATGTTCATTCACATATTCTAGTGCAGTGTATGAGCCAGTCATACTCTCCTTTTTTCCTAGGAACAAGTCAGGGGGGGGGTCGAGCCTCCCGTCCGAACAGCAACATGTATGGCGAAAAGCCGGTTGTGGCATGGGGTGTGCAGTTGTATAGATATACCAACTCTGGGAGAAAATCAGGCCAACGTTTTTTCTGTTCAGGTTCTAGAGTGCGCAGCAAATCATGCATGCTGCGGTTGAACCGCTCGCACTGTCCGTTTCCTTTCGGATTAAATGTGGTTGTTCTAGATTTGTTGATCCCGTAGTGGCTGCACAGTTGGTTAATTACTTCTGACTCGAAGGCCCTTCCTTGGTCAGAGTGTAATTGTCTTGGTATGCCATATTTGATGAACCAATGTTCTATTAAGACCTTTGCCACTGTTTTGGCAGTCTGATCTCGTGTGGGCACCGCCACAGTCCATTTGGTGAAAACATCAGTCATTACCAACACATGTTCCGTCCCATCCGATGATTGCTCCAACGACGTAAAGTCCATAGCCACAATCTCTAGTGGTTTTGTCGCTAATAGGTGTCCCGATGGCTGTCTCATTTTGACAACTGGCATTTTCGCATGCTGACACCTCACACAAGCCTCACAATGGCGTTTGACCTCCATTTCCATATTGGGCCAGTAACACCTCCGTCGTAATATTTTGTGCGTCCTGTCCTGACCCTGGTGTCCTGCCCTGTCATGTGCCAACCTTAGCACTTCTTCTCGTAATTGTCCAGGCACCACCACCTGGTGTATTGTCCCATCAATTTGGTCATGAATTCTCCGCATGAGAACACCATCCTGTATACTGAGACGGTCCCACTGACTCAGTATTTTCTTTGTTTCTCGACCAAATTGTTCTCTTTCCCTTCTTCCTGGGAATTTTTGTTCCTGGACGTGTTTCAACAGCGGCTGTAAGCCACTATCCGTTCTCTGGGCATTTCTTATTTCTTTGTGATTAAGGCAACTAAAATCACCAATGTCCATATGTCCGGGCTCTGTGGAAATGTGCTCCACCCCGGTCTGTCCGTTCTGCCTCACTTGCACCCCGTGAGGGATATCTGTTGACGCTCTGACCTCACATATTCCTGTCAGCGTTTCTTCCTCATCGCCCGGTCTCTCGTAAGGATTCCTTGATAAGGCGTCCGCATTGCCATTGGACCGCCCCGGGCGATATTTTATCTCTAGGTCAAAGAGTGCCAATTCTGCTGCCCATCGCTGTTCGATGGATCCCAACGTTGCTGTCTTTAGGTGACTCAAGGGGTTATTGTCAGTGTATACCACACATTTAGCACCTAATAGATAGTCCCTGAATTTTTCCGTCACAGCCCATTTTAATGTCAAAAGTTCTAGTTTCATGGCGCTGTAATTTGTCATGTTCTTCTCTGATTCCTTCAGAGCTCGACTGGCATAAGCAATAACCCTGAAACCTTGCTTTTGTTGTTGTGATAGCACAGCTCCCAGACCTTTAGAGCTGGCGTCAATTTCTAGCCGAAATGGTTTGTCAAAGTCTGCGTATCCTAATATCGGCGCCTCTGTCAAAGCCTTTTTCAATAGCTTAAACGAGTTCAGGCATTCCTCAGTCCATAATTCACCTATCAGTTGTGTTTTACCTTTCTTTTTCTCCTTACTGTGTTTCTTTGTCATTTTGTTTACCAAGTCATGCAATGGTGCGGCAATTTTTGCAAAACCAGGCACAAATTTTCTATAATAGGAAGCAAAGCCCAAGAATGATCTGACCTCTACTGTAGTTGTTGGCTGTTTCCATTCTTTAACAGCTGCAATTTTATCTGGGTCAGTGGCGATGCCATCCGACGAAATCACGTAACCCAAAAAATGTACCGATTTCAGACCGAAGCAGCATTTGTCTGGGTTCAGCTTTACTCCTATCTCCCTAAGACGGAGAAACACTTGTTCTAATCTTTCTAGATGGTCCTCCCAAGTTTTTGAATAAACTAGTATATCATCCAAGTACACCAACATTATTTGAAATAGAAAGTCACTCATAGCACTCTGCATTACTCGCTGGAATGTAGCAGGTGCATTAGTTAGACCAAACGGCATACGGGTCCACTCGTACAGTCCCAGTGGAGAAATAAATGCAGTTTTATGTTGATCGTTGGGGTGCATGGCCACTTGGTGGTAGCCACTAGCCAAATCCAAGGTAGAAAAAAATCTTGCTCCCCCCAACGCATCAAGACATTCATCAATACGAGGCAAGGGGAATGCATCCCTTCTTGTGATATTGTTCAATTTCCGGTAATCACAACACAGTCTTATCTCCCCTGACTTCTTTTTTACCACTACTATCGGTGCCGCATACGGGCTAGTGCTGGTTGTAATAATTCCCTTTTTTTAGTAGATCGTTCAGGTGTGCTTTCACCGCAGAGTAGTGACTTGGTGGTAATCTTCGATAAGGTTGCGCCACCGGCTTGTCTTGTAGTAAGGGTATCTGGTGTTTTATTACTTCCGTGTAACCCAAATCACCCTCGTACGAGGCAAATATATCCCTGTACTTATTCAACAATTCATTTAGTTTTGGGTCCTCAGTTTCCGGGAATGTATATGATCGGCCATCCTCTTTCTTCACCTCGGCCGTCACATTGACCGACCTAACTGTTACTTCATTACTGCTGGTATTGCTCAGTTCGATGCACTGTGCAGACCTTTGTACCTCGACGTTCTGTGGTACTCCTACCAGAGTATTAGGCGGTATAAAAATTTCCTCATCCAAAACATTTGCCACTAATCCTTGAACTAGTCCATTTTCCGCTGATGTGTATGTCCGCAGTAACACGACGCCTGCCCTCAGTGCGGCGCCACATGGTTCTATCATCACATCACCATTCACGCTTCTATCACCAATTTGTAATGTGATTGCCTTGACCGTGTTTGCCGGGACTGATATCCTTCCTCTGGTCTTGGCAAACCTGGCCAACTTGGATCCCCGACCTGGTGTGGTCGATCCGACAATATTTGTAAGAAATTCTGGCAACTGGCCAAGAATATTCATGCCCAACAGGCAAGGTATATTTGACACATTTGTCTCTAGGTTGTGTTTCGTAACGAACACCCCAACCTGCTTCAACCTATGTCCCGCCACCACGACATCCGCCAGAAAATAACCACAGTAAGGAATGGTTAGTCCATTAGCTGCCGTCAGGCGCATGCATGTGTCAGACCTCAACCTATGGTCTTTTCCTTTCATCCATTTGGTGTAAAAATTTTCCGTGATTGTCGTCACCTGGGAGCCTGTATCCACAATTGCCTTCACCGCGATGTCCCCAATCGTAATCACCATTTCGGGACAGACTCCCATCATTTTGCTTCTTGGGCCATAACCTCGCCCCTCTGTAGCCTGGCCCTGCCTTACAGAGGACGACCGTTTCCCTGGCAGTACCGTGCCATATGTCCGGGTTGTGAACAGGACAAACAAATTGGTCGACCGTCAGCCGTCCACCGGAGTGATGGACCGGCGGGTCGCGGCCGTCGAACCTGTCTCTGTTTTGTCCCGTTCTTTTCCTGATTCTCAGCTGTTGACCTGCTTTCTAACCTCTCCAATCTTTGGTTAACCTTATCCAGGTGGGCCAACAGTTGAGCCATCATGGTTTCCACCGTGCCGGTCCCCGTGGGTGGGGATTGTTTCTGTTCCGGCACAGAGACTTTGTCCACCGAACAGTTCGATTGGTCCTCATCCTCGGACCTGCGGATCGCTGAGTTCCTAACCTGAAGGAAGGTCAACTGCGGGTCTTTGTGGACCTCCTCTTTCAACTCTCTCCTTAAGATCGGGGTTGCTAGCCCCTCGATGAACTGGTCCCTCAGTAGGCGTACATCAATGTCAGGTGTTTTGCCCTTTACCGAATCAAAGGCCCTGTTTATTCGGTGTGAATACTCCATCACACTCTCCGCCATTCTCTGCTTTAAGCCTACGAACCCCGATAGCAGTTGCGATCCCGACCGTCTCTCCCCAAAGGTCTCCATAATTAGATCCAGCACCTTATCTGGATCTGATTGGACGGTTTTATCGTGGCATTTGACCTCTGCCCTAACCGTCTCTCCTATACTGCCCATCAGCAGTCTTAATCTTTCCTCTGGTGACATGTTTCTCGAGGCCCAGGCCGCTTTGACCTCCTCACTGAACCTGTTGGTTAAAGTTGGATCACCGTCCCCGTAAAATTTGTTAATGTGGGACTCTCTGGGCAGGACCACAATATGGGTCTGCTTCTCGTCCAGAGTAGACATTTTATTCCTTTAGTAAAAAAAAAGAGTTCTTTCTTACCGTGTGTGTATGAAAAAATTTTCCTCGTTCCTCAATTTTCACTGTTCCTGAATGTCCGAATTCACACACACACTAAACACAGTTATGAACTAGGTTGACTATGGGTGCCTAACGCGGCAAGTCTCGTTGAATTCATCCTGATCGCAGCGCCAAATGTAACGAGTCCCCGAGTCTATCCTGCCGACAACGCCAAATGTAACGAGTCTCTGGCTACCCTGCCGACAACGCCAAATGTGACCTTCCCGAGTCTAACCACTCATTCCACACAACATTGACCACAGCATAGATACTCGAAGATGCAGGTTCATTATTGATCCTTTTATTACATGAATCAAAGAATGCTTCACAATAATATAATGAATCAAGAGAGATGTTTCACAATAATAGTCTGAATCAACGGACCCCCAACAGTCCTCACTAGGCTTCATCTAACTGAATACACATGTCTAACGTCCTTCTTAACACAATACGGCTAACCCGTTCAATAACCAACTTGATACTGCCACACTGACTCACTGATCGAAAGCGAGCGAGAGAGAGAGAGAGAGACTGCGAGCTCAGCCGTCGCCTTCCTTATTTATCCCCTTCATATCCGTAATCATATTCGGTCCTATCATACTCGTAATCGTAATCGTTGCATTACGCCGCTTCTGTTGTACAGTCCGATTTAATAAGCCATCTGCATCCTGTCACATCAAAGTTGACAGACCGTCTTTCGTATCGCTTCCCGAGATACTACGCCTTGGCTTTCTGATCGTTATCAGCCACCACCTGTGTTATTACATCAGTCGTGTCAAAGTTGACAGCGCTGTACCGCTTTCTTATGTCTGGTAACTTCCCCTAGTTACATATATATATATATATATATATATATATATATATATATATATATATATATATATATATATATATATATACATATATTTTTACAAGCTTTTATTTAGTTCACAACGTCTGTTTATTTGTTTCGTTTTTTGTTTGTGGGGTTGTGGCAAATCTTGTAACTTAATTTTGACCTAATTCTAATGCAGTGATTTCGTTCAAACTTTCCTGATACGTTCTACTTCGATGACAATACAAGTCTATCTATTTTTTAATTTAATTAGATGTTTAGTTAATCGTTAAAAATTAATTAAACAGTTTCAAAACTAAAGGGAGATAACAAAATTAAAACACTCGATAGATTACAATAGACGCTATCGCCGACCAGTCTGGTGAGCTGTAGTTCACACCACATGTTTACAATCGTAGAGCTGGTCGATCTAGTATAGGGTATTAGGGACAGATAATAACGTTTTTAAACAATTTGAAACTAAGGGGAGGTAAAACAAAATTGCTGTCTTCCGTAAATTAGGTACGGACGGCTGCTTTCACGGGCAGATAAATGTCTTTTAGAGATCGCGAGCTGCTGATGGTGTTTTAAAACAATTTTTTTTAGTTGTGTCGAGCAACCAAAGAACAAGCAACAAGACTAAGGGGAGAAAAAAAAAAATATTAAATCACTCGATAGATTACAATATTTAATAACAGATTGGGAGATAACTAGCTAGATGCGATCACTCTAACAGTTTGGTGAGCCGTGGTTCTCAAGAATGTTTAGAACCTCTTTCGGTGGTGGGGGGGGGGTGTGGAAGGATAATTATCATTCACGATTTACTTGTAGAGTTTTAAAGGAAATATTTTTAGTTGAAGTGTTGGTAAATATAGATTATGAATTACTAAAAAGTAGGAAAAAAAACCTGTATAGAAACAGTCTTTTAATTGTCGTGAAAATACGAAAATAAAACTTATCTATTTTCTTTCATGAAAGTTTTGGTTGCTAAAATATGTAAAAGATCTCTTGATAGACCAAAGCTTTTATGAAAGAAAGCAAATTAGTTTTATTTTCTAATTTTTGGTGCATTTAACAGCTTGCTATTAGAAAGGCTTTTTATATTTGTTTTATTATATATTAAATGAATATATTACATTTGTAATTTGTATAATTTAAATACTGTTTAAATAAATTAATTGTAATTTCAGTATGTGTGAGCTGCTATTCAGTTTTTTGAATGTTCAAGTATTTCTATTTTTTTTCTAGTGTTGGCCATATAAAGGTAGAACAAAAGAAAAAGCATTCTTGTACGAGGTTAGGAAACATGTCTTCGTCCCGTCATTTTCCGTTCATAAACTTACGAAAGAAATCTAATCTTAAACGTTTGACTCACACCAACTCACGACAAATGTGTCCGGCTGTTGCAGATAGTCTGTAACCGCCGTAACGGCATCGACGTGTACAAGATGGATTACATTGCCAGGGACTGTCACAACCTGGGCATCCAGAGCAACTTCGACTTCTCGCGCTACATCAAGTTCGCCAGGGTTCTGGAATCGGACGGGGAATGGCAAATTTGCACCCGTGATAAGGTAGCGCATGTTGGAGGTATTAAAACTTTAATTGGCTTTGTTCATGGCTGGGCGGTATGAATTCTTCCGTGTCTAATTGTTTAGGTTTCTATAGCTCCGTCTATGAGCAATGTAGTTTTTCTCAAGTCCCGGTTTATCTTTGAACGTTGTGAGCAATGTATTTTTTCTCAAGTCCCGGTTTATCTTTGAACGTTGTGAGCAATGTAGTTTTTCTCAAGTTCCGGCTTATCTTTGAACGTTGTGAGCAATGTAGTTTTTCTCAAGTCCCGGTTTATCTTTGAACGTTGTGAGCAATGTAGTTTTGCTCAAGTCCCGGTTTATCTTTGAACGTTGTGAGCAATGTAGTTTTTCTCAAGTCCCGGTTTATCTTTGAACGTTGTGAGCAATGTAGTTTTTCTCAAGTCCCGGTTTATCTTTGAACGTTGTGAGCAATGTAATTTTTCTCAAGTGCCGGTTTATCTTTGAACGTTGTGTTCTTTCAGGAGATTGGAAACTTGTACAACTTATTTTATACCCGGTACAAGCTGAACAAAACAGCCTACAATGATAAGGTGGTGTCGGCCATTGAGATCATGTATGTTCAAATATATGACTGTAAATTACTATAGTATGTTAAAGGTTGTTATATTTTAAAAGTCAAAGTTTAACACCAGTCACGTAAAACAAAGTGAGATCATGTACGACAAACACCAGTGACATTTTAAAAGTACGCGACATACATTCATACGATATGATTTTAGTTTAAAACAATAGTTATAAAACATATAGATATACATATACATATACACTATACCATACTATTTGTTTTTTCGATAAAGTATAAAAATATTTCCCGCATCTTAAGGGTCACCGATGCCTTAAAGTATGCTGACGATTTTATCAAGTTCAAGGGAATCAACGATAGGTACAGTTTCACTCATTTTAACGCATATGTTTTTAGCTACTATTAGGCAGCCTCTGGTTATTTCAATATTTCGTAAAGCTTAGCAAGTTATCTAAATGTTACATATTGATTCTAAAGTTATAAAATTGTTACACAAACACTCCATTAAGAGTCTACAAGCTGTCGGAATGCCACAAGGACATGAAGGCCTTCACCCAGGCCACAGACAATGTTTTGGTCAAGATTTTGGAATACGAAGGTGACCAGTCTGGCATGGTCAAGGCTAAACAAATCGTCGAAAATATTATCAGACGGCAGCTCTACACCTGCGTGTTTGAAAGCCGGCCAATCGGATCATCCCACGTATTCGTAAGGTTTTCCTTCAGTTTGTAAACGTGCTCAAATTTCTATTTGATTCAAAGGAAGAAATTGTAATATTTACATTACAGTACCGGAAATTTCATGGTAGTAACATTATGTTTTAGGAAAGATTTGTGACATAATATATGGAGCTCAGAAGTATTTGTTAAAAAAATAATTTAAAAAATCATCTACAGAAACATTGCATTCATTTTCACTTTCACACAGTAAATTTTAATTTAGACCTATCTACTTAAGCTTCCTTTCTGTATACCCTAATCGATACTAAAGCTGTAATTTTTTCTGTAAAAAGGAGGACACAGCTAGAGTAACCAGAGAACTCGCCCAGAAGGTTCGTGCCAGTCAGGATGAAAGCAACATTTATGTGGAGGTGAGTTCTGACGTTTGAGCAGACGGTCATTTTATTTGTGGGAAGAAACAGGCGGTCATTTTATTTGTGGGAAGAAACAGGCGGTCATTTTATTTGTGGGAAGAAACAGGCGGTCATTTTATTTGTGGGAAGAAACAGGCGGTCATTTTATTTGTGGGAAGAAACAGGCGGTCATTTTATTTGTGGGAAGAAACAGGCGGTCATTTTATTTGTGGGAAGAAACAGGCGGTCACTTCATTTGTGGGAAGAAACAAAAATAAATATTAAGAAAAACGTCATCTTACTTGATAAGATCTTACTCAAAAGACAACAAACGCAAACAACTACAAACGGTTTAGTTTTCCATTTAAAAATTTTTGTTTTTAATCATCTGGATAGCTAGTCTAGTAATTCTTTTGGTTTCCGATTTTTATATATTTTTCATTTAATAAAAAATAAAAAACCGTAGAAGCTTAAGCAGCGATTGTTTTACTAAATAATGGTACTCTAAGGTTAACTCAAGCACCCTTGATTTATTTTTAAGTTCGTGCGAGGTGTCTCAAACAGAGTAGGTTGTAAAAGTTTGTATGAGTGGTTTTTGTAGGTTTGGCGGTTTTACTAGTTTCTGTAGCTAAATATTTTTTTTTAAAAAGTGAAAAAAACAATTTCTGTTTTCACGAACACGTAAACGTGCGCGTACACATACGCATACACATACATATATCTCTATAATATATCTTTATATATATATATATATATATATATATATATATATATATATATATATATATATATATATATATATATATATATATATATATATATATATATATATATTTTAGGTTATATCACGTGACTTTGGCATGAAGGATGAAAATCCTGTGCTGCGGCTGAAAGCTTACACAAAAAGAAACCCAACGCAAGCGAAACATCTTCCAAATGACGAGGTGAATTAAAACAAATGTTTGTTTAACCGTTATAAGTAGAGACAGCCTAACAATAACATTGTTGGAAAGATGCTAAGTATAAATATTGAGAATAAATTTATTTAGCATAATAGCTTTGACGTGATGGTGGTATGGTTAGCCGGCTAATTCGTTTCTCAGATTTGATCATTTTACCAACAAGCAGGTAGGTCCAACTTCCAGCCGACGTATCGGAAATTTCTGATGAAGTGTCGGTATTGTCTGCCGACGTATCGGAAATTTGTGCTGAAGTGTCGGTATTTTCTGCCGACGTATCGGAAATTTGTGCTGAAGTGTCGGTATTGTCTGCCGACGTATCGGAAATTTGTGATGCCGTGTCGGTATTGTCTCCCGACGTATCGGAAATTTGTGCTGCAGTTTCGGTATTGTCTCCCGACGTATCGGAAATTTGTGCTGCAGTTTCGGTATTGTCTCCCGACGTATCGGAAATTTATGCTGCAGTTTCGGTATTGTCTCCCGACGTATCGGAAATTTGTGCTGCAGTTTCGGTATTGTCTCCCGACGTATCGGAAATTTGTGCTGCAGTTTCGGTATTGTCTCCCGAAGTATCGGAAATTTGTGTTGAATTGTTGGTATTGTCTCCCGACATATCAATAGCCTCTGCTGTTTTGTTGATTCTATTAGCTACAACATATTTTTTGTGAGTCTGAGGTTGAACGCACAATTTACGCAATCAATGATTATCCCCCGTATACCAAACCCTAATACATCTCCCCACAGGAGAGCCGTATACTAAACCCCAGTATATCTCCTCACAGGAGAGTCGTATACTAAACCCCAGTATATCTCCTCACAGGAGAGCCGTATACTAAACCCTAGTACATCTCCCCACAGGAGAGCCGTATACTAAACCCCAGTATATCTCCTCACAGGTGAGTCGTATACTAAACCCTAGTACATCTCCCCACAGGAGAGCCGTATACTAAACCCTAGTACATCTCCCCACAGGAGAGCCGTATACTAAACCCTAGTACATCTCCCCACAGGAGAGCCGTATACTAAACCCTAGTACATCTCCCCACAGGAGAGCCGTATACTAAACCCTAGTACATCTCCCCACAGGAGAGCCGTATACTAAACCCCAGTATATCTCCTCACAGGAGAGCCGTATACTAAACCCTAGTACATCTCCCCACAGGAGAGCCGTATACTATACCCCAGTACATCTCCCCCCAGGAGAGTCGTATACTAAACCCCAGTATATCTCCTCACAGGAGAGCCGTATACTAAACCCTATCACCTCCCCACAGGAGAGCCGTATACTAAACCCCAGTACATCTTCCCACAGGAGAGCCGTATACTAAACCCAAGTATATCTCCCCCCCCCCCAGGAGAGCCGTATACTAAACCCCAGTATATCTCCCAACAGGAGAGCCGTATACTAAACCCTAATACATCTCCCCCCCCCCAGGAGAGCCGTATACTAAACCCCAGTACATCTCCCCCCACAGGAGAGCCGTATACTAAACCCCAGTACATCTCCCCCCACAGGAGAGTCGTATACTAAACCCTAGTACATCTCCCCACAGGAGAGCCGTATACTAAACCCCAGTACATCTCCCCCCACAGGAGAGCCGTATACTAAACCCCAGTACATCTCCCCCCACAGGAGAGTCGTATACTAAACCCCAGTACATCTCCCCCCACAGGAGAGTCGTATACTAAACCCCAGTACATCTCCCCCCACAGGAGAGTCGTATACTAAACCCCAGTACATCTCCCCCCACAGGAGAGTCGTATACTAAACCCCAGTACATCTCCCCCCACAGGAGAGTCGTATACTAAACCCCAGTACATCTCCCCCCACAGGAGAGTCGTATACTAAACCCCAGTACATCTCCCCCCACAGGAGAGCCGTATACTAAACCCCAGTACATCTCCCCCCACAGGAGAGTCGTATACTAAACCCCAGTACAAATATCCCCCCACAGGAGAGTCGTATACTAAACCCCAGTACATCTCCCCCCACAGGAGAGTCGTATACTAAACCCCAGTACATCTCCCCCCACAGGAGAGTCGTATACTAAACCCTAATACATCTCCCCCCACAGGAGAGTCGTATACTAAACCCCAGTACATCTCCCCACAGGAGAGTTGTATACTAAACCCCAGTACATCTCCCCACAGGAGAGTCGTATACTAAACCCCAGTACATCTCCCCACAGGAGAGCCGTATACTAAACCCTAGTACATCTCCCCACAGGAGAGTCGTATACTAAACCCCAGTACATCTCCCCCACAGGAGAGTCGTATACTAAACCCCAGTACATCTCCCCCCACAGGAGAGTCGTATACTAAACCCCAGTACATCTCCCCCCACAGGAGAGTCGTATACTAAACCCTAGTACATCTCCCCACAGGAGAGTCGTATACTAAACCCCAGTACATCTCCCCCACAGGAGAGCCGTATACTAAACCCTAGTACATCTCCCGCCACAGGAGAGCCGTATACTAAACCCTAATACATCTCCCCACAGGAGAGCCGTATACTAAACCCTAGTACATCTCCCCACAGGAGAGCCGTATACTAAACCCTAGTACATCTCCCCACAGGAGAGCCGTATACTAAACCCTAGTACATCTCCCCCCAGGAGAGCCGTATACTAAACCCAAGTATATCTCCCCCCAGGAGAGCCGTATACTAAACCCAAGTATATCTCCCCCCCCCCCCAGGAGAGCCGTATACTAAACCCCAGTACATCTCCCCACAGGAGAGCCGTATACTAAACCCCAGTACATCTCCCCACAGGAGAGCCGTATACTAAACCCTAGTACATCTCCCCACAGGAGAGCCGTATACTAAACCCAAGTATATCTCCCCCCCCCCAGGAGAGCCGTATACTAAACCCTAGTACATCTCCCCACAGGAGAGCCGTATACTAAACCCAAGTATATCTCCCCACAGGAGAGCCGTATACTAAACCCCAGTACATCTCCCCCCACAGGAGAGCCGTATACTAAACCCCAGTACATCTCCCCCCACAGGAGAGCCGTATACTAAACCCCAGTACATCTCCCCCCACAGGAGAGCCGTATACTAAACCCCAGTACATCTCCCCCACAGGAGAGCCGTATACTAAACCCCAGTACATCTCCCCCACAGGAGAGCCGTATACTAAACCCCAGTACATCTCCCCCCACAGGAGAGCCGTATACTAAACCCCAGTACATCTCCCCCCACAGGAGAGCCGTATACTAAACCCCAGTACATCTCCCCCACAGGAGAGCCGTATACTAAACCCCAGTACATCTCCCCCACAGGAGAGCCGTATACTAAACCCCAGTACATCTCCCCACAGGAGAGCCGTATACTAAACCCCAGTACTTTCAACGAGTTTGTGTTGAGAGTTTATAGCCGAGTCAGGGACCAAACAAAGTGCAGGGAACTGGACCAAGCTGCTGCTGCATATTTTACAGGTTGGATGTTTTTTGTTATAGGTTGGATGTCTTTTGTTACAGGTTCGATGTCTTTTGTTACAGGTTGGATGTCTTTTGTTACAGGTTGGATGTCTTTTGTTACAGTTGGATGTCTTTTGTTACAGGTTGGATGTCTTTTGTTACAGGTTGGATGTCTTTTGTTACAGGTTGGATGTCTTTTGTTATAGGTTGGATGTCTTTTGTTACAGGTTGGATGTCTTTTGTTACAGGTTGGATGTCTTTTGTTACAGGTTGGATGTCTTTTGTTACAGGTTCGATGTCTTTTGTTACAGGTTCGATGTCTTTTTTTTACAGGTTCGATGTCTTTTGTTACAGGTTGTCGATTTTACTCAATTGAAACAAACTACAAGTTTTCCTTACGCTATCCACAATTCACAACACCACCATCCTAGCAGCCTAACAAAAATTCTTCCTGTCCGCTTTTATACCCACATTTGACGTTAAAGTAAATAATACAACACAGACTAACCACAATTCGCACTCATCATTTGAGATGACCTAAAATATTTCTAACATAACCCTAAAAGTAAAGTTTTTTCTCTCCATACGTTATAGGAACAGGTTTGTTTTTAAAACTTCTTGGTAAAGGTTTGTCTTCTAAGTTTCATTTACTTGTATTACGGATAAAAGAATATGCAGACTAATTTGAATTGTTGAAACGTATTGTGTTTAAAATAAGTGTTGCGTTTTATTTCAGAAAATAGCAGATCGTACAGGGAATAAATTATGTATACATATGGCAAGATTGTACTGTTGCCTGATCAGGGTTATAGAAGAGGCGGTTTGGGGACAAGTAGATGTGGCACACACCAATGAAGACTACGTGTGGAGACAAGTCAGCTCTAAAGCTTTTCTTCCCATCCCCTCTACAAATTGTGGGGTTGTACAAAATGTCTTTCCATCTCGTCTACCAATTGTTTGGTTGTACAAAATGTCTTCCCATCCCCTCTACAAATTGTGGGGTTGTACAAAATGTCTTCCTATCTCGTCTACAAATTGCTTGGTTGTACAAAATGTCTTCCTATCTCGTCTACAAATTGCTTGGTTGTACAAAATGTCTTCCTATCTCGTCTACAAATTGCTTGGTTGTACAAAATGTCTTCCTATCTCGTCTACAAATTGCTTGGTTGTACAAAATGTCTTCCTATCTCGTCTACAAATTGCTTGGTTGTACAAAATGTCTTCCTATCTCGTCTACAAATTGTGGGGTTGTACAAAATGTCTTCCTATCTCGTCTACAAATTGCTTGGTTGTACAAAATGTCTTCCTATCTCGTCTACAAATTGCTTGGTTGTACAAAATGTCTTCCTATCTCGTCTACAAATTGTGGGGTTGTACAAAATGTCTTCCCATCGTTTCTACGTACTTATGTGTTTGTTGTTTGTTAGTATCTTACTCTTGGTTTAGAAGTTTTTTAGATTAGTTTTTAGAGAACATAATATCAGACATAAAATGGCGTTATTTACCACGCGAAACAAACTAACGTGGTATGCTATTGTAGTTATGGTTTGTATTTTGGGCTAAGGACAGTTAGTTTATTTGTCAAGTATTGATACGAATAGCATTCAGTGGCCGCGCTTAGGATACGAACAAAGTCATGAAAATCTGGGCGGATGACACGATCGATAACTGATGACGATAACTCCTTACATCCAGGCTGAAGACATTATTTAAACCGGCAATGTTAAGTTGTCTGTTTAAGACACATTGTTATCTTAGTTTAAAATCATATTAAAACTTACATTTCTAGTGTTTATAATATATGAATCAGTAGAACAAAATATAAATCCATTTTTAAAAAAAGTTTTAATAAACTAGTGTGCTGAGAATTACAATGTGGTAACTAAATTTTTAAAACACAATAAAAGCTACCAAAAAAATCTAAGTGTTATTAATGAGTAATCAATCTACAAACATGAAAACTATTAGCATCATAATAACAACCAGCTGTTCTATACATATCTAATTGTTTAAAAAAAACAATGGCAATTTTAATTATTAAAGCAAAAAGTAAAAGAAAACTCAGGGGCGTAGCGAGGGGGGTGCGGGGGGTGCGGACCGCACCGGGTGACACCATTTAGGGGGGTGACACCAAGGCAAAAAATAGCAAAATATATAGAGAAAAATGATAATTCCACTTAGTAGAGTGATTAATTAGAGTGTTAAATAGTCTTTTAAGAGGTGGGGGGTGCAAATCGAAAGTTTGGGGGGGGGGGGGTGTGCAAATCGAAGGTTTGAGGGGGGGGGGGGGTGCAAATCGAAAGATTGAGGGGGGGTGTAAATCGAAAATTGAAAGTTTGTCCCCGGGAAGGGTCGTTGCGCCTCTGCGGGGGGGGGGGGGGTGACACCCTATAAGTGCCGCACCGGGTGACACCCGACCTCGCTACGCCACTGAGAAAACTACAACCCACAGAAAAATAAGATTACAATTTCATTAAAGATTTTAAATGACATTAGCTATTGAGTTACTTATTAAAAGCAATTGTAAGCCACAATGAAATGTATGCTGTAGTGAAAAAGTGAAGGGAGATGAATGTTGTTTGCAAAATTTTCCGGGGGGGGGGCGGACACTAGTAAAAGTATGTTTTCTATATAAATTCAATTTCTTTCTTGGGGGGGGGGGGGGCTAAGAGATGCCTGGAAGAAACACTGATAGCTTAGTTTGTGTACTAGCTTATGGATTTATATTTAGATTAAACTATGTTGTGTAGATAGTGTACATAGTATTAAACTCTTTTATTGTTAACGAGTCGTTGTTTCATTTAGTCTTGTTTTGTAACCCGTTTGTGGTTGTTTGTCTTATATGTTGCGTGACGCACTACATCAAACGTAAAGGCGTGTCTGTGTTCCCAACATAGGCCTAAAGTAATAGAGGTCGTCCTTTAAAGTCTTCTAGTCATTAAAAAAAAACATTTTAAAACATCGATCAGAAACAACTCCAACACTTAAAAGCAGTAATTTCTATTAAAACAATACACGTAAGCTCATAATGGGATCGTTTAAGTAGACTCGTTACGTAAATATAATATATTGTGTAATAAAATGAGAATATGGATTAGATAAACGAGAAATTTTGCAATTACTCATTTTAAAAGGTCAGGAAATAGATATTTTTTAAAAAGTCTTGTTTTTAATATACTTTGAATATCAGATAGTTTTATCTTATTAGGAGCGTTGTTCTATAATTTGGCACCAGATTAAAGGACGCTATATCTAAGGAAAAAAGTTGTATAATGGATCGGTAAACAGATGCGACGAATTAATGTTGTTGTTTAAGAAAATACATCTGATAAATAAAAAGAGGCTGGTTCGTGAAATACTTATAGATTAAAGTTGCTTTATTATATATATATATATATATATATATATATATATATATATATATATATATATATATATTCAATTGGAAGAATATTTGTTGTTATGAAATTAAAGAATCTTAGAAACTTAGATAAGCCAGCCTTATAAAATAAAAACAGCTCAGCACAGGCTGGTCGGAAGGTATTTCCTTCTACGTAGTCACTTCATTATTTTTTTTTCTTTCCAGCATTTTCCCCGCTTCATATATTATACGTTCGTTAACCTGAGCTTTTACATCTTTCTGTAAAAACATAAAATTTATAATTTAAAAGGGTTTTATATAAATCATGAGATTGTGCTAAATTCACTCACAAATGAAACTATTTTAAACACGTGCGCTGTTAGGAGAGAGGATCAAATATTAAAGTTTGAACTTAAATTACTTATGAAGCTAGGCTTATATATCAGAAGTTATAATCTACGATCTAGTAATCTTACAAAAGCTTATTTTCAGTCTATTGAAACAAAATTAAAAAAAAAAACCCACACTTTCTTAGTTTAATTTGGATTTAAAAATATTAATGATTAACTACACTGTGCCAGTGTACCTGATTTTCTTTGAACCAATCTTTAAAGCTTTCTTTGACCAGCTTGTTCAGGTTTTTGTCCATGTCGGTCTCAGATTTCCTACAGAACACTCTGACTATGGCCTCTTGATAGGTCAGTGGTAGTAGTATCTTACTGAACTGTAGTTAGAGAGATAAATTAGTGGCAGAAGTATCTTACTGAATTGTGGAAGTATAAGTTAGTGGCAGTAGTATCTTACTGAATTGTGTGTTTAATGAGTGGAAATATGTCATTGTTTTAGATGATTATAAATCATAATCCCCACCTCAACATAATTTGGTTCCTACCTCATAATTAACTCACGTATTTTAAACCCCTTTCGTCGGGCCTATGTTTTGTTCTGACAAACAATGTAGCGGCTCATATTGTATGAGCATGGTTGTTAAATTTTCAGATGGAACTTTAAAACATTAAACCCCAAGTAGTTTTTAATTGATCTAAGTTAAATGAACATTAATATTGTTTTTTTTTTACTTATAGGCTTATTTGAAACTACCCAACTGTGCATTTTTTACCCAACGTGGTAGTCAAAACTCTAGTAAGAATGGAAAAAAGTCAAAACTAAGACACAGTTACGAAAAATAAAATGTTCAATTCCTAAAATATACTATTGTGAATTTGAGGAGTTTTATTAAATTACCCAAATCGTTTGAATCGAATGCCAACTGGCCATTTAAATTACTTGTTATGAACAGGATTTACACATACCTCCCCTTTTTTCATCTGTTTTGCACCATCGGCACCCTTTGTGTATATATAAAGTTCTTCAAGAGGATCTTTCTCCTTCTTTCCAAAGTCTAAGCCATATACCTGAAAGAAAAGGTAATTATATGTAAACTATAATCCGCATTAATAAATCGCATACGTATTATACGTTTTATTAATTTGTTTTAGCTTAAATTGTTTTATTGTAATCGAATACCTAAATATTATAAATGAAGACGGGTATAGGCAATATTTTTTTTTATAAGTGAGCTAAATCTATTCCCCTTGTTTTGGAGAAGAATGTTTCAAATTTATTGTATGTTAGTCAAATACTATCGAGTTTACTATAAATATTCGTTTGTTTTTTAATTCAAGTAAAATCAATTAAGGCCCACTAAACAACACAAATTATCATTTTTTAAACGCTAAATATTTAATAAAATGTTTGTTGTTTAAATAACACGTTAGTAATTCTGGTTTTTGAAACACATATAAATATAATAATATTACATCGAACCAGTTAGCAGCCAGACACGAAAACTATGACTTTACAGCTTCGAAGTTTTATTTCTAACTTTACCTGAAGTAAAGATGTCCTACTTTATAAAGTTACTTACTATTTATCAAAAGTAACTGTTTTTATCTGCCCTATTGCATGATGAAAACATTTTTCACAAAATATTTGTACACGTACCTGTATAACATAGTTCTCAGCCAAGTGGTGCATCTGGTCGATTATCGCTTTGATGTTTGATAAGGTTTTACCCTGAAAAGTATAACAAAACTAAAGAACTTTTAAAGTTTTGTTAGGATAAATAAATCTAACATAGAATATTTTTTTAAGGAGATAGCTTCTACTATATTTATAAATCACACAGAAATCACAAATGAAAAATATACTAAAAAGTAAAAAGAAAATGTTTGTGTAGCCTTATTGAAGTTATATGCTGGTATGACTAAATATATCTCCAAAATAGATTTCCCCTAAACTATCTCGAATATTCTTATATAATACTACGGGGATGGCAACTCGGGCCAATATAGAAATGATTTTTAATCCATTTTTAATTACTTAAACTTTTTAAAATAGAATAGAATCTCGTAGAAAGAAAGAATTGCACACCAAGTGAACACCAACCAATATGTGTAGAATAGTGCGGAATATTATTAGTACTTTATAAATTCACATGCGTTTTTTGAGAAATCGGAAATAGCGTAAATTACTACCTCCGATCTATGGAAATTACTCAAATTTTGTCAAAAGGCGGAGAATTAGATCTTTTACTTACATGTCAAATTTCATTTATTTATCTGAAATAGTACTCAAGTTACAGGCTTTTGAAAAATTGAAAGTAGAATAAGTGCCACTTCCGGTTACCGAAAATGCTGAAAAGTTACAAATTCGATATAATACTTAAATATGAATTTTCATCAACCTAGCTGTAACGGTACTCAAGTTATCGTGTTCACAGACACACATACACATACACACACACACACGCACACACACGCATACACACGCACACACACACACACACACACACACACACACACACACTTGTGTTTTACTTTACTCTGTTTCCATAGAAACATGATAATTTGAGTTCTTTTTCTGTTAATATAGACAGTTTCATAAGGTTATGAGACTTAATTCTCTTGATTACTTCAGATTTTGAAGAAATGCCCTTGATCGAAAAAATATAGAGCCAGCTTAAGCAATGTTTCATTACAAAAAAGAAATAATAATAATTTGCGTGTAGAAAAAACAGCGTATCACCTTGTTGAGCGGGGAATTCGCATCTTTCAATTTATCGAATTCAGACTAGAAAATAAATAAAAATGGTAATGAATTTAAAAATAGTTTTTTCTTTCGCATTTAAACATATGTAACCTCTACATTAAAACAAATATTAAAACTATTTTTGTATCACTAAAGTTTTAAAATAGCTTTTTTTTTTAAATGATACATATACACATCTTAAATACCTGGATATTTGTTTGAACATCATTTCCATTATCAAAGTTTAAGTCTTTTACTAGAACCTAGAATTTTAAAATAGGATTTAATTTTTTTTTCTGAACAAAAATATCAATTAGAATTAGCCAGAAAGAATCACCAATAATGACAGGAGTGAGATCTCAAAACATGGAAGGTCATTTAAATTTTTAGCGCAATTTCCATTCTGGAGAATTGCGTTTATTAACTCGTCATTTCTGGGAATGTATGGATGGATGAATGTATGGATGTATGAATGTGTGTCCGGGCTTTAAGTCGTATCTCCTCCTCAACGAAGCAATATCGATGACTAGTTACAAAAGCAATTATGTTAAGCAAGTTACGAGGATGAACATAGGCCATAAAAATTCAGGGTTTCTTTCATGGATTTCCCGAAAAAGCCAAAAAACCTCGAAAAAATGCAGTTTTTGGCCCATATCTCGGCAACCATACCACTTAGCGACTTGAAACATGTACCAATCGATTCCTGCCATAATTTAGAACAATATTGCCGAAGAAAGTTTTCAAAAATATCCTTTCGTTCGGTCACACATTTTTTTTTGAATTAATTAAAATTTGGGCCGAATTAGTAGGCATGTTTTTCCAACAACACCACACGCGTCATCACGTTCAATAGCTGCGCCATCACGTTCAATGGCTGCGACATCACGTTCAGTAGCTAGGCGCGCAATGGTTTTTAGTCATGTTACTCTATTGTAAATAAAACATGTAAAATACTGAATTTTTTTTTTAATAAAAAACGTTTTAATAACTAACCAATGGTTTTACTAACCCTGCTCTTGATTTACGCTACGACAGAGCTATTTTTAGATAACATAAGGAAATTGCGCTAAAATTGTCACTAGACTTTTTTTAATTACTTGTTTTAATAAACTATTTAAATATAAAAATATTTTTTTTTACCATGCCGGTGAGTTTTTGTGACACTTGTTTAAGGCAAGCTGTGACGCTGTCGGTTGTTTGCTTATCCCAGTTTTTATATCCTTCGCACGTCTACAAAGATATTTAGTCATATTTATTTAGTTAAACAAAGCTTCACATTTCACATTGTATATAAAATGAAGTTTTACTGTATCTAAGTATGATTATATATATATATATATATATATATATATATATATATATATATATATATATATATATATATATATATATATATATATACTCGTGCAGATATTATGGGTACTTAAATCTCGTTAGGGAAAGTAAAAGAGGCAGGGCATTGGAATGACAACACTATTCATTCAAAGAAAACCATGAACTTGCCCTATGGCTTGTAAGGTGAACCGTGACTTGTGTGTTTTTAAACAGCTTATACCCTGCTTTGCCCGGGTTCAGGAAATATATTACTTTTCTAATTAAAGGTCTATATGCAAATATGGACGTATAACCCTAAACCTAACTGTGGGTTAGGTTAAGTTTGCATGTCGCCTCTCTTGGGACATAGGCCGCTGACAAGAGCTCTCCATGCGTCTCTGTCCAAGGCTAGTCTCTCCAACTGTCCCCAGGTGTATCCAATCTTCTTGGTGTCTTCTTCCAGGTCACGTCTCCAGGTCTTTCTCGATCTGCCTCTCCTCCTCCTGTCTTGTGGATTCCAGGTGAGGGCTTGTCTTGTTATGCTGGATACAGGCTTCCTGATTGTGTGCCCAATCCATTTCCATTTTCTCTGGAGGATCTCTACTTCAGCTGGCAGTTGATTTGTCCGTTGCCATAGAACATCATTTCTGATGGTTTTAGGCCAGCAAATTCGCAGTATCTTTCTGAGGCATGCATTTATAAATGATTGTATTTTCTTCTTATTTATAGCAGTTATTCTCCATGTCTCAGCACGATAGAGTAAAACAGGTTTTACTAGTGTGTTGTAGATCCGGATTTTTATTCCAATGGTTAAATCTCCAGAACCCCAAATATTTTTTAGTTGGTTGAAGATTGCTCTTGCCTTCCCCGTCCTTATTTTTGTCTGCTTCTGTCCCACCCTGCTTATCAACAATACTTCCAGGGTAGGTGAATCTATCTACTTCTTCTAGCGCTTCTTCTGCTAATGTTATGCTTGATGCATTGACTTGGATAATTTTAGTTTTCCCTCTATCGATGTTCAGGCCCAGGCATGTAGAAAAATTAGCAACCCTGTTGGTTTTATCCTGCATTTGGGTGTGAGAAAGAAGGGCCAGGTCGTCAGCAAAGTCCAGGTCATCCAGCTGGCTCCAGTGTCCACTGTATACCGTTTCGCGTTTTCTCTGTTGACATCTTCACAATCCAGTCTATGGCCAGCAGGAACAGGAATGGTGAAAGTAGGCAACCCTGCCTTACTCCGGTCCGTAATAGGAAAGCCTCCGAAGTCTGATGGCCATGCACTGCTCTACATTTCAGACTTTCATATATATATTTATATGTGTACGTGTACGTGTACGTGTACGTGTACGTGTACGTGTATAAGCATGTGCATGTGCATGTGTATGTGAATGTGTATGCAAAACTTTAACACCGCTAAATAAATATTACAGTTTATAGTAGCAATACCTCTACTTGCTTGATGAGCTTGTCGAAAATCTTTTGAAATATTGTCTGCAATAAAGGTAGAATACCTTACAGAATACGCTACGTCTTGAAAATTTGTCTTAAAAATATCTGAATAATAGCCTACATATAACTAAAATATTGGTCTTACAGTTTAGATTGTTCATTTTTTTTTATTAGCTACTGTTTTTTTTGTGTTCTGTAAAGATCATCTTTTAACATAATGATAAGGTAAGGGTTAAATTGGTTAGATCACTGTATTGATGACACACCTCTTAACTGGTAATTGTAAAAACAATATTTACAGAGTTTTAGTTGTTTCAAAAGCTATGATTCTGGCGGCATGGTACTTTGGTACATCGTTATGCGTTTTCCCAAATGTACTTAATAGATCAGTTCGGGGTGGGTTGGAGTGGTCTTTTTAGGTCAATTATTCTACCCAGCGTATACCTAGGTGTGACATTGTCTCTCTAAACAATTACAGCCTGTCCCGTTTTAGGTGGTGAGGTGGGGGGGGGGGAATAACCAACTCAGAGTGAACATAGAGTCAGTTTTTAGATGACTGTTCTAAACATACTTATACAAGTAAACATATATACTTATTCAGAAATAGATTCAAATAAGTAACAGTAGTATTATGTCAGTAAAAATGTTTTTACAGAGGGGTCCATTGTGTGTGTGTGGGGGTGGGGTTGTAACCCCCACCCCGTGACCAACCCCCTGCCGACGCCACTGGAGCTACTTAAAAAAACAATTTATATAATTTCATTCATGTTGTGAATTAAGTGGTTTAAATTGACGAAATCAAAGCACCCGAATTGAACAAACATATTTTTCCCTTACCAAAGTGACAAATTTGTCCTGCTCTAACTGGATCATGTCAGTTGTTATATCCTTTCTTTTATTTTCTGGTAGCTCCTTGGAAAATATTATTTCGATGAGCCAATAATAAATCAAAGTTTCTATAATAACTTAATAACATTCATTTTAAACAAATAGTAAAAAGTAAAACTACGCGTATTTGTGAACTGCTTTAACGAATTTATTACTGTTAGAGATGGTAGGCCTACGTTGGTAACCAATTCAAATAATGTGCATGTTAATACATCTGTAGAATATTATTTTAAAATCAAGCGAGTTAAACACACCCTGAATATTATTGGTAATAATAATACTCTAATAATGAAATGAATTTAATGATACTAATACAAGTACATTACTACTACTACTAGCGATAACAATACTGTAAATAAAAGAATGATGTGTGACTGTGATACATTTACCTCTTTTAGTTCATCGTATTTTTTCTTTATCGTCTCCTTCATAACTTGCTGGAAAATATTAATATAAGTTATGCATACTTACATAGACACACTCTCATAAACTGTATATGCGTATAGGTCCACATTTGTGATCATATTTATAGATGCATACCAAGACAAATCAGAAAGACACACAGACATAAATATAGACACACGCATACATATGAGAGTTATCTAACCTTTGATGGAAACAATTCTGTAAATAAAGTAGGGCTTTCATAAATGACTGGATAAAACTGACGGTTTTGTATTCTTCGGATAATCTCTTTAGCCTTATTAAAGTCTGATCCCTGCGCTTGAAGAATCTTAACTAGAATTGTGTCGTCCAGTTGGTTGTAAGCTTCTGGTTCTTTTATGCACTCAGAGATTGTAAAACTTTTAACAACCCTGAAGGATATATTTAGATAAAATAATAAAACTGTCTTTCTTTATACGTTTGTAATACAAAGCATTAGTTAACTTTACAGAGAGCTTTTTATAAAAGAGTTGTATTAGATGAAATAACTATTGATATTAAAATTATATTAAAATGTACCAACTTTTCAACAGCGTATTGTATTTCAAAGCCTTTGGCGGCTTTGAGAGCATCAGTTAGCCTACACGAAATTGAAAGAAAATAATAACATGAATTTTTTCAGTGGAATTTTTTAAGATTACTCAGTTGGCATACACAAATGATAGATAATTTTATCCTTAGGAATTTACTAACGTTAGGTTAACATGTATAAAGTTTTAATAAATACATTTACTCAGACATTTGTAAAGTTTTAACACATACATTTACTCACACATTTGTAAAGTTTTAACACAAACATTTACTCAGACATTTGCACAGTTTTAACAAATACATGTGCTCACACGTTTAGAAAGTTTTAACAAATACATGTACTCACATCAGCTCCATCGAGCGGTTGACCTTGTGGTTGTAGGCGAATCTTGTCAGAGTGTATCTCGTCAGGTACATGTTGTACAGGTTAGGGACCTCCTGGAATAGAGCAGTTCAAAGGTTGTCGTGAGACTACCATGTCCTATTTTAAATTATCACAGACTGAATTTATTTTAATAGTTTAGTTCTTGGTAACATAAAAGAACTGATCAAAGCCAGACATTTATGTTACGATCTATTTATATACTACTAAAACTCAAGTTTACATGTTTGATAATTCATTTTTTTTATACTAAACTATTTCAGACCTTTATTATTATTATATATTAATCTTTGTTTAGCAATGGAACTGACTTATCGTAAATTCTAGACCTAGACTTAATGTAAACTCTACATCTAGAATCTAGATCTAGAATCTATTTCAGGTTAATTATTTTATATTAATATTTTTTTTAGCTTCAATGATCATCTAAATCGAGAATGAATGGGATTTATCTATGTTATAATCTAGGTTCTAGATTCTAGATCTAGAGTTACGGCAAAAACTAGAATCTAGATTCTAGATCTAGACTCAACTTAAATTCTACATCTAGATTCTAGATCTAGATCTAGACTTAACGTAAATTCTACATGTAGAATCTAGAACTAGAATCTATATACTAAACTATTTCAGGCCTTAATTATTTAATATAAATCTTTGTTTGTTTAGTTATGGAATTGGCTAATTTAGGATATAGGCCCCTAATTAAATTAAAAATAATAGTACCTATTCGCATAACTGGTTTCTTACTTTGCAGTACATTTTAGGACTAATTCAACTTTGGGTTATCACTGCCCATATAGCTAAAATGGTAGTGTAATGACTACCATGCGAGAGGAACGGTATCGAGACAAATCACGACAGAGTTATTATTTTTTTCAATTTTTGTTTTTAAAACGTGAATGATGAAGTTGCCTATCGGTGTTTTTAAAAGATAAAAAACGTCTTTTTGAATGTGGGGTCTGGTTATTTTGTGATGATAAGTGACAGACGTGATGTCATTTATGGATGATCCCCGAAACCCACAGTTTTCTAACTAGATAACGGGTAGTTTAGTATATTCTAAATATCTATCATGGTGTCTCCACTTATCCCCCCTTATTGCTACCCCAAAGGTAACGGTGCACACCTGGACCCAGTAGCGTAGCGAGGGGGGGGGGGGCGGGGGAGGGGGACATATGTCCCCGGGCGCCGACCTTAGGGGGGGGGGCGCCAAATTGAAAGTTTGAGGGGGGGGGGGTGCAAATGAAAAGTTCGAGGGGGGGTGCAAATCGAAAATTTGCTCCCGAGGGGGCGCCAAATTGAAAGTATGTCCCCGGGCGCCGGGAAGGGTCGCTACGCCTCTGCCTGGACCTGAGTTCAGAGGTATCGTAAGGCTGACCTGCCCTCGACCTCGGACTGCGGTCATGAGGACTAGCCTGAATCATGTGACCTGTAGGATAGGACGCCACAGTCCGATTACTCTACCTTCTTCCCTCTTCGGAGGTACACGTTCTTTGGTGCTACGGCACGTGTTATCTACGGACTAAGTTATCTTACTTTTTGGCAACGTGTGTAGAGGATTGTTTGGCTTCATTGGAAGGTAATTGACACTTAATTTTATTAACTGTACTTTTAGATTTATAATTTATAAGTATGGAATGTGTATAAAAATGTATGAATGGAAAGGGTATTTTAGTATTGTTTATGGTAGACACGATGTCAGGCTTATGTAATATAGTAAATGTAGTGTTATCGTTGTAACAATAGTAACGTTGTATGTAACTGAAGTCCGAATGAATGTGTATATTACACAGATGTTAGGAAGTTTTGTCAAATATATTTTACAGCCGGCCAGCTTGGGGCTAAAGTCAAGACGCTACAGAGGTCCGTGTGTGAGCAAGTGTGACCATGCCGCCCTGGAGACCAGTCGCCAGGCTAATCTGACTTTGCTCCTTTGTTAATTTCTCAATGTTAACCTTCATGTATTAAAATTTAAATAACTGTCAAGTTTTTGCACTGAGTTAATTATTGACTCATATTTTTAAACCCTTTCACTAACCCAAGTATTGGCAACCAGTCAATAACAATAACATAACATAACATTAATAAAACACACTATTACGTATTAAGGGACCTCTTGTCCAACGAGACAAACCCTACGCCTAACAAGTCATTCTGTAGCTGCAGTTATATATTTATGTGCGGTATGACTCAATAGAGCAAATTTGCCACCCTTTCATATTAAAAAAACAACTATCGAAAGCCATAAGCTGTAATTGTTGTGGAGATGTATTTACCTTGTCTCTCACACATATCCTCCATTTACCATCGACTTTTATTGCTCTGGCTAACTTCATGTAACGGATGTGGTCAAAATTGTTTTTAAATCCAAGATGGTGGCAGTCTCTGGCAAAGTAGTCCATCTTGTCGACATCTACTCCACTCTCTTCATTGGATACTATCTGTATAAAGTTATGTACATTGATCCTACACACACAAACAAAGACATACATACACGCACGCACGAACACGTACTCACGCTCTCACGCCAAACGCACACACGCACACATAAATAAATAAATAAATAAATATATTTATTTGCATATATATATATATATATATATATATATATATATATATATATATATATATATATATATATATATATATATATATATATATATATATATGTATGTATAAATTGTCACCTGCATAAGGAAATGCTTCTCTTCAGAACTCCTTGATGGTTTTAGGTCCTAAAGAAAACAATAAATCTCTTCTGAGTAGAAAACTGGCTTTAATATTAGACCCAGTCATACTTACAAGTTACATTAAAAGGTATATAAAGTTCTGAAACACTGAACTTTTAGCTAAAACATACCCTTATATTTTCATTTAATAAGTATTACCTTGTGCGGCTTCCCATAAATCATTTGCTTTATGAAAGTCACATCATCGTTAGATAATTTCTCTGATTCCCTCCATTGGCCCCCAGTCGAAGAGCTCTAAGCACGATAGGTAAAAGTTTTAGCCTTATTTGACACTGCTAGCAAGACATTTTATAATGGAAATACCTAAAAGTCTTTAGACTATATGAAAAGATTTCTAAAATTTAGTTATTTTAAAACTGCATTCTTTGTTCTAAAATGTGTTTAATTTGAGAAAAATTTAGTCTAAAAATAATGAACTATTGTACATGTATTAATGAAGCACCTGTTGGGCTTTCTCAGTTAATTTTAACTCCTTTACTATGGCATCAAAGAGCGTGAGAGACATGTCTTCGTGCTGTTTGCCCAAAAAGAACACACAAAAAATGTAAAATATATGAATATGTTATTGTATAAACAATAAAATTTACACAACTAATAGAATTTATTTTTGTTAAAGTTTGTCTAACATAACTATAATACAATTTTTCTCTACTTCTTTGTTTTATTTTGTGACAACACAATTTAACATCATAGTATTATCGATCATGATCATCTCTTCCCATCCGTGACCATGACACATAGGGCAGATGAAGTAGAGTTCATCTGTTTTATTGACTTCGGCATATGGAGGGATATTGTGGTCAGCACTACGCCCAGCCTCCTTCATTACCCCTAACGTTAGATAAGGGTACCCATCAAAGCTGGGTGGACTCAGGGACGCTCTTCTGACTTGAGCCCAGATTCAAAATCGAGACTCTCGCGTTAACAGTCTAGCTCTCTGTTGCTAGGCTTTGGTATTATCGATTTCCAACAATTTATATTGTAAATTAAATAATACAACATAACAAATGCATAATAATGCATGTAATAATGCACTCAAAAAGAGAAGATAAATGCTTTTCTTTAAATATAATTACAATAATTCACTACTACTTAAATAACTACAAAAAAGCGTGGGTCACTTCCTAAATATTAGTAAAGGTATCCAATTCATAATATAGTTGTGGTGATGTAATATGTATGAAAGGTTTATATGAGAGACGGATCACATGCGTGTGTGTATATATACTTTAGCGATAGGCGAGGCCGGGTGTGTGTTGTTGTAACACAGGAAGTGACTGGTCGAGTGAAAGCGGGTGTGTTAAGAGCGAGAGAAAGGAGGTGTGTAGGAATGAATGGGGAGGAAATTTGAAGGTTGGATTAAAAAGTAAAGGTTGGTGTGAAGAGAGAAGCGAAACAGATGAAATTAATTTGGCATCCAATTAAGTCAAATTTAATGTCTTATTACACTGTGATCGGGTCTTGATCCACGAGCCGAATTTCATAGAAATTGTAAAAAAACAAACATACAAAGCATAAAAAGTAACTTTCAATATATTGTCAGTCTAATTGTGGTAACTAAACAATTGATATTTTAAGAGCATTTTTTTTGTCTCTGTCTATTTTGTGTTTGATATCATTAATTACTTCAATGTATAACATGATAGATAATTTTAATTTGTGTTTCAATGTTTCAGTTTCTTACAATGTTTTTTCAACTATCGAACAGTAGGTCTATTTATTTGCCATTTCTAACTAAATAGTGATAGCACTACTGTCCTTCGAAGGAAAGTCTTCAACAGAATATTATTAAACAAGATTAAGAGAGCAGTAGACCTCAACTAATAGAAGGAAAGATCATTCATAGACTGTCATTGAAAATAGTCTAGCGTGGAACTCATCTCTCTTGATTAATTTCATAGATTACGATGGCATTTACTTAGCTGACGACCTGGCCCTTCTTTATCAAACACAACAGCAATTGTTAGGTAAAACCAACAATGTTATTACTTTTTCTACATGCCTTGGCCTTAGCATCCACAGACGGAAAAGTGAATTTCTCAAAGTCAATGTATCACGAAACACGGCTATAAATTTGACAAATGAAGCCCTAGAAGAAGTGTATAGATTCACCAACCTTGGAATCATTCTTGTTAGGCAATGTGGGACAGAAGCAGACATACAAAAAAAGTTGGGCAAGCAAGGTTAATCTTCAACCAATTGAAGAATGTTTGGGGTTCTCGTGGAGTAAAAATCCGGGTCTTCAACACACTATTTTACTCTAATGAGCTAAGACATGGAGAATAACTGCCACTAATAAGGAGAGAAAATGATTCTTAAACTCATGATTCACAGATATCCTTTGAATACACTAACACAATCAGAAAGATCCTTCGAATCCACTGGCCTAACACTATCATAAATGAGCTACTATGGCAACGGACAAATCAGCTGCCAGCTGAAAAATCGATAGTTCGATGTTTGACTGCCTTGGACTACTTAGATTGCTGTAAACCTCAAAACTTCTGACCTGCATCTGATAGTTCTAGTAGACCTGTGGACGTAAGGTTTTCCTATCAAACATACCTTCCAATTTGTAACTCCAACCATCGGCATAAACCGATTATCAAAGACATGCGAAAATGGTCCATGACCTATGGATCGATACAAATAAACAACACGTAAGTCTTTTGATAGAATGCTTATTAATTTAACGCATAATAAATTAAACAGTAGGTTAAGCATATAGTTAAACATATTTATTTTGTTGTTTATACATTTTTCAAACAACTGTTTTAAGTCTAAACAAACCCTTACTGTCTTCATACTTAACTACGTTACTTTTACTCACAGACCATCTACCCCCGGTGTTTCTTCCATACTTTTTTCTCCGAGGGGGGGGGGGGGGATGTGGGTAGGGAGGGAGAAGGGGTTCACTATAAATTTTGGGGGAGGGGGCGGACTAAAATTTCCAGGGGGGGGGGCACACTGTTACACATATTTTTTTCTGTATAAATTACATTTCGTTGGGGGGGGGGGGGCGATGGTAGACTTTCTTCCCATTGAAGCAGTTGTGTGGAAGAAACTCTGTCTACCCCTTCCAAATCATGACGCATACCATCTATCTTGACTTACCTAAATCATGACACAGACCAGCTATCTCTACACAAGTGATGTCTTGCTGGGTTATTCCTAGCTCTGGTTGGTTATCTCGTAGCGTGCGGGCAAACACGCCAGCCAAGTAATAAGTACTATTGCAATACACGCAGAAAAATAAAGCTTGTTTAAGTTAGTTTCCTATAGTGTAACATGTATTTAAATAAAACAATCAATAGTCATAGGGGTTCTGAATGCATAGAATGACCGCTACAAGGACCAAGAGTGAACAGATAGAACGGTCAACTACAGTCAGACAACTTAATGGTTAGACAATAAACCCAAGACAGTGGACGGAACGTTCCACAAATACATGACATAAAGGTCATTGAAACATAAACAGTGGAGGTCAACAAAGCCTAGACATAAATGTCAACAAACCTGGACAAAACGTAAACAAACGTGGACATAACTGTCAACGATCCCTAGACAGTGGAAGGCATACAAACTCAGAAATAACGACAAAACACCACCCTCCAAACAAACCCCAGACATAACGACCAACAAACCCCAGACATAACGACCAACAAACACCAGACAACGACCAACAAACCGCAGACAACGACCAACAAACCCCAGACATAACGACCAACAAACCCCAGACATAATGACCAACAAACCCCAGCACATAACGACCAACAAACCCTGACAATGACCAACAAACCCTGACAATGACCAACAAACCCTGATACAACGACCAACAAACCCCAGACAGTGCTCGAATCTGTTGTGGGCAGCACCAGGATACACGTAGTAGACCATGCCCAGCTGCTTGAGACGACGGAGTCTCTGGAAATATTTGCTGTCCACAATTCTCTGGCACACAGGGCTGAGGCTGATGTGGCCGTGTACAGGGTCGTTGATCACCTTGGGAGTCTTTATTTACATTGTATTTTATAGAGTGAGATTCGTTTGTTATATAGAATAAATTAAATATATATCGCTAACATTTTATTTTGTCATCTCCCCTACTATTATGAGAAAATAGTCCTTTTAAAAAATTAAAATTGCAATGATGAATCAAATTGCTAACTATGTTAGAAAATAGAGATCGTAGATTATTGTATGTAGAAAGTTGAATGAAGTTGCTGTACTACAATTGGGTTTAAATTTTTAAAAATTCTAATTTTATTTCTAATTAGACCTTAGAATAGTCATTAAAATTTTATTAAAAGATTACAACATTCAGTAATAAAAGTAGTGGAGATAACAAGCTATAACTCGACCATCTAGTCGACGTTGAACATTTTGCTGATGTGGATGTGTACTGAGATCTCCTTGAAGGTTAAATTTACATTGTTGTTTAGAGGGTTAAATTAGTTTGTTAAATAGACTAATCAAATATAAAAACATTTATAAAAATGAGGTTCTAAATGCACTAAAAGTTAGAAAATAAAACTAAATTGCTTTTTTAAAATAAAAACATTATTTGCCTAAGAGATCTCTTACATATTTTAGTTTTTTAGTAAAAATAAAAAAAAAAGCTTATTGTTACAAAGTTTTTGAATATTTTTAATTCAATTTTCCACGTTTTGGTAATTCGTTCTAAATGAACCTGACACCACATAGGCTAGAAATATAAATATTTTCGTTACAACCGGATCTGTTGCAGCTTGCAATCTCTAAAATACTCTGCTTAGTCCGTGGTTGCCGCTCAGACAAAAAACAAAAACACAACTCAGCCGTGAAAAAAGAATTCACCGTTGACCACTGTCTCACAAAGCGATTGCTAGTAATTAATCTTGTTATCTCCCCGTTTATTGTTGAGTATAGTAGTTTAAATATTCCAATATAACACTACGGGGGATGGCAACTCGGGTATAGACATGATTTTTAATCCATTTTTAATTACTCAAACTTTAATTTTTTTTCATATAAAACGTTTTAATGACAAGCTTTTATGTAATAATGCACTAAAAAGTAGAAAATAAATCAATTTCTTAAAAATCCTAATAAATAAAAGGCCAGGTGCGCTCTTCTCTCTCTCTCTCTCTCTCTCTCTCTCTCTCTCTCTCTCTCTCTCTCTCTCTGTCCGCAAAATATTTTCGCCGGACATCACGTCAGAATCGGCAGCGATATATGGATACCTTTATACGGACTTTTGTTGACAAATATATGTTAGATGTTTTAAATGTATAACCACAATTTTATTTAAAGAAGAAAAATAAAAAATAAAGGCGTATTCGAATGTAGAGAAACAGTATTATTTATGCAACCGGAAAAGTGTTTAAACTTGGGACAAGAACGCATTATCAATGACGTCGCTTATTGTTTACACTAAAAAAAGAGCACGAAACTGATGACGTCATCTTCCGAGTTTAGAATAAAAAGAAATGAACTATTTCATTCAAATATGATTTAGAGCTATGTACGCTATGAAATGTATACAATACGATTTTCTCGGCCTAAACTTTAAAAAATTATTTGATCTATTTGAATTCTAGATCTAGAGATTCTAGATCTAGATATTGATCTAGATCTAGATATTCTAGATCATCTAGATCTAGAGATTCTAGATCATATAGATCTAGAGATTCTAGATCTAGATCTAGATGATCTATAAAGCTAAGTTGTCGGGTGCCCGATAGGGCACTTCCTGGCGCCGCAGGCGCTTCAAATTTGGCAGGATCTTGCCTTGGGGCGACAGAACACGGGGGCCGGTTGGCCGAAAAGTCTACGATGAGGGGGTCAAAACTGACCTCGACTGACCGACCCCTTATATGGGCGAATTAATTAAGCATTCAAATTCTCAATGTTTTCCAAAGTCTAAGCGAAGCTGGGCAGCATGCCTAGTATATAATAATACGCAACTATTTATAAATGTAATATAAAGAAAAGCGTGGGTCACTATATCATCTATTGGATACTTTAACTAATATTTTGGAAGCGACCCACACTTTATTTATAGTTATATAAAATAGTAGTGTATAATTATATATTTTAAGAAATTTATTTATTTTCTACTTTTTAGTGCATTATTACATAAAAGCTTGTCATTAAAAAGTTTTTTATGAATTTTTCCCGTACTTTACAATGTTAAAATTTAGAATAGAGTTGAATCACTAAAAACTATTGCGCACCTAATAAACGTAATAACGCGAGTATGATAGTGCGGAATAGTTGGATAAGACTACCTACTAACTTGAACCAATTTTAACTAATTCATAAAAATACATTAGGCATCCAATTAAGTCAAATTTAATGTCAGATTGCATTGTCTTTAAGTCTAGACCCGCGTGCCAACTTTGAACTGAATCTATCAGTTACAAGTGCTCGAAATTTCGCTAGGGCGTTTTGATCTAGACAGAATGACGACAGGGAAAGCAAGTTAATAAATAAAAGCTTGTAATAAAAAAACGTTTCAATAACAAGCTTTTATGTACTAATGCACTAAAAAGTAGAAAGTAAATGAGTTTCTTTAAATATATAGTAAACTAATACATACACTACTATTTACATAACTATAAAGAAAATCGTGGGTCGCTTCCTAAATAGTAGTAAAAGTATCCAATAGATAATATAGTGACCCACGCTTTTCTTTATAGTTATATACATATTAGTGTATTATATTACTATATATTTAAAGAAACTCATTTATTTTCTACTTTATAGTGCATTAGTACATAAAAGCTTGTTATTAAAACGTTTTTATGGATTTTTTTCAGTACTTTAAATTTTTTAATGCAATAGAGTTGCATGACTAAAAACGATTGCGCACCTAACGAACGCGATGACGCTGTCTAATAGTGCGGAATAGTTTGACGAGACAGCCTACTTATTTGGACACAATTTTAATTAAGTCATAAAGAATTAATCAAGCAAACAAATTAAGTCAAATTTAATGTCCTGTTGCATTGTCTTCATGTCATGACTCACGTGCCAACGTTGAAACAAATCTGTCTGTTAGAAATGTTCGAAACGTTTTAATAACAAGCTTTTATGTAATAATGCACTAAAAAGAAGAAAATAAATTATAGACTACTATTTAAATAACTATAAAGAAATTCATACCATTAATTCAGACTGACGACTGACGAGGAAGTGAGTTAAATAAAAGCTTGTAAAAATAGAACAGAATCTCGTAGAAAAAATAGAATTGTGCACCAAGTGAACGTCAAAAAATGTGTATAATAGTACTTTATAAATTCACATGCGTTTTTGAGAAATCGGAAATAGCGTAAATTTCCAGATCCGGTCAACGGAATTTACTCAAAATTTGACAGAAGACAGAGAATAAAATCTTTTACTTACATTTGAAATTTCATTTATCTATCTGAAACAGTACGCAAGTTACAGGCACTATTATACAAAGATTGTTTGGCGTGCACTTGGTTCTTTTTTCTACGAGATTCTATTCTATTGTAAAAAGTTTAAGTATTTAATATCTATATCCCGAGTTGCCACCTCCCTTAGTGTTATATAAGAATATTCGAGAAAGTTTAGGGGAGATAACTCCCGCTTTATTTTTTAAGAAAAGCGTATTCTTTTAATAAAACACTGCGTTTGGATAGCATACATAAGTGAAGTTTGCAATCATACAGGGTTCTAACTGGTGACAAAAAACATTGTATAAACCAAAAGACTACCCTTACAGAGCTCTCACTGTACGTGTATTGCTTTGATTTATTATTTAGAAAACCACAACCTAAAATCCATCTCTGAAAGAAAAGAAAATAAGCTTACAATTAAAAAATTCATATAAAGTAATTCTACAAGTCCCGAACGTATTAGTATTGATGCAAAAATGTTATTGAGATTGATAATTAGTCTATATTATACGATATAACAATATTATTTTTTTAAAACCACTGTAACATTTTTTCGAATTTATATTTTTTATAAGCTTTACTTAGATTATTTTTTTACCATTATTTGACCGGCCATTGTTCTTGATTTTCAAGGTCGTAGATTTGCGTTAACAAATGAAGTATCTATCTGTAATGAAAAATTAAAACGAGCAGGCTGATTAGCTAAATGCTACTCGATTTGTAGCTTGTTAAATATAGGGACTAGGGCAACCCCCTTTCAACTACTCCACGACATAATCTACTGGAGCGTATACTCCCGTGTCAAGAAACCCTTGTCAATTACAAAATAGGTAGTTACAACTAATTTAGTTAAAATTTACAAATGTTAATAAAAGTAAACAGTGTAATGCATATTATGATATTTTATTATGTTAAGGTTAGTCATGAAAGAGAAAACTAATATCAAACCACATGCATTTAAATATGAATATTATACACTATTCCTTGCAAATAACCCATGCGATCTATGTGTTATGGCATTAGCCATATGAAAAATCCAATGACTGATGACACATTTTTCTTGTTGATCCAACCGGATGTCCTCCAAGTCGCTGATTGATAACCACTTTTTGGTAACCAGGCACTGTATGGTTGACCAATGACTCTCCCAGCGGTTATGAAGAGCAACACATTTTTGAAAAAGCTCCAATGGCAATGAGAAAATATCGGGTACTGGTGGCAGTTTGAGTGTTTTTAGAAAAAAAAAAAAATCTATCGTTAAAAAAGTAGCCAATGTCAGGTACATTTCGATTTCTAATGTGTCTTCCCCTCCTCTTCATTCCTGTGTACCTCTTGTAGAACATATTGACGCAACCAAATCATCCAATGGAAACGGGTTTTGATACCCCCCTCCTTTGCAGTCCCTTTGCATTTGCTTGTATTTCACTTACAAAAAAAAAACAAACGACCTATCCTCTTTAAAATTTGTAGGCGTTTTAGCTGCTTTAACATTTTCCCTAGCAGATGCTATACACAAATAACGTAAACAAGCTTCTTCTTACGCCAATTTAGCAGATAATATTATTTAAAAGTATTTTAAAATTACTGCAGACTTAAATTAATTTAATATCTAACTTCAAAATAATGCTAACAATTGATAAAATAACAATACATTGCTGTCGAATACAGATCTAGAAATGCATTACAGCACCCTTTGTTATAGAATATACAATAGTATAAACAACTTATACTTGAAATTTACTCAAATTTAGTGCAACAAGTACAAATTAAAAATAAAAGAAGAAAATATTTAAATATTTATTTAAATTTTTATTGCAACTGTGTGTTCACTGCATTAGTTTAGAATATATTTAAATGTGAATTATTTAGTTTAAAACACAAAAAAGTATTGTTTGCAAAAAAGTACAATAATGGATACAAAATAAAAACGTGATCACACTGATAACATTTGACATTTGTTTTTGTTAAAGTATACTTTAAAAATGAAATTTAAGATTTCTAGTGCTATTTCTATTTTAGTAAAACAAACAAACAAATCTTCCATCTAAATTGAGCTACACTTTATTTATTTTTAAAACTAAGTAAACTGGGACCGGAAAAATAGCACTTTAAACTTACTTACATTTCGATTGAAATCTGTGTTAGCTATACTTTATTAAATCTTCTTGATGCTTACATGAATGCCATTCGAAAATGTTAGTAGAATGGCGATCCTTGTTCGTTGGGTTGTGTTTTTATACGCCGCGTTACTAGAGGGCGTGGTCTGTAAGTTAACGATTTTACTGTTGTATTGATTTGATGATAATTTAGTAGAAAAAGTACTGAATTTATTCAAGAGTTAAAAAATAAACTGCATTTTTGTTACATATTTTTTTATTTTTATATGCATTAGAAATAGAAATAAATGCTTTTCTGTAAATGAATCATAATGCACTACTATTTGAATAACTATAAAGAATAAGGTGATTTGTTTATAAAAGTTCAGTGAGGGTATCCGATACATAATATAGCGAACTATGCTTTTATTTATTGTTTTTAAACTATTGTGCTTCATAATATACCTAGAGAAAAGCATTTTGTAGTTTCGTTTTAGTGCATAGGTCAATATAATGCTTGTTATTAAAATGTTATTAATTTTTAAAAAAATATATTAACTGCTAAAAAAACCAATTGCATAGTAAAAAATGGAATTGCGCACTATATGAGTGAGGGGTACTAGTATTTTAGAAGTAAATTTGTTAAACATCTACTTAATTAAAATTGCCATACAACGGGTCTAGAAAAATCGATTTGATGGATGGTGGTCGAAACTTCGATTTTTAAATCTCGACTCATGACGACAGACTAAAGTCAAAAGAAGACAGAAGTATCAAGTCCACGAAAAGCTTGTAAAAATTAAATAATTGTATTAACTTTTAAAAATTAAAATATCATCTATTAATTATAAAAGATGTTAATATTCTAAAAAACTACTTGAATCCTCCGATGCCTTTTACGAGCATTTATTTTAGTTAATAGCAAAGCCGTTGATCCTAAAAATGCATAGTTGACCAGTCAAAAACTACATTTTAAAGGAAATCAAAATATATTTACAGTATCGATAATTTCAGCAAACATGGGTTTCACAGGGATACCTATACTATCCTACATTATGGATCAAACAAATTCAGATATACAATCCTAAACGTCGCACTGGAAATGTCTCAATTAAAAAGATCTGTTTAAAACACACAGGAAAATGAAATACTGGCAAAAACATATTTTCAAGGTAAAGCGTAACGTAACTTGTCTCTATAAAAGAATCAAGATATAATACAATTTAAATAAATCTTTAAAGATATGGCTCACCTATAAACTCTAATCCGATCTAACAGGGATTTATATATTTTTTTAAAACGTTTAACAGTTACCTATATTTTCATCGAGTGAGTCTGTTGTCATTGATTCAAAATTTATTAAATGATCGATATGATATTTCTATAGTAATTTAAGTCAAAATGTTGTTTATGGTTCTCTTGTTAGCAAAAGAATGTAATTAAGATACTTTTTGCTAGGTTTCAGAGTTTGTACGGTAAATTCTATTGATTTTTTTCTTTTTGATTGCCGTACTTAAAGAACGATCGATCACTGAGGATTCAACTAAGAAAACCACATTAGCTAAATCTTTGTCCCCATGTTATGTAAATATGTTGGCCAAATGAATCATTTATAGAGGGTGTCCCATATTTTTGAAGTCGATTACCTAAGTGACTTACACAGCTTTTAGTTTTTCGGCTGTTTATATTTCCAAATACGTTTTTCTATACTATAACACCCTGATCTGTCGGTTATAGATTTACATATTTCCAAATACGTTTTCTATACTGTAACACCCTAATCTGTCTGTTATAGATTTATTTATTTCCAAATACACTTTCTACACTATAATACCTTAATCTGTCGGTTATATATTTATAATTGTATCAAATTATCCATTAATACTCCTAGAGAAGCTGGAGAGGGAGGGAGGAAGACGTCTATATTACAAAAAAGTATCACTATTTTCCCTAAGCATGTTTTACTGTTAACGTTATACTATAAAACTGATCGACCGAAATTTGAAGTAAGTTGTGAACAAAATGTTAAGCATTACACCACAACCCACTGTTAACAATCTGCAATTCGAAACATTTAAAATACTTATCAGCTTGAGGTTAGCTAGAAAAGCATTTAGATACAATACATATTGACATATGATTGAATGACTACATCTACGTAAGCCATTCTCAAATCAAAAACAAAAACATATAATCGACATTTTAAACTTTTTAAAATTTGTCTAATAATAAAACATTAAAATATCACAAAGGCGATAAAATAAATAATGTTGTATTTTGTTGCAAAATTAACCTTGGCATAAATACATATTTCATTGGTAAGATCGACCAAAGCAGCTGCTGTTGATGTGTTTTTTAACCTTAAAGGAATTGATTTTATATCGTTTGACGTAGTCGGCATTGATTTTAGGCTACATTAGTTTATTGATCTTGCTAGAGCATAAAAGCAATGCTTTCACACTTATTTCCGTATAAATCGATGACTTCGATAAAACACAGGATCAGAGCAAAACAATGCTCACACAATAAAGCCGCTATGCAATCAATATTGTCTCTAATTTATTAAAGACCGAGCCGTTCTAATCAATATTGATCGATTGTAATTTCTTACTGTAAGGGAAGAGTATTTTTTTCACCATTTTACAAACGAAATTAGTCACACTTCATGTTATAAAGTTTATTTTTATATGGATACTTTACATGTATTTTAAAAACTTTTGGTGAAGTTGAATCAATGTTATATGTTCATAACATGTAAATTAAACGAATTTTTTGTTTTCATTCATACAATTAAATCTGCCCCAATCTGGGTATCAATGATAGCTGCCTGATACAAAGCGATGTAATCATAATGGGGGGGGGGGGGGGTGACTATGACTACACTCCCATCTTCAGTTTTAACCTTTTGCTGATCTCACTTTGTTGTGTTTTTATCTTTGTAAAAGTACAATATTGACAGTAACAGTTTAATTTAGCCTTTGATGTACACTACTGAGTCCCTGATAGTATCTTAATTATTTACATTTTTTAACACCAACACACTGTAGGTAATAATTATTTAGGTTGCGGCTCTTCTCATTTTTGCAGCAAGATTGTATGTAAGCTACCCCTGCCAACACACTAAGTCAGAAACCACCGAGAAGCGAGATCCGCCTACGTCAGCAGTGCTTGCTAATTTTTTATTTTATTTTTTAATAAACCGGGAGCGATCTCCCCTAAACTTTACTCGAATATTCTTTTATAAAAAAACAGGGGATGGGAACTCGGGATATAGACATGAATTTTAATCCATTTTAAATACTTAAACTTTTTAAAATATAATAAAATCTCGAAGAAAAAAGAATTGCACACCTGTGAACGCCAAATAAAACGTGCATAATAGTGCGGAATATTATTAGTACTTTATAAATTTACATTCGTTTTTTGAAAAATCGGAAATAGCGTAAATTAGTACTTTCAATCAACGGAAATTACTCAAAATTTAACAGAAGGTAGAGAATTAGATTTTTTACTTACATGTGAAATTTCATTTATCTATCTGAAATAGTACTCAAGTTATAGGCTTTTGAAAAATTCAAAGTAGAAAAAGTACCACTTCCGGTTATCGGAAATCGCTCAAAAGTTGATCAGGATCTACGATTTTGATAAAATATTTATATATGAAATTTCATCAACCTAGCTGTAACTCTACTCAAGTTATCGTGTTTACACACAGACACACACACACAGACAACGGACAGAATTGCAAAGTCCAGGTTTTACGACTCAATAACGCATAAAACGCCAAAATGTTTATATATTTGTATTTATAATTTTTGCCTGATTAAAATAAGTCCTCTATACTCCGGATGTGACGAAGGACTGAGGAGTAAAACGGTGAAAACTGTCAAAATTTCATGTTGTTTTTGTGCTCGATTACAAAACTTTCTCTATACTTCGTATATACGAGAAAGTAAAAAAGGGAAACGATGATTTCTTATATTCTCAAGATAAATCTATCTTTGGTACAAAAGAAACTACAAGCTAATAAGTAATAACGGTTTAATGCCTAACGTATTTTTGTAATGGTTCTACAAAGTCATTTCTGTTCTTTGAAGAGAGAGAATAAGAAATGATAGAGAGAAAGAGAGCAAATGCAACGGGACGACTTGGTCCGGTGTAGAACGCAAAACTACTAACTTAAAGTCTTGAGCTCGGATCCTGGGCTTAAACCATAGTCGTAGCGAGGGGGGGGGGGGGGCGGAGGAGACGGGGGCGGACATATGTCCCCGGGCGCCGACCTTGGGGGTGGGCGCCAAAATGGGTTGGAAAAACAAAGTTTGAGAGGTGGGTGCAAATCAAAAGTATGAAGGGGGGTGCAAATCAAAAGTTCGAGGCGGGGGGGGGGGGGGGGAGGGGGGGGGAGGTGCAAATCGAAAGTTTGTCCCCGGGCGCAGGGAAGGGTCGCTACGCCTCTGGCTTAACCCCGAGAAATTTGATTGGTACCTGTCTCATATTTTTAAAATTAAAGGCGGCTAAGCATAGAACTGATCACACTGTATACCATTTTGCTGAGGTCACGGAAATAGGTGAACTCTACCACATCTGCTTTACGATCACCAGCACGTTGGGGCAACTAAGAAAGGCTAGTATCTCACGTAAAAAAATGTAATAAAAAAAAAACTAGACCTAGATACCCTGTTCATAAAAAATATGACTATCCAAAACTTCACTTCGAATAACAAAAATAAAAAGCATCTTTCCAAACCTCTCTTAGTTGTGTAGCTGATGAGCAATAACGGTCAAGCATTTTTTTATTGATTGCTAGGGTTAGCTTGTAATGCTTCTTGTCACTTGTCAGAATGTATATTCTATGCCTAACACTCGTTAGCCTATTTAATTTTAATTTTATTTTTTTGGTCGTCTGATGAAAAACATGTTATTTGTTGTCTTTTTTTAAAGTTTTAATCCATGGTAAACTTATTCGTCTGAATTCAGCTGCTGTTTGTGTTTTTTAAACTTTAAAATCAACAAATTTTTATTGTCATAAGCGACCGCTGGTCCAAACTATTTTTTAGAGCAGCATTGGCTTTATGTAAACAATGTCTGGTTCGGTGGTGATGATAGCTGGTATTTATAAAAGTGTGTGCACGTCTTTAATATCTTGAAAAAAAAAGAAAAGTAGCTTTTTCAAACACTAAAAGGTTTTAGTGAAAGTGAAAATTATTATGTTACGTACGAAAAAATGAGGCCCTCTGGCTGCTGCCGTCTCAGCCCCGACCCCTCTTAATAAAACAATGGCTCCACTTCACCGACTCGGACTAATTTGATGGAACTCGTCATTTCTTTGCCACATACAACATTCAAATGTGTTAGACATGTTGTAAGTGGGGGTCCTTATTAACCAACAGTCTTGTAATTACATTGGCGATTTTACTAATTAATTCTTTAGTAATGACGTCGACCCAGAGTTTCTTCCGGGCATCTCTTCCGCCCCCCCCCTCGATAGTAGCCCGATTGACTAAAATTAAAATTAATCTTATTTCCTAATTTAGGAATTTAACCTATTTTATTGTAAAGTATAACCATTCTGAGACAATAAACTAGACCAAAATATGTCCAAATCATTTGGGCTTGAGATAATCGTGTTTTTTAAATGTTTGAATCGCATTTCGTATTTGCCGACAATTGTGAAAGGCCGGTCAAGAGTAGCCTATATACTGATTTGTGTAATGGTTTCTTGCTTTCAGTTTATTTGTATGATTTTTTTTTGTTTTTATATTATTTAATTTGAAAATATTCCTTTTCATAGTTATGCCGCTCTTTCGTATAGCCTACTTTATTTAAAAATAATTAAGAGAAGCAATTGCTCTTATTAGAGTAATTTAAGAAGGGCAATAAGTCGTGGAAGTAGAGTGCATGTTTGCCTATCTTCACACTATAGCTCAAGTAGAGTTTTAAAATATTCTGCTACGCAACAGTGTGTGTTCGTTACTGTGGAACAATCACTGCTATAGCAGACCAGTTGCAATTTACAAAACCAATCAGAGGCGTAGCGACCGGGGGGCAGGGGGGTACATATGTCCCCGGGCGCCGACCCTAGGGGCGCCAAAATAAGCTCATTTTAGCTGCTATTTTGAATTATAAATATAAAAAATATAGGGGGGGCGCCAAATCGAAAGTTTGTCCCCGGGCGCCGGGAGGGGTCGCTACGCCTCTGAAACCAATATCAAGGTGCTCCGCTAAAATAATGTTTATGCAAAAAATGCATTTTTTGGGTCAGATTTTGGGTCCTCTAAACGTCCTCCCACCCCCCCCCCCTCCCCCGCGTTGGGTCTGGCGGTATGGTAATTGGCGTGTCGCAATCATAATTGAAAGGTGAGTTTTACAATAGCATATGGACAATTACTCTACAGATTTCAAGTTATTGACTGGACAAGAAAGGCAAATATTAAAGTAAATGCTGATTGAAGAATTGCCTAGCGTTTGCCCTATCTTTGTTGTTTTTAACGATAAAGTGCGTCTGAAGGTTTTTGTTATTTTTCTTATTTTTATAAAAACAACTTCAATTGCATTTTGTATAAATTCGTGTATTGTTGTTGACGTGTACATTACTGTATGTCAGCTGTTGTTGGCCATGACGTGTATCTTATTGTATGTCAGCTTTTCGTTGTGGTTCCTCAATTAGTCGACGAGACATACCATAATATAACATACAAAAACCGGTATTTTTCATGTCAAGTATAGTGGTTGTCAGCTTCAAGTTGGTGACTTCATAAAGGAGAAAGTTCCTTGAACTGTTAGAAGTTAGAGCTTGTTGAATAGTTTTAATGGCACAAATCATCGAAAAAAAACTTCCGTCTGTTTGCGTCACCACCCTTATTGCTCAGGTGGGTCTCTGGCATATGAGCGTTGATACGATATTTCAGCTCTTTCGCCTGCTAGTCGTTCACGGAAAACAGACCTTTTTGTCGTATGGAGATATTTCGGCGCGATTGCTTCGTGAATTCATTCCCTAACACACGACATAACATCTAATAATGAATTTTCATTAGTATAGCGTGTCTATGTTTTTTGTAGCAGGTAGCTGTTTTATAAGGAAGTCTTGCTGACCCAACCCTCATTTTATGTCTGGCCATGGGACTTGTCAGAGATACCCACTGTGTTTATCTAGGAGGGAAGGTTGGTGTATTGATGCGAATAAATGATGCGAATAATCGATGCGAATAATTGATGCGAATAATTGATGCGAATAATTGATGCGAATAATGTACATGTAAAACTTCATTGAATATAGAACAATTGAGATACATTAAACGTATCCACAGTTTGGCTTAACTTATACCAATATGTATAACAATCCGCGCGATAATCGTACACACACATACGCACAGACATAAGTATGTAAACGCACGCACGTACACACTCGCACACATATTAGCTCGGGGCAAAATGAAAGACTTTGGGTGGTCATGAATAGTGCTTAATATTTACATCAAAATTTATATTGAGATTAAAACAATTATATTGAGATAAACAAAAAGTATATTGAGATAAAAAAAGTATACTGAGATAAACAAATTATATTGAGGATAAAAATTATATTGAGAATAAATAAATAACTTACATTAATTAAGAATGGACTATGATATAATAATCTATGCGGCTTTTTTCTCAATGACACTAAATAAAATCTTCGGCGGTTTATGTACTTAGACTGTGTAAACACGAGATCGATAAAATCAATAAATGATATCTAAATCAGAATTAGAACTGTTTGATAAACTTTGACGTAACTTTTTATCAGATAATCTTGACTGGAATGTTATACAGCAGTATGGGCTAAGTTTGTAACTTTCTAAACTTTTCTAGATAAGATCTTTTAGATAACACCAAAAGAAACCTAATACAGATCACTGGGCTCAGTAGACGGTTTTAAATACAACTGGTCCCGTATCCCTGAGTTCACTTTGTACGGTTCCTCTACCCAGCGCATAGCTAGCTATTGGTTAGAAATCTGACTAAAGAGGTAGAAAACAGAATTTAAACATAAAAAAAGTTCCAATGTGTCTTCTTTTACTTTTATTTTTCATCTGTTGTGATATTGTAGAGGTATTAGTACGTTGTTTTGTTAGTGCAATAATTTATTTAGAAAACTTAAAAAATATAATACATTAATAATAAAACTTAAGGGGGTAGGCTCCGGAAAAAAAAACAACTTTTTAATTACTAAGCCTTTAAAAAAATTAATTTGTGTATGTATAAGTTAGGGTACTTAAGGGAAAATATTTGCATGTACCAGGGACTCTTCTGAAAATATGATTGCCATGGCAACGGCGGCCATCTTGGAAAAAAACTACCTTTTGTGGAGTTCTAAAATTTTATAAAGTAACATATAAACCGCCCATATAATAATTGATCCTTCTTGTACTAACACTAATAGAGCCAGCTGGCTAGTTTTTTGTAACAGAAAAATCGTGCGAAATATTTTTTTCAAATTTTGAAATTTATTTTATGGTGAAAAACCATTAAATTTAGCATTAATTTCAATGAAATTTCACCATACCAAATTTTGAAAATTCAAAAACAGTATTTCTAAAGTGTTTTCTGTTATAAAAACGAGCTAGCTGACTATATTAATGTTAGTAGAAGAGGTATCAATGATTATATATCGGATATATATGTTAGTTTATGAAATTTTAGAACTCCACGAAATGTTTTTTTTCAAGCTGGCTGCCGTTGCCATGACAACAATATTTTAAAAAAGAGTCCCTGATGCTTGCAAATATTTTCCTTTAAGTTCTCTAAATCAGATATTCACAAATAAATCAATAAAACATTTCAATTAAGATTTTTTTTCTTCTTTTCTGGAGCCTACCCCCTTAAAGATGAAAAAGGTTACATTAGTCACATCAAATTTGTCTTTTTCACCCAGTGGCGGTATGTTTGGTTGAACATGGGGGAGGTGGGGACGGGACACAAGTCTTCTAAAATTTGTTAGCTCTTTTAATTCATTGCCTACTACAAAGAGCTTTGCTTTTTAGAATAAGCTTATGTGTAATTGCTATCCCGGTATATACATCCACAACCATTTAATGTCTACATGATTTAGAGAAGCCAGGCATTGTAAAAATATCATCATCTCATGTGGCAGATGAAATAGAGTTCATCTGTTTCAATGACCGCGGCATATAAGGGGATAATGTGGTCAGCACTATGTCCTTGTTTCCCTAACGTTGGTTGGGTGGACTCTAGTACGCTCTACTGATTTGAAACCGGATTTGAATTCGAGGCTTGCGTGTTAGCAGTCTAGCTCTCTACCGCTAGGCCACGCCGTTCCTCATGTTAAAATAGCGACAATTAGCCTCCATCATGATTTGATTGTATGTTAATCCTGTAAAACCCACTCGTATGTTAATCCTGTAAAACCCACTCGTATGTTAATCCTGTAAAACCCACTCGTATGTTAATCCTGTAAAACACACTCGTATGTTAATCCTGTAAAACCCACTATTTGAGTGCTAAAATCTAATCCCTCCTGTTTCTGTTGTAGCAAAAAACCAGGTGTTCCTTTCCATTTGGATCTGTTTCATCAACCCACAAACCAGGAGCACATCTATCTATTTTGTCTTTTGTCAGCTTGATAATCAAACGCACATCTTGTTGTCAAAGCACGCGAGTGACCTAACAATACAATTTGACCTCACCGCCCCATCAACTCGCAACACAGCAGCCTTAGTGAGGCAGTCTTGTGAAGAGATTATCAACTCTCAACACAGCAGCGTTAGTGAGGCAGTCTTGTGAAGAGATTATCAGAGTTTAACACTCTGGAAGAAGAGAATACTAGTGGTACACGACTGAGCCTACCCCCCCCCCCCTCAAGCCCTGTGTTGTGTTTCGTTATATCAAGCCTGAGCTACTTGGTGGGGAGAGAGGCAAACAGTCCACCTGTTGAAATCTAACTTCACCAATGTGATAGTCCTTGATATATGGTTACGTTCGCTATGTTCATTGGTAAATCATCTCACTCAGTCGTATTCGGTACCTCAGCTAGAGTGTAGTTTAGAAGTAAATATGCACATCTCCTAAAAAATTCCAGTGTTAAATAACTTCTACAGAGGTCATGGTAAGAATTCAATACCAAATGATATTTCACAACGCACAGGCTACAGTGAACAAAGACAAGACCTATTGAAGCATGAATAGCCATGTTAACATTTCCTTCTGTATTCTGGTTGTCCCCCATTAGGCGGGCTTTGGTTCCAGCCCAATGGACACGAAGGTATGTCAATGGCTGTTGCGTAAACCCTCGGTGTGTTGCAATGTCTTGTTTGGGGGTGGGTGGGGGAGCCGTTCACTCGTGGAATGTCAGGTGGTCACGTGATGGGTTTGTGCCATTCAACAACGTCATTCTTCTAAGAAATACCAGCGCTTTCCAAGTAGAACAACATGGGCCATTACAAGAAAACTAAATACCACCGCAGAAATAAACTCAGCCAAACCAATCAGGTGTAGCTACAACAAAAAAATCTAAACTAATAATGTAATGCTACTACAAGCATATTCTCGTTTGTAACTATATCGCAGGCTATAATCCAAAGGATGATTCAAATAACAGTTATGTCATCAACACGGTTTTAACAGTAGTGACGTCATCGTCATCACCACGGTTTTAACAGACAAATTTAACAAGATTTAGAAATTAATGACGTCATCAGTAAAGTTTTAACAGAACTGACGTCATCGACAAGCTAACTGTCTAGAAACGTGTACACCTTGACATATAAACCTGTTTTCAATGTCACACAGCGAGCTTTGAATGAGATCGTTTGGCAATTGTCTGACCAAATGATTACAATCACAAGTGATTAGATTCGTGTCGTCATGTTTGTGTTGTCGTGTCTACTAATGCATCAGTGATGTTTTAAATTCGTTTTTATAATCATACACGTAATATTCTATCCGGAAAAGGGTGTTAATATGAACCTTAACGTACCAATACCTGATTGTGTCACGGAAGTAGGGGCTGATGATGGCGTACAGGAAGAAGTTGAAGGAGAAATTGATGGTCTGCATGAGGTTGAGCACAGCCTCCACGGCGGGCAGGTTTTTGCTGTTGCTCATCTGCATGAGGAACAGCACCGTCTCGCTCGGTGCGACCAGCACGAGAAACATGAGCACGATGGCGAGCAGCGTGAGCGTCAGGATATAGGAGCTCATGGACATCGTCTCCTCACAATCAAAGGCTAGCCTCTTCTTGTGGGAGCTCATGATCTGCCTGTACATGCGGACGTTGAAGAAGACGAGGAATATCAAGGGGAGGAAGTTACCCACAAAGGCCCAGGTGATCCTGTAGGCGGTGTCCACAGCTGTGCTGCCGCACAGGGGGACAGTGTTGAGAGAGTAGCGAATGGAGGAGATGACCCGCGGGGAGGGCGTGGAATGTAACGGTCCCGTCGTCGTCAATATGGCGGAAATGTTTCCGGTGTAGTTAAAACTGGCGCCTGTGGAATCTATGCTGGAGCTGAATGCACATATGACGACTGGCTGAAAGCGAAACATGACAGGAATATTAAAGACGATTGAGAATATAAACGTGCTGACGATAATGCGTTTGATGAGGCCTTTCTTCAGGTAGAGTGTCTGCTGCAGTGGATAACAGATGGGGATGAAACGTTCTAGCGACATGGTCACAGTCAGCAAGGTGCTCTCCATGATGAAGATGTTGATCAACCCGTGGGCGTAACGGCCGTACTGGAACACGAACCCACGGTCCGGAAAGATCCGGTCAGCCGGCACGATCATGGTCAGGAATGCTAAAACGCAGAACATGAGGTCTGAGATAGCCATCGCGATGAGACACACGTTTGCCGCCTCCTGGAGCTTCCCGAGTGCTTTTTGGAATCTTTGCCTGTGAAAATTGGAAACGTCAATTATCTTGTTTAAAAAATTTCAAGTTTCCAAATTCATGCGTCTCTAATATCTATGCAACAATATCTAATTTTTAAAATTATGAATAAGTTAAATTGGTAACGAAAATAAAAATAAAATTTGCTAAATTAAAATAAAACAAAGCGGGAGTGAACTCCCCTAAACTTTCTTTAGTATTCCTATATAGCACCACGAGGGATGGCAACTCGGGATATAGACATCACTTTTTATCAATTTTTAAATAGGCCTACTTAATGAATTACTCACATAATAAACAGGTTTGTGTAATAATGCGGAATATTAGAACTTATAAATTCATATGCTTTTTTGAGAAATCGGAAATAGTGTAAAGTACTACTTACTGTCACCGGAAAATACTCAAAATTTGAAAGAAGGCAGAGGAGTAAATTTTTATCTTATATATAAAATTTTGTCTTTCGCAATCAGTACTCAAGTTATAGGCTTTTGAAAAACCGAAAGAAGAATAAGTTCCACTTCCGGTTACCGGAAATTACTGAAAAGTTGACAAAGAACTACACATTTTATATAATGTAACGTTACTTAAGTTATCGTGTTCACAGACATACACAAACAGACACACAGACATACGGACAAAATAGTAGAACTAAGTTTTCCCGACTCAGGGACGTATAAAATGTCGCTGTTTGCTCGATAACAATATTTCCTCTATAGCCTACATCGTATACGAGAAAGTAAAAATGTACTAGCTGACGGTAGTGAACTGTTGGTCACGGATGGCTGGTTTTCCGAGAGCGAGCATGCAATAAAAAGAGGCAGATATTTATCTTTTACAGATCTCAAATTACTCATCAGGATTTAAAACAAACATTTTTAGTCGCATGTCTTAAGTTCTATAAGAAAAAAACAGAATGCAAACATTTAAAGTATTCTTATTCATTGTTTAAAAAAAAAGTAAACTTTATATTTTAGTTATTAAAATGCATAATTAAAACAAAGTAGAAAACAAAAGACATAAAAAATTAGTAATAATGAACTTCTTATAAAATCACAGATACTAAGATAATACAAAAAATATAGATCTAATTGCTTTCTTTAATAAAAGCTTCCGTCGTTAAAATTTGTAAGATTTCAAAGGCAATCACTGCTTTTATTACGTTTGTTTTATTTTCTTTTTTCTGTACATTTAAAATGTTATTGTTATGTTATTATTAGTTTTATACGTCTTTATTAAGCCTTCAACTCTCATTTCGGAGATTCTACTGCTTATCTCAAGGTTTAAGAAGACAAGACAATGAGTTATGTGTCATGATATGAGTTTACAGATATGTAAGCATAGACATGTACATGACTGACATGTACACCACAGACATGAACACCATACACCTGTACAGGTCACCTGGTTAAGATTATCAGGTACAGGACTGACATGTACACCACAGACATGAACACCATACACCTGTACAGGTCACCTGGTTAAGATTATCAGGTACAGGACTGACATGTACACCACAGACATGAACACCATACACCTGTACAGGTCACCTGGTTAAGATTATCAGGTACAGGACTGACATGTACACCACAGACATGAACACCATACACCTGTACAGGTCACCTGGTTAAGATTATCAGGTTGACGACGTTGCCCAGGATGCCAAGCACACACACAAAGGGAATAAAGTAGAGGCTGATGATCGACTCCACGCTGGCCACATTCTCTTCACCGATCTCACTGACTTCAAGACATTCTCCCGACGTTTCATTGGCCGACATTCTAACTAATCAGCGGAGGTCACGTGACAAGCCGAAACACCACGTCACCGGTATGATTCATGCGACTAGTGAAATCTTTCACAGGCTAACAGTCATGAGCTCATCGAACATTCTGGAGGCAGGCACCTGCAAAATAGTAGGTGGGTTTTGTAACGTTCATGGTTGTGCCACAAAAGCTATGTTACACGGTGTTGTAGTTGTAAGGATCATCCACAATCGTAGAAAACTCCCAGTGCAACAATATTTCATTTTAAAACTATATACATGTGAAACTGGTAATGCAAATGTAAATAAAATATTGCTAATTTCAAATAAAAATAAAGCGAGAGTGATCTCCCCTGAATTTTCTCGAATATTCTTATATAACATTAAGGCGGTGGCCCCTCGGGATAGAGGCAATTTATTTATTCAATTTATTCAATTTATTCAATTTATTCAATTTATTCAATTTATTCAATTTATTCAATTTATTCAATTTATTCAATTTATTCTATTTATTCTATTTATTCTATTTATTCTATTTATTCTTTTTTTTCTATTTATTCTATTTATTCTATTTATTCTATTTATTCTATTTATTCTATTTATTCTATTTATTCTATTTATTCTATTTATTCTATTTATTCTATTTATTCTATTTATTCTATTTATTCTATTTATTCTATTTATTCTATTTATTCTATTTAATTTATTCAATTTATTTTATTAAATTTATTAAATTTATTCACTTTATTCAATTTATTCAATTTATTCAATTTATTCAATTTATTCAATTTATTCAAATTATTCAATTTATTCAGTTAACTCAATTTATTCAATTTATTCAATTTATTCAAATTATTCAGTTTATTCAGTTTACTCAGTTTATTCATTATATTCAATTTATTCAATTTATTTAATTTATTCAATTCCGGTAACAACAGTAGGCACGGAGGCTTTTTCACATTGGCCGTTCAAAAAACAAAACATAAAACAACGTAATAAAAGCATTTTATTAAAAAGCATTAGAGTATAAAACACATCGCAGTAACATAGCATTAAAAAATTTGGAATAAAAAAATAAAATTACATTGGTATTATCCACAATGAGATAAAATGAAGATATAATAAATGAATGAGAAGTGTAACCATGAGTCAGTTAAGGAGGTCATTAAATAATGGTTGTTTTAGTTTAGTTTTAAATTTATTTTCTGATATAGATAGTTTTATTTTATAAGTAAGATTGTTTCACCACATAAACCAGAGTAGGTGAAGAAATATGGGAGAAAGATTGGAGAAACATGCGAGAAAGATTGGAGAAACATGGGAGACAGATTGGAGAAACATGGGAGAAAGATCGGAGAAAAATGGGAGAAAGATTGGAGAAACAGTGGTAAAAGATTGGAGAAACATGGAAGAAAGATTGGAGAAACATGGGAGAAAGATTGAAGAAACATGGGAGACAGATTGGAGAAACATGAGAGAAAGATTGGAGAAACATGCGAGAAAGATTGGAGAAACATGGGAGAAACGTGGGAGAAACATGGGAGAAAGATTGGAGACACATGGGAGAAAAATTGGAGAAACATAAGAGATAGATTGGAGAAACATGGGAGAAAGATTGGAGAAACATGGGAGAAACGTGGGAGAAACATGGGAGAAAGATTGAAGAGACAGGGGTGAAAGATTGAAGAAACATGGGAGAAAGATTGGAGAAACATGGGAGAAAGATTGGAGAAACATGGGAGAAACGTGGGAGAAATATGGGAGAAAGATTGGAGAAACACGGGAGAAAGATTGGAGAAACTGTGGTAAAAGATTGGAGAAACAGTGTAAAAGATTGGAGAAACAGTGGTAAAAGATTGGAGAAACATGCAGGAAAGATTGGAGAAACATGGGAGAAAGATAGGAGAAACATGGGAGAAAGATTGGAGAAACACGGGAGAAAGATTGGAGAAACTGTGGTAAAAGATTGGAGAAACAGTGTAAAAGATTGGAGAAACAGTGGTAAAAGATTGGAGAAACATGGGAGAAAGATTGGAGAAACATGAGAGAAAGCTTTGGAGAAACATGGGAGAAAGATAGGAGAAACATGGGAGAAAGATTGGAGAAACATGGGAGAAAGATTGGAGAAACATGGAAGAAATATTGGAGAAACAAGGGAGAAAGATTGGAGAAACATGGGAGAAAGATTTGATGGACATGAGAGAAACATGGGAAAGAGATGGGAGAGAGATGGGAGGAAAAGGCTTGGATACCACAACTAATGACAGCTGTGTAGCGCAGTTTTTAAACATTAAAGAAAGCTTTGAAAAAAACCCGTGCAAGCTTATCTTTTAAAAAGAACGAGCCGACTCGCAGCGTATCATACGCCGCTAATTAGTTGTTTTAATTTCTACTTTTCAGTAATTCATAATTTGTGAATTCGACAGTACCAATGCTGCCACTGAAAATATTTGCTTTAAAACACTAACCCCCCCCCCCCCCTTTTTCCCCTAACCCCGACCCTACACCCCCCCCCCCCGTGAAAGCAGCCTCCTCTTAGTTATTTCTTAGTTACCTCCTGTAAGTTTAAAATCGAACTAAATTATCTGCCCCTAATAGAAACCCGGCTCTACGATTTGTAAACATTTAGCTTTGTAAACATTTAGCGTGACCACAGCTCACCAGACAATGTGGGGGTGGGGTGGGGGTGGTAGTGATAGTGATAGTGATAGTGATAGAGAGAAAGAGAGGGGACTGCAAGGAGGCGCTTGCAGCTTGTTTTCTAACGGCTCCCAGAAGAGAATTATATATATATAGATAATATATTATTTTAATGTTTATCAACAGTGACATTTTAATTGTAAATTAACCTTGAGTTATCAAATTTTTGTTTGTAAACAACATTAGTTTAGGATTAAACAAACGGGACTGAAACATTTTGGAAATGTTACACAAATACTAACACTTATTTCTTTATCTAGGCTGTTGTTTCTTAGAATCCTAGCGTATGCTTTGATAAAGCGTCTAAATAGGAAAACTGATGGTCTCAGAACTTTGTTTGCTAGAAATTTCATTTATTATAAGGACCCATCAACCTAAGGAAGAGTTGATGTATCACACAGCAGTTAATGGCATTAAAAAAATGTTTCAAATTTTACTTACAATTTTTCAAGCAACATTTACATTTGTTCTCCCATGGATAAGTTCGCATAAAAAATAGTCCGGCTTGTTCATGTAGACCTACTGAGGTTAAACAAAGACGTCGAATCCTGTTTAACCAGGATCTAGACATATCTTTAAATAGATTCCTGTAATAAGAAAAAGAATTGTCGTGGGTAATCCCCCACCTCTAACCCAGTTGCGCAATATCGGTTAAAGAAGTCTTGGATACTTTAAATCCAATATAGTAATCTCATTTTAAGCAGTTGTATATTAAATGTTCGTTACTAGTCGATTTTTTAAAAACCAATACGTCTTTGTTTACCTTTTAAATAAAACAAATGGGCATATTCCTTAAAATGTAAGATTGTTTTGTATCTCCCAAACGTAATGACTATTCAAGTACTACTTTCATGTTTACCTAGTAATATACAAATAAAGACAGTGTTTAAGATAGATCGTGTTAATTAATATAAAAAATTACAGAAAAAAATACATAATTATTTAGTTTGAATTAGAAAATGCTTATTTCGGTAAACGTTTGACGAAATAAACAACGTAAATGTTTCGGTATAAGGCGATCTAAATTAAGCTTCTACCTACATTCCTACACATTTTTTTAAACTTCATGTCCCAGTGATTTTATATAATGCTAGATTACGTCGTGTATCGTGATCTGCGGGTCTAAGGGGCGAACACGGAGGCTAACAAGAAGGTTGCAAGAAGGTTGCGGGGTCAGAGGTCAGAAAAGAGAATAGCAATATTGTTTTTTTTGTGCAAATGGCGTTAAAAATATATTTTTTCATTATAAGTTTTCTTTTTTATTACAATTGTTTTTTTTCTGTCTGTTTGTTTGTGAGGTGTGGCAAATTTTGTAACTTAATTTTGAACCACCTTCAGAGGAGGGATTTTGTTCAAAATTTCCAGTTATATGAATCTAGCGACAATGCAAGAATATCTATTTTAATCTAATTAGAAAGTAGTTAATTCATTAAAATTTAATTTAAAAATTACTAAACTCAATCATAAAAGAGGAGATAACAACATTATATCCTAGCGGTTACTCTATCTGCTGGCCGTTGACCGTGAACTGTTTGGTACGACCATTTAGATTAGAAGAAAGAGGTAGTATTTCGTTTGTGTGGAAAATATTGTTGTCCTCAAAGTGTCACTATTTCAGCAAACTTTGAGAACTGTTAAAAATAGAAATCAGGCATCCATTAATTAAATCTCAAAGAAAATTATCCTTTTTTGCACGTAAATGTAATGCAAGATTCTTAGAGTGAAATTCTTCATGGACACTTTAAAATAAAAAAAATAAATAAATAACGCAATTAAAATCAGTGGTAAAAGAAAATTTGTCGTGGCGAGTAAAACATTGAACTGGGGCATGCCACCCCTCACAATCACAACACGTTAATGCATTAAATTCACACATATATTACCTTGGTGGCCATTGGCTTATTCAAGCTTGACCGACTTTGTGACACACCGTACAAACTAGTCCCTTTATGTGAATACGATTCGCCACGAGTTGTGTGTACACGTAAGATATTGTTCACGGTGCTAGTTGAAACAAAAATACGTAAGATATTGTTCACGGTGCTAGTTGAAACAAAAATACGTAAGATATTGTTCACGGTGCTAGTTGGAACAAAAACAAGTAAGATATTGTTCACGGTGCTAGTTGGAACAAAAACAAGTAAGATATTGTTCACGGTGCTAGTTGAAACAAAAATACGTAAGATATTGTTCACGGTGCTAGTTGAAACAAAAATACGTAAGATATTGTTCACGGTGCGAGTTGAAACACAAATACGTAAGATATTGTTCACGGTGCTAGTTGGAACAAAAACAAGTAAGATATTGTTCACGGTGCTAGTTGAAACAAAAATACTTAAGATATTTTTCACGGTGCTAGTTGAAACAAAAATACGTAAGATATTGTTCACGGTGCTAGTTGAAACAAAAACACTTAAGATATTGTTCACGGTGCTAGCTGAAACAACAATTATAATTCGCCGTTTTATCAGCATGTAGGAACACTGAGAATATGTGAAGCTGATTTATCATTGTTAAAAATCGGTAGGAGAAACCGATGCTTGTTTTTGTTAACAACAGAAATGCAAAGCACTGAAAATAAGAAAATAAAACGAATCTGCTTTCTTTAATAAACGCTTTTGTTGCTTTTGTATAAGTTCAAATGAGCGATCAACGCTTTCTTAAAGAAAGCAAGTTGGTTTATTTTCTTATTTTCAGTGCATTTAAAAGCTTGTTTTTATAAAGTTTATAATATTTGTTTTATATTCATTTCATTTCCAAAATATCTACACTCGTGTCACAGTTTAATTTTGTTTATTTAAAAAAAAGTTCCTTCATTGTGCAAGAGGTACAGCATAAAGTTAACACCGTATAAACTCTGTTCAGGTTTAACAGACACTGATGTAGGTTTACACCGTATAAACTTTGTTCAGGTTTAACAGGCGCTGATGTAGGTTTACACCGTATGACAAACCTGCTCGAACATGTACTGGGAAAAACAAAGTGCACAAGTGTAGAATTCAAATGAGAACTATTTACCTGGCAGCATTTCAATGGCTCACCTAGTTTCAATATTGTCTAGAGCTATATTGTAACACAATCACAGCAACAGCCGTACAAATGTACTGGTCGGTCGTTTCACTGAAATTAGGTTTATAGATACGCGTGGACTCAAATGTTTTAATTCACGACTGCATCTATATATTTATATAGCACTACGAGTGTATATATATATATATATATATATATATATATATATATATATATATATATATATATATATATAATCTGGTCCTAAATTTCTTACTGCCAAGGATCTGTGCTTGGATTTCCTATACACAATCATCCAATGATCGAGTACACTGTGGGACCATATTACATAAAGTAAAAACGCTATACCAACTTAAGACATTATTATTTCTAAAACGTTATAATCAATTCCAGCCATTGACTGAACCAGCGAAGCGGGGAAACAATCGATATTAACTGTTGTACACAAACAACCTTGTGACAGTTCTTGTATTGTACATCACCTGACACCTTGTGTGTCATGACTTAAAAAGGTAACTGTAATAAAGTCATGCAATAGTATTGTCAGGAGTTTTGTTTAATTTATAGAGAGAAGAAGAGAGATAACTATGTGGGGGGAGAGAAGAAGAGAGATAACTATGTGGGGGCAGAGAAGAAGAGAGATACCTATGTGGGGGAGAGAAGAAGAGAGATAACTATGTGGGGGAGAGAAGAAGAGAGATAACTATGTGGGGGGAGAGAAGAAGAGAGATAACTATGTGGGGGAGAGAAGAAGAGAGATAACTATGTGGGGGGAGAGAAGAAGAGAGATAACTATGTGGGGGCAGAGAAGAAGAGAGATAACTATGTGGGGGCAGAGAAGAAGAGAGATAACTATGTGGGGGGAGAGAACAAGAGAGATAACTATGTGGGGGAGAGAAGAAGAGAGATAACTATGTGGGGGAGAGAAGAAGAGAGATAACTATGTGGGGGAGAGAAGAAGAGAGATAACTATGTGGGGGAGAGACTAGTGGAGGGTCGAAATGCCATGGGTAGGGGCCTACACATTTTATTTTCCACCGAAACATTTCGATAGTTAAATGATTTTGCAGTAGTCTCTTGTTATTGTACAACCGAAGAAACTTTTAAAATTGAAGTTTCAAGATCAATGAATGTGATTGCTGCACTAGTGATCCTAGCGTTACAAGATCAATGAATGTCATCGTTCTTTATGAAGAATTTTACTGCGTAGATAGTTCAACACGTCAGTTGTGCATATACATGCACGACTAGTGAATCTTGGGCTAAACAAGCAATCTCTTCAGAATTTCATTCATTTAGGTAACAGATTACCATACGTGTGTGTATATATATATATATATATATATATATATATATATATATATATATATATATATATATATATATATATATATTAGAGTTTAGCAATCTTTTAATTACATTTTAATGCACTTTGATTTAGCTGTCGTCTATATTTGACCGAAGAGTTATTAAAGGTAATAACATATTGGGGAAAGAAATGGTGGTTGTTTATTGGATATAAATTATTACTAGTTTATTGAATACACCACTTGAGCTAAATACTTTAAGCTAAACACTGATATAAAACACTGGAGCTAAACACTGGAGCTAAACCCTGGAGCTAAACCCTGGAGCTAAACACTGGAATAAAACACCGGAGTTAAACACTGGATCTAAACACTGGAGCTAAAACCTGGAGCTAAACCCTTGAGCTAAACATTGGAATAAAACACAAAAACCTGACAATTCAGAATGTAGTACAAATTGATTTATTTTTTAGTCCAAAAATAGTAAATAAATATTATAATTTTCTTATTTAAAATATTTCAAAATGAAAACCTGCCAAAATGAAATGTAGCACAAAATGGAATAGGTTTGACCAGCTGAGATGTAGGTTAGTCCTGAGCAGTGAGTGTTGGTCTGATACATGGGCGACATCCGGCTCTTCTCATAAGCCTTGGACCCTGCTTTCATTCAATCGTCCATCTTTATAAGAACAAGTCTATTCAAGATATCAGAGTATAACTAATAAGTGGGCCCAACGAATACTATTAGTACACTAGAGCAAAAAACACAAAGCCCCGTGTTTTGTTGTATGTATCTTGAGCTCTGGTTGGGAAAGTTGAGCAAAGTTACCAGCTGTTGTTGTAAGAACCCACATTGTAAATCTTGTAGTTTTAAACTGTTATCATCCTGATCGGGTATGGTTCTATTACAAGGTGGTTGGTTACATTTGCTGCACTGCTTGATGTTAAATCATACTCATTTGTATACATTGCTTGAATACACTGTTATTTTGATACCTGAGAAAGATATAGGCACATTTTCTAAAATATTAAATAATTTGCATATACTTCTACATTGGTCAAAGTCTTAATTAAACGTATATCAATAACAACACAGATTTTCTTTCAGAGTCCTCCCCCCTCCTCATAGAACGTATACCGCCCCCCCCCCTCTCAAAAGAAATAAATTCATACAGGAAGTATATAATTATACCAGTGTCCGCCCCACCCCCCGTATTATTAAGTCCGCCCTCCCCTCACCCCCGAAAATTTCAAGTGCCCCCCCCCCCCCCGAAAATTAAGTCTGAAAGAAACACTGCAAAGACCATCTCCAGCATAAAAATAAAACATTTAAATGTCTTTAAGCCGTTGGACACGTAGGTTATTGCCAGGCTGGTGTGCGATATTACGGTGTATACAATCACGTGATTTTGGGAGGGTGGGGTGGGGGTTAGGACGGGAAATCCCTCAACCAATTCTTAGAAACACTGACCATCATTTATAGAATATTTCAGTCTTTCTGATCAACTTAAGGCACTTGATAGATAAAGCTCAGACACACAGACACATTCAGAAAAAGTTGCACATATTTATAAACAGACGTGCATGCCAGCTTACATATACTATCGCACGTACAAATATAAGCACACGCACACATACACACACTTGCACATGCACACACACACTCACACGTACACTTTCGCACCTAGACACATCTTAATTAGACTGATATTTCAACTGGCCTGTAAAATATGTTAAACTGTTATCTGTGTAATGATTACCACTTACATCTGCGTAATGATTACCACTTACACTTACCTCACCAACCCACTCATCCCAAACAGCCTTCAACTCCTGTAAATCATCTGTATGGTACACTCCCGTTCCTTTATTATCTACAACACAGCTGAAGACTCTAACTATAACTTCATCAGTAATGTTTCTGCCTAGTATTTTACCAACCTAATATGATTGGAGAATAGAAAAACAAGTAAATAATCAGTATATTAATATAAATCTCTCTATTATATATATATATATATATATATATATATATATATATATATATATATATATATATATATATATACACATTAAATGTTAGATGATAAGGTTTGAACGGTATGTAAAGAAATCATTCACATGTAACTTAATTTATATAATCTACTTATATGTGTATATCATTATTTATGTATGATTTATGAATCGTATATTGCACACATCTGTTGAGATCTTTGCGACTCCCCAGTCTGAAAACCACTGTCTAAGAAAGCCAGCACATTCTAACAGCGCTGGCTGCTAAGCTGATACCTCTTTGTGGGCAAGTGTTGTTGACTGTAGCAGATTGTCTGCGGTGTATACATTCAGCTTCTCCACCGGATCATTTCCTACCGCGCCGAACTTTAATTGAGTTACCTTTTGTGACATAGATGGGTACATGTCAGGATATCTTTAGTCTTTTAAAAAGTTTCTTAAAACTATCTGTTTCACTCTGTGAGTCAAATTATTACACTCATAATGAAAAAAAAACAGCGGTAATTATGCTTATAGTTCCTGTAATATATATATATATATATATATATATATATATATATATATATATATATATATATATATATATATATATATATATATATTTATTAATTTATGTAAAATGTATTGAAAGACCAGAGAACAATATTTCTTAGACGAAAGATCTCAAGGACAAATTGTATGTAAGGCAACAGATCTGCAGCGGACATTAATAAAATGTGTTGAAAATAATTAGATATTGTGCACAAGTTAAGGAATTAATACTTAATGTACGTGAGGCAAAAGATCTATGCCACTAAATTATTAATTAACGAATTAAAAAAACGAAAAGGAAAATGAGTCAATGAACATATACGTACCTGAACGATATAACTTTTAGCCAGACCCTTTGATGCGAGCAAATTTTGAAGTTCGTCTACACGGCCCTACAAGCGAATCAAAAACATACGTACCCGCTTTAAAAATGTGTAGTGTAGGTTTGTTTTATTTATTGATGTTCTTTTAGTCGTTTATGCTGATTGATTATTTAGAGTAATGTTCTAGATCTTTGACCAAATGTATGAGGTTTGTTTACAATACAATCACATTTTTAATTAGCACGAATGCACTATGTTTATTTCGTTTAGTTAAATAATTAAAGCGACAAATGATGAATTTTAAAAACAATGTTTAGCACTAGAGTAATTTATTTCATACTTTTGAAAGTTGTGTTGAATTCATTGGGTCACTCTCTTGGGCCAGTGTATACAGTTTTCTTTTAAAAATATTCTCAATAATAGTTTTCGCTTCTAGCAGTTCAGGGGACTCGCTGTACCGTATCTTAGAAATTACGTTGTCTGTTAGGTCCATGAAAGCATCCAACATTTCAGGGGGGTTTCCCATACCATTCACACATTTTGATAAAGTCTCTTTTTCATTTCTAATAAAGAAATTTAAAAAAATATATAAAAGCAAATTTAAAATTTAATGGATCGTTTTTTTGTTACTTTTATTATAAAATAATCAAATGCAATTTTTAAAATTAACTTGTTTTATCTTATCAGTTTTTTAAATAAATAAATATTTTTAATTGAAAAATTGCTATAATATGTAAAGTAAAATCTTTTACATAATCCAGTAGGAAAAAGACGTTCAATGTAAAACTTTTCTCTAATGAGTGTTGTTAAAAACGACTGATGACGTTAGTCTGTGTTATATAAATGGTAGACTAACATCTTTATACAAACCCCTGATGATGGTAAATAAACTTAAGCAATTAAAATAACACTTTAAAATTACACTTTTGTAAGCAACAATTAACAAAAAGGAGAGTAACACTACCACGAAAACTACTAACAAATATATATGAATAAAACTGCAGTAAAGCATAGATTTATATGAAATTAAGCTGTTACATGAAAATTAAAACCACACATTGACCTTTCTCTTCAGAACAAACTGCCTTGATACTTACACACACGTTATTTTAACATACCTCCCTCACCAACACCTTGTATGACTTACATACACACGCACCTATACATACATTACAAGGTCACGCAGATATACACGCGTTCGCGCATACACACACATACACACACAATTAATAACAATTTAACCTTAGAATGTTATACAGAGGTCTTATAGTGTACTCACGCTAGAAAAATAAAATCTTTTGCCATTTCTAAGGCATGAAGAACCCTGTCAAATGTTTAATGTATATATGGCTTAGTGTGAAAAGGCTGGGTATAGCATTTAGAAGGGTTGTCTGAAGTAACTTGCACTAATATACATTGTTTGGATCTAGATAAAACTAAACTTACATTGTTTGGATCTAGATAAAACTAAACTTACATTGTTTGGATCTAGATAAAACTAAACTTACATTGTTTGGGTCTAGATAAAACTAAACTTACATGGTTTGGATCTAGATAAAACTAAACTTACATTGCATCAATTGCACATTTGATTCTGTGTTGGTATGCGTTTCTGTGTAGTGTGTACAATGTGTACATCATGTTGTACAGGTTTCCTGCATCCTGTTAAACATGTACACATAGGAACCAAGTATAAAACATGTACACACAGGTATCAACTATAACAATATGTACACATAGGAATCAACTCTAAAACATGTACACACAGGTATCAACTATAACAATATGTACACATAGGAATCAACTCTAAAACATGTACACACAGGTATCAACTATAACAATATGTACACATAGGAATCAACTCTAAAACATGTACACACAGGTATCAACTATAAAACATGCAAACACAGGGCTCAACTGCCAAACATGAATAACGAGGGAGTTAACTGATAGATTTACATTTTTCGCACTGATCTGTTAAAGAAAATCTTGTGTTCTCTCCCATTAATAAATTCAGCTTACCTCACGTTTCATGCAAATTTGCATTTGACCATCAACCTCCATAGCTCTAGCAAAGTTCATGTATCTGAGACAATCAAAGTTGTTTTTAATTCCGCTGTGGTGGCAGTCCCGCGCTATTGAATCGAATACATCTACATCTATACCATTGCGTTTATTGAAAGCAATCTGCAACGTTTAATAATTCATTGTACATGGACATAGTACATGGACATAGTACATGGACATAGTACATGGACATTGTACATGGACATTGTACATGGACATTGTACATGGACAATTTTCAAACAAAATCACTTTGTTATTATTTTCTAGATTTTCGTAACATAACGTTTAGCTTACCTCGTAAAGATATGCTTTTTCTTTGCCTCTACCTTTGCACGGCCATGTCTGTGGATAAAAGTTTTTGTTTGGATTTTTCGTTAAAACGTGTGTCCCTAATATTTTTTTTCAGATTACTTTAAACGCTGCTACCCACGTGTAATGTATAAATACAGATACCCACTAAAGTGAATTAAGAACAACGTTACACGAATATCTGACCCCATCGTTTTCATAGCCGCTTCCTCTTATCTGTTCCTCTATGAAAGTAAAATCCCGTTCATCTAAGAAATGTTTTTCTTTAAGCTTGGTACCAGCCGGGCCATTCTTAAGTCTCCCAAACATCGCGACAGACATATCTTCAAGCTACAAAAGTCAAAGTCCTTGATCAAATAAATGTAGGTTTTCATTTTGTATTCTGCACAGACATATCTTCAATCTACAAAGGTGGAAAAATAATATTCCTTGATCAAGTAAATAAGTAAATGCAGGTTTTTACTTTGTGTTATGCGTTTACATCTCTTTTTAATTGATACGACGGAATTATGTTTAAAGTACATATATATATATATATATATATATATATATATATATATATATATGCCCTTTATGTGCGTGCATGCGTGTATGTGAAAAGTTTTAACAATATAAATACCTACGTTAAGATATTAAGTCCATTTATAAGCTAACCTTTGTTGATCCAGTATTGTCGAGACAAGGGAGAAGTTGTTCGTAAAAAAAGTTGGACAACATACCTTGACCTGTTATAAATAGCTCTGTCAAATATTGCTATACAAAATACAAAATCTACTCACCATTTAGAATATAAAAAGTGTTAGATAATTTAAGAATGTGTATTTTATAAGAAAATGTTATTACCCAGATCTCTACAAAGAGCAGCTATTTCAACACACAAAACATCTGTGTCAGTAATTCCAAGATAAGGCTGATTCTTTCTTAGCAGCTTTACAAACTGGCCAGCTAAATGACAAGACCTTGAAGAGAAATGGATCTCTTTAGTTCAACAATGTAATACCCTGGACATAGAGTTAGTGATATTTATCATTAATATGAACCGATGAGGTGTAAATCGTTAAAAAGTTCATTGAACTTGCCAAGTTAACTCTTGATGGCATAAGGACACTTGTTGGAAGTTTAATTAATTATTTAAGATTAATTTGGGGATTCTATATAAAAAAGAAACAAAAAGAAAAGCACGTATCGAAAGTACAAATAAATGTTCTAGCTATATTATAAACCCGGGCTGTAAAGATCTTTTACAGGATACATTTTTGATTGCCTTAGAGACATAGTTTTCTGCGTCAGTATGCTGTGATACTCATTTCATCCTTATGAGGACTACTAATGATATATATTTACAACAATCATATTTTTTTTCAGAATAAAATGTTATGTGTGTAGACTATAGCGAATATGTTTAGTTTATGATGAAAGAAATATAACTGGATTGAAAGGTAAAAGAAAGATAACTCTACTGAACGGTAAAAGAAAGATAACTCTACTGAACGGTAAAAGAACGGTTACTCTACTTAATGGTAAAAGAAAGATTACTTTACTGAACGGTAAAAGAAAGATAACTCTACTGAACAGTAAAAGAAAGATAACTCTGCTTGCTAAGAGTATGAATAGACTTCCTGCTACTAAAAATCTTGTACACCGTGAGATCAGAACAAAAAACATATTTTCTATTGGTTTAATGTGTATGTTTAAACTCAGTAGACTAAAGTGGAGCAGATTATAAAATATTCACCCCAGGGAATGTTCAAATCTGTTGTGTGTGGCACCAGGAAACACAAAGTAGACCATGCCCAGCTGCTTGATGAAGCGTAACCTCTGGAACTCAGGCGTGTCCACAATACACTGGTGGGCCCGATTGGTCTGAATGTGGCCGTGGACTGGGTCATTATACACCTTAATAAAAGTCGACTGGGTCATTATACACCTTAATAAAAGTCGACTGGGTCATTATACACCTTAATAAAAGTCGACGGTCATTATATACCTTAATAAAAGTCGACTGGGTCATCATATACCTTAATAAAAGTTGACTGGGTCATCATATACCTTAATAAAAGTTGACTGGGTCATTATATACCTTGATAAAAGTCGACTGGGTCATTATACACCTTAATAAAAGTCGACTGGGTCATTATACACCTTAATAAAAGTCGACTGGGTCATTATACACCTTAATAAAAGTCGACTAGGTCATTATACACCTTAATAAAAGTCGACTGGGTCATTATATACCTTAACAAAGAATATACTAGATAATTATAAACCTTAACAAAAATCTACTGGGTCATTATAAATCTAAAAAAAAAATCAATCTTCACTCAAGTTATAATACATGAAAAGATAACCATTATTAAGTCTTTAAACCTGAATAAAGAAATCATATCTTTAATCGAAGTTGTGATACATGAAAACTTAACGAAAAAATGTGAAAAAACAATCAACCTTTAGAGTTTCTTGTTCCTTTTGTCCCAAGTTTTCCTCACGAACCTGAACTATGTCCAAGTAATTTTTGAATCTAAAAGATCTTATAAAGTTAATATTATTAGAACAAGAACTATGTACAAGCAAACTTTGATTCTAAAAGATCTTATAAAGTTAATATTGTTAGAACAAGAACTATGTACAAGCAAACTTTGATTTTAAAAGATCTTATAAAGTTAATATTGTTAGGACAGGAACTATGTCTAAATAATCTTTGATTCAAAATATATATTAAGCAGCAGGTGATGTTAAGACAGGAAAATAAAGAAATGTTACCCCTTCAGATACAGTCCACTAATGTTTACCCGAAAAATTATTTAATTTGTAGTGAAACTAAAATTTCTCTTTAGGGGTATTAAATATTTTTTTCTTGAAGATAATGATTATAAAAAGCGTATGTTTCTTTTAAAACATAAAGAGGTATTCAGGTACTACGCTATTCTGTTTATCGTGGTCTATTTTTAGAAGTTTAGGTCTTCTTACTCAGGTGGTTCCGATTTAGCTTTAGCCTTTTCTATGGTGAACGACCGTAAATCATCGGCTGGAATAAAATCAATCAGTTGACATTATTTAACTTACATTTTTATGTTATAATATTTGACCTAGTTGAACTTACAGCTTTATGTTATAATATTTCTAAAAATAAGGATATTTTTCTATGTAGCTTACCGTTTTTAAATTGCTCTATTAACTCATCTGGTACTTTCAATGTTTTCATCTTTTCCTTGCATAGTTCTAAATTACTTTGTTGAGAGGTCATGGCAGCAGTGTTTGGCCTTTAAAAAGACTTTTAAAAAGTGTTGCTTATGTGTGTGATATTGATTGACTCAAAAATAATAAATAGTAGGCCTAGTATCATACTTAGTGATAGGTAGCTAACCTAGGCTGAAGATAAGTGCTGAAAACAATCAAAACAAGATACCAAAAGAATCAATATTTGGAATTTTTCTAATTTTCCTTTATAATTGGGTTTGAGTTAAGTGATAGGTTAATTTTTTTTACTTTTCGGATAGCTGAAAGTTGAGATGCGCCATCTTAAATCACGTGGACTTTATTTTTTATTTCTAATCTAATTTACCCGAACGCTCATCTTGAAATAAGAGGTATGAGTGGATAAGTTACAAACGAAATGGCTATTTAAAGTAAATTAAACGTTACATTAGCAATACCTCTCGAATTTATATGAAATGTCACATTAAAATATCCTGAACATTAAGAAAACAAGCCGGCCTAACTATCATATAACACAGTGCATATTTAACAATCAGGAAGTGAAATGTCACACCAGCAAGTAGTGACATGTCACAGCAACAAGTAGTGACATATCACAATAGCAAGCTTACAGAAGCTAAACCTGCCTATTTAACATGAGGTAACACTGTGTGTTGCACCTATTCTATAAAAATCGATTCTCAAGCAGGTCGATATACAATCAATCAATAACCAATCATTAGTCAATGAGCTTGGCAAGAACTTATTGGTAATACTTTTGACATATTGAAACAATAAGTCAGACGAAGGTTGAGGCAGTACATGAATGGGGCTTGAGACTGTTGTATTCGCTCGTGAAGTTTTAAAACAGTGGAAAAGTAAATTGAATTTAAAAAACACAGATCCATAGCATTAATAAACTGTACATACATTTTTCAATATAAATACATAAATATAATATTTAACAAATATGTTTCTATTTTTAGATCTTGTCGCCTCGAAGTTTATATTTCAACTAGATGAAAACACTCAAGCTTCACAATATAGTTATGTTTAGTATAATAATATCATAATTGGATTCACTTTTTTTAAACCGAACAAAACCATGCGATTATAGTTCAACTTTGATAATATTCCGTGCATAACGTTGCATGATAGTTTTAAAATCAATAAACTCAATAGCCGGCCTTACTGAGGCTTTCCCGTACATTCAGCCGTAACGTACCGTTATCGATCATTGTTGGTTAAAAAAAACACATTTGAATAATGCACAAACCTTACACGGTTGCAAGTAAACGAATCGTTAAAGTACTGTGTAGTTTATCTCTCTGTGTGACACAAAACCCTGACATACGCTACTTTATTTATATTGGTGTCATGCATAGATGACATAAAGCTTTTTAGACGATTTTTAGCTACCCTAAATTTTTTCTTTTTAAGTTACAAAAACAGTTTTCTAAAACTGTATCTAAGATATAAAAGTGTGACGTCATACTATCTGACCCCTTCCCCCCTCATCACCCATCACCGCGAAATTACGAATAAGAATGTAACGTCATTTATGGACAATTACATTGGGGAAACGCATACACTCGTACGCTTTAAGACCATAGGCTAGATAATACTAAGTTAATCTAATCCCTCGACGTGTGCATTCGTATGAGTGGCCATCACTATGACTAGGCGAATTTATTATTCACTAGTCAGCCAAATCTACTTAAATTCAGCTTTTCTAACCTCGAAAGAGAATTAATGTTTAAACACTTGATCTAAAGTTCTATACGTTTATTTGGGAACAGTTACTCTTCTAGGAGAGACAATTTCAAAATCAAACAACTGCTACCCCGTAGTTTGTTCTTGGTTGAACAAAGGCTATGGAAGCAAATCCAAAAGAAAAGCAGTCTGAAATCGTAGTCAATGGCCTCAATGGTACATAACCTGTTGACACGTATAATTAATTGTGCTGGAGGGGATCCCCTGCTACACTAAAATTAAGAACAAAAAGAAGATAGAAGATTTGCTTTTGAAAGCAAGGGTTAGTGTGCCCTAGTGTTGTGAAGTTGATTAGATTTCTGCTTGTTTTTTTTTTTTAATTTTTTTTTCGGGCAAGTGTCCATTCGGGCAAGTGTCCATTCGGGCAAGTGTGTGTCCATTCGGGCAAGTGTCCATTCGGGCAAGTGTCCATTCGGGCAAGTGTCCATTCGGGCAAGTGTCCATTCGGGCAAGTGTCCATTCGGGCAAGTGTCCATTCGGGCAAGTGTCCATTCGGGCAAGTGTCCATTCGGGCAAGTGTCCATTCGGGCAAGTGTCCATTCGGGCAAGTGTCCATTCGGGCAAGTGTCCATTCGGGCAAGTGTCCATTCGGGCAAGTGTCCATTCGGGCAAGTGTCAATTCGAGAAAACGTCTGGCCCCCATGTTAGACTACGCCGTCATTATGTCGCTTTTACTCTCCTTTATTGATCAGAATTTATTGGTGTTTGGTAGACCTAGATCTCTTAATCCACACTGAACTTTCATGACAACAATTTTTCCTTCTACCAGCCAAACCCAGGGTTCACCTCAAACCTTCATATTATTTTATTGTCTTTACTGTTTTGAAATGTCATGTGAACAAATATTGAAAAAAATAAAAATTAACCAGCGGAAGTAAAATTGTGCTTTTCATTTATTAAATAAAATGTTATTTACAATAACGTTTGCGCATTTGAAAAGTGTAAGTCTTTTATGTTAGTACACGTTTTTAGTAGCATTATGAGTTACAAAACACGTTTTTAGTAACATTATGAATTACTAAACTGAAACAGCCAATATTAACATTTTCATAAAAGTGATGTTAGATACACACACGAGTTGAATGTAATAAATTTTCATTTGATCAAAAATGTTAATAGATCTAATACATTAATTTATGAACACATTTTCACGTACGCGATATTTTAGTAAAAAAGAAGAAAGTTTTTTGCATATCAATTTACAAATTAGTTTGTAAAGCACATAATATAGACTACATTATTAGAACACGATCTAATCATACAATACATAAATCTGTATTTGTCAATGACTGAAAGTAATCATTGCTTCAAATTATATTAAAATATATATTAATACGTATTATTACAATCAGAACTTGGTAAAATTGTATTACAGCATTTTATTCAAAATGTATTGATTGTGATTTTATATAAATATTTTACACACAAAAGCTAACACAATAAACTGATTGCAAGTTTTGGCTTGGTCTCCAAATCTTCAAAAATGTTTAGACGCATTCATAGAGCGAATAATTTGCTTGGCAAGTTCTTTTGTTGATTTATTCTTAATATCTCTCGCCAGAAAATCATTTATCAAAAAATCTATGTTATCAATGCTGAAATTTTCCAGTGATTGCTAGAAAAAAAAAAGAAAAACAAAAACTTAAGAATTGCAGTTTATACCTCTGTTTACTTACAAGTATTTAAATATAAGAAATAAATCAAACTTTAAAACGAGGCACTCAACGAGCAAAAATTTATAATGTTAACACATTCTGAATCGTTGCAATAAAAGTGTTTTAAATAAAAAAAATTAGTTTTAGAAAAACCGCGAAATCTTTTGTTTATCATAAACTTCTGGATTTCATTGTTATAAAATAACCCGGATTATCTCAGTATATATATATATATATATATATATATATATATATATATATATATATATATATATATATATATATATATATATATATATATAGATGTTTATAATAAAATTTTATTTTACATTTAATTTCTTAAAACTATATTTTAAAAATAAAGTGTTGCCCAGTTAAAATTCTTTTACCTTTTGTTTAATTTGATCACTTTGCCATTTTCGATACCACGTTTCACTGGCGTCTGCGATGGTTTTTCTTTTCTCAATGTCCGACGTTTTACTATATACACGAATTTCCATTTCAACAAATGCCACGGGCGTTAAGATTCTGCTGGTCTAGAGATAGAGAATAATTTAATATGATGCTTGACTTGTGTCACGACAAGCCGAGTATAGGTTTAGACACTCAAGCTTTTATCCAGGATAGCAATCAAACTGTCACCCGCTTCCAATCTATTTTTCTCAATGCGAAATATTACTATCTATATGCATGTAGATACTTAACGTATTATAAAAAAAAACTTTTGCAGTTACTGAATTTATCAATCGACGTTTTAATAAAATAGAATACGGTAGCCATGGTGTTAAACGTTATTAAGTAGTTCAGTTTTAGTTCATGAACACACACACACATACACACACAAACCCACACAAACACAAACACACACACACACACACACACATATATATATATATATATATATATATATATATATATATATATATATATATATATATATATATATATATATATATATATATATATATCATATATGCATACAAACACAAACTTGAGTTTCTAACTGGGTAGACGATGTCTGTTAAATACTTACTTCATCTCTTGTAAAATGTCGAGCTTGATTGGGCGTTTTCTTTGAATAAACTTTCAAGTTTTGAATTGGGTTCACTTCTCTCATTCCAAAATCCATGAATACAATCTGTTGACATTATGAAAGAATGAAATGAACACACAGTAGCGTCTAATCCAAGTAGCTTACAGCCTGCTATAGCTTAAACAATCTGTTCACATCTTACATATGTAGCATCTGCCCGCGGTTTAAATATTGATGCACCTCCAGATGTATGACAGTTATTTTATATTACACTTTAAGTTTTGTTCAAATGGGAAAATTCGGTGAAAACGTAAAACTACAATATTTTCTTATCAATAGGTTTTGACTGTAGATGTAATCTGTAATATTAAGTGACAACTGGTGACATTTTTGAATGTACCTTCTGTTAATAATTTCAGTTTTTATTTCAAGATACAATTCATGTTATTAAGACATAGTTCTTATAACTCTCACTGTCTCGAAATTAATGCAAAGTACAAATCAACCCACACAAAATGGGATTAGGTCATTATTACATGATTTTTAAAAATCTAAATGTGGTGATAAGCAAAAAATCACAATAAAAGTGTTACAATCGTTAGAAGATTTACATCTTCTGCTATAAAAATTGTTTTTAAGTTTGTTTAACGTATTTAACTCAAAGTTGTGAAAATCCTACACATTACATTTATGTACAGTAAGTCTATCAAAAATAATATTGCTTACATGTTTAAGGAAGATTTAAAAAAAAACAACTAAACTTTCATGTTATTGAAAATGAACTGTTGATTTTATCAAAATTTCTGTTGAAAAATTTATAATTACTGTTTGATAGAAATAATCTAGAATTTCATTTTCAAATAGGCCTACGTTTCTTTTCATCATTCTACTTACGAAGTAATTGAGATCACTATAACACAACATTTTTTATGCTTAATATTGCACTAAAAGTTCGTAAAACAGAAAATTTAAAACGCTGTAACCTTCGCCACTAAATCTTTTCGATCCAAAGGTGAATCTTTCTTCTTATACTGTAACACAAACGTCTCAATGCTCTCTTCCAAATTTGTTTTCTCCTTTAAGTAAATATTAAATGACAAACATGAAAACAACTTTATATAATTTTTAAGCAGCCTGTTTTATGAATTAATTATTAAACTAATTATGGACATTTTATTAAACGTTGAAGCGATTTGTACCGATATTTATCAAATTAGTTATTACAAGTAGCTCGTTAAGGACCATAACCCCCCCCCCCCCCCTTCCTTCCCCCCCCCCCCCTACGTTTAAAATCGTTGGCTCTGCTTGTAAACATTTAGAGTGAACACAGCTCACTAAAACCATGTAGGGGTGGGGAGGTAGGGAGAGCGTTTGCAGCTTGTTTTCTAACGGCTCGAAGAGGAGAATTATATATATAGATTATCATAATGGTACACATGATCGTTTAATGTTTTAATAATCATGAAACAGCACTCATCTTACATTTCTTCTCATGATGTGAGTCGTTTGTTTTTCCCATACACATGTGTAGAGGTCCCGTTTAAAAATTCTATGTATTATTTCTCTTGCTTTATTGAGCTCTGAATCGCTTGCTGTGTCTGAATCATGGTCATAAAGAATCTTAAATAAAACGTTGTCGGTCAGCTGATGGTAGGCCTCAATGTCCGTTATACAGCTGGATATCGAATGTTCTTTCCTGCAAACATTCTCAAATTTCAGTGAAAAATTTGTCGATAATATATATATATATATATATATATATATATATATATATATATATATATATATATATATATATATATATATATATATATATATGTGTGTGTGTGTGTGTGCGTGCGTGTGTGTGTGTTAGTGTGTGTGTTAGTGTGTGTGTGTGTGTGTGTTTGTATGTTATTTTCGATATCTCTAACTGAAGTTACCCGTTAGTCCCTATAAACTTCACGTGTTTGTCTGCAAGTATCAAGGCGTCAGTTAACCTGTGGAAATATTTTTTATAGACTTAATTGTCTATTAAATGAAAAAGATCGTTGCTATTTACTCACACTAGACGTCTAAAAAAACTACTAAAATTAAGAAAAAGAAAAAACAAACTGGGTGTAAGATAAACCATTTTAAACATTTATGGAAGATTTGAGCCTGTTAACTGTTAACCATTCTTAGATAAATGATACTTGGTAAGAACCTAGTTGATATATTAATTTCCTCGTAAATCCGAATGAGATTTATGGCTTAAAGTTTGTATTAGTAAAGCTACATCTATGTATATTTTGTTAATAAAACTGAATATATGTGCATAATACACGATGCTGCTTGGAATTGGAAAAACGTTTAATCGCATACATGTGTTAGCCACGTCATAAAATTAAAGTTTACAAGATCTCTAACGACCCTTTTTGATGAAAGAATATCAGTAAGCTACTTAAGGAAATCAATGTTTACATGATCTCTAGACCACAATTCACTTTCTGTTGGTAAGCAAATTTGTGCAGTGTGTATCTGGTGTGGAACATGTTGTAGAGATTAGATATTTCCTGAAAAAAATATAAAACATTAGTTTATAGTTTCCTAGAAAAAACCAAACACGATAAAGTGATTTGTTTTTTAACACTCGTACGATAAGATACTACCAATAAGAGTCTAATAGTATGGACAAAATTAGTTTCTAGTAAACAACCATTAAGTATTCTAGATAGACAAAAAATGAAAAATAAGGTTAAAATGTGTGATATTTTGTAGTAAAGATGAACATAACTTAGCTGACTTAAAGAAAATTTCTATGCATATGTCTAAAACAAACCTTATCCCTAACACAGATCTGCATCTCTCCGTTGTAATCGATGACTTTAGCAAACATCATGAACCTTTTGTAGTCAAAGTTGATGTTAAATCCAAGATGGTGGCAGTCTCGGGCTAAAGAATCCCACTTGTTGACGTCAATACAGTTACGTTTATTGCAGACAATCTGGTATCAAGTAAGAAAATAATAGACGCTGCTGATGTTTGTTGTTTGGTATGTTCATCTTCCATTACACTATTTGTTTTAAAATTTAAATAACATAAAAAAGAAATAATTGTGAAATAAAATCCTAACGTACCTCGTACAAAAACGATTTATCTTCTTTTCTTCCACGGTATGGCCAACCCTATAAAATATCTTCAAAAATTAGTTTTCTGGTTTCAACTACTTTAACCTATAAATCATGTAGAAAAAGTAGTGCTTTAAAAATCAAGAGTAGAAATGTTTTCGTTACAAATAGACGTTGTAATATACAACAAACATCATTGAATAAATTATTTATATTATTGTGTGGAGGGGGTTAAAAATTTTTACCTGACCTTGCTGATGTAGCTTATGATGTCCTCATCTGCTCCCCCATCTATTGCTTGCTACACCTCCTATATCCAATATCTACGACACCATTACACAGCTTAAACCATTTAAATAAAAAACCTACCTGTGATCCAACTATTTCCATTGGTCCTCCGATCATCTCTTTAATAAAGATTTTGTCAGTTTCATCAATGCCGTATTTGCTTAGATCAGCAAGTACATATATTTCATCTAACAGCTGAACCGCAACTTTTTCGTGCTATATTACATGAAAAGAAATGGATAAAAATAAACTCATTGTGTAAAATTTTAAAAAAGATTTATGAATAGAAAAATATAAAGAAATATTATCACTAAATTGATATATATATAGAATCTTTTACATGATAATTTATAACGCAGTTTGTGATTTAATATTTAATTTTTTATATTCGAATGGTATAAGCCAATTTACAATCTTAATTAAAAATAAACGTTATTTCAATCTATTTAAATTTAATTAAAGTACTAATCTTCATCTGTTTAACGTGGCACAACTAGTAAAAAAAACCAACTTACATTTAAATCAGTATTTATGTTAATTGTGGGCAGAAACACTTTGTCAAACACATGGGAGAACGGACCATGGCCTAGACAATATTCGTGAAAATAGGATTGCTAATACCAATACAAGTAGCCTACATTCTTTAATAAATTATTAAAAGAAATTATATACGCAATTAGCTTATAATATAAACACGTCCTTAATGAATTATTCAAAATAGCTGTGATATAGTTATGTTCAAATACAAAATGTTTAATGATCTTATCTAATCTAGGAGGTGCAATAGAAATTCTATCAAATGTTTTGTACAAGACTTTTGTTTCAGATTGTCTCGACACATGATTAATTCCTTAAAACAGAATTTTCAGCCGACAAATGATGGTATAGCTATGTTAAACCCAGTCATAATCATATATACAAATACATACACACACACTTATATATATATATATATATATATATATATATATATATATATATATATATATATATATATATATATATTTATATGTATAATATATATATATATATATATATATATATATATATATATATATATATATATATATATATATATATATGTATATATATATAGATATATAGATATATATATATGATTATGAATGGGTTTAACATAGCTACACCATGTGTTCCTATCTAATGTGTGTTCATGAAGTATAGCTCTTACCTATGTCATGACAAAGTCCGGCAATCTCTACACACAAAATATCTTTGTCTGTAATGTTTAGCTCTGGCTGATTGTTTTGTAATTGCCTTGCAAATTTACCAGCCAAGTAATAGACACTGAAAGAATAAATACGTTTTGCTGAGTTTCTCACCAATGAAGTATAATAAATATAAGTGCTAAGAATTCTATTGATGTTTTAAAAACAAAAGGAGCATGATAACTCTAGTCTGCTCACTTAATCTAAGTGATTAATTTTATCTGCTAAAAACTGAACTACCCCAGGGAATGTTCGAATCTGTTATGTGCCGCTCCTGGGTAGATGTAGTAGACCATGCCCAGCTGTTTGATGAACCTGAGACGCTGGAAGATGGGCGTGTCTATGATGGCCTGGCATGCTGGGTTTACCTCAATATGGCCGTGGATTGGGTCGTTGTAGACCTAGAAATAGCAGCGAATCTTTAGCATTACTGGAAAATGGAAACAAAATTCATTTAAATCAAGGATTAAATATATATATATATATATATATATATATATATATATATATATATTCTGAAAATGTTTTGTCATTGATTGCAAACAATTCTCGTTTTCTCAATTAAATATTCCATTATGAATTATAAATTATATGCTATACTAAAAGACAGTGAAGATATTTAAGAGCTAAGCTATTTACTTTCATAACTTTTGATTTCAAACTTGTGCTTGTTAGTTCTTCGAAAATCTCTTGTAAGCTCAAGCACTCTTGAAACCTTTAGACATATTTTTATTCAATTTTTTATTAAAAAGAAAACAAGTTTAGAGATAATTTTAAAAATCTATCTGCAATGTATTAAGAGTGCATTAAACTTGTTAGGACTGCTTATTTTTTTTACAAGCATAATGTAAGTGTACTTTATTTAAAACACATACGATATTCCCTTTGCCATTAGTATTTCCGCTGATAAACGAGGAATGTGCTTGCCTTCAACTTTCTCTTCTAAATAAATGGTTTAAAAATAATTATGTTTCGTCAGACAAAAATTCATTATAAATGTAAAACAATACTTTCATAAATAGACTTAAAGTACATTTAAAATGAGTTATACCTGTAAGTATCTCAACAACCTTTTCTGGTATCCCATTTTGATGTAAGAACGTCGCCAGCTGCCCAACACCCCAACCCATGAAGTCTTTGGTTTCTTCTGGAGAAATTTCCATTGGCTTCCTAAAATCTTGAGGCGGGTTCACTGTGGTATCTTGTGGCGGGTTCACTGACTTACTGGTATCTTGTGGCGGGTTCACTGACTTACTGGTATCTTGTGGCGGGTTCACTGACTTACTGGTATCTTGAGGCGGGTTCACTGTGGTATCTTGTGGCGGGTTCACTGACTTACTGGTATCTTGTGGCGGGTTCACTGACTTACTGGTATCTTGAGGCGGGTTCACTGACTTACTGGTATCTTGAGGCGGGTTCACTGACTTACTGGTATCTTGAGGCGGGTTCACTGACTTACTGGTATCTTGAGGCGGGTTCACTGACTTACTGGTATCTTGTGGCGGGTTCACTGACTTACTGGTATCTTGTGGCGGGTTCACTGACTTACTGGTATCTTGTGGCGGGTTCACTGATTTACTGGTGTCTTGTGGCGGGTTCACTGACTTACTGGTATCTTGTGGCGGGTTCACTGACTTACTGGTATCTTGTGGCGGGTTCACTGATTTACTGGTATCTTGTGTCGGGTTCACAGACTTACTGGTATCTTGTGGCGGGTTCACTGACTTACTGGTATCTTGTGGCGGGTTCACTGACTTACTGGTATCTTGAGGCGGGTTCACTGACTTACTGGTACATTGAGACGTTGGCAAGGTTTGTGTTTCCTTTTTCTAAATAAAATTATTTTTAATTTATAAGTGTAATTAATGTATATCATCCCACGGTATGTTTTTTTGTTATAAATATTACAATCAATTAAATAATAACAAAAATAGCACAAATAAAATTCATGTAATTTATAACATTATCGTTTAGAGAAAACGGAGTCAACGGCTTGGAGAAAATCCCGTCTAACAATATGATTAAGAACGAAGAAGAAGAAGCTGCTAACGTACCATCACAGGTTCTTTAACATTTGTTTTCAAGTTCTCTAAAGCATTGATGAAATCTTGAATTAATGTTCTGTTTGATTAGACATGTATTGAAAAATTAACGTTGTTTTCATATGCGTATAACAAACAAGTATAAAAACACCTATTAGTTGACGTGCTATTTAGATTCAAATACTAACCGTAGTTTTCCATCAATTGCGTCTGCGATGTCCGTTTCCTCCGATAAAATTTGTCCTTAAAGTACAACAAAATATACTCAACTAAAATATTGTAGTTTGCTAAAAATAACTATATTAAGATATTTAGTTTAGATATTAAATTTTACTTAAATGTTAAATAAATAATAATTCTATCTGATACAAACTCTCAAACTGAGAAGAGTGCGAGTCACTGCTTGGAATTTTAACAAAATGCTGATAAATCATTCAATTCATACGCGTTTTATTTAATGTTTTAAAAAGTAAAACTCAAGTATCCAACACAACAAATATCTTTATATCTCTGATCGTTTTACAAAGTTTAGATTTTCTTTTAGAACAATTAACATATAAATAGAATAACACTTTACATACTCAAAAACGTTTGAATATCTGAAATTTGATTGTGTGTGTCATGTTGTTTGATTACATGCTTGGATGAAATTATAATTTTTTTTCCATTTCCATTCAGAATATTTTTCTTGATTTCAGACATCTGCAACGATAAGGGAAAAACACTGACTAATTTACTACATTACATAAAAGTGCATTTGCATTTTCCTGGAAAATTTCAATTTAAAAATATCTCTGCAATTATTGTTGCCATACAAGATTTAATGGCGTTAGAAAAAAAAAAACGTAATTATTAGAAGTGTATTTATTTGTTTTAAAAAATATATATTATTTTACTTGAATGTACTTTTAGGTAACAGTGGTGCAATAAAAAATATTCCCTGTTTTTCTTAAATGTAAACAAGTATCAATTTTATTTAAACGATCTTTATATTAAAATGTATTATTATTTTAACTGGTCGAAGTTTATTATCATTTGAATAATGTTTTACTTTCAGTATAGTGCTTTCAATCAATAAACTGAATCCGAATATAAAAAAACAACTGAAATCTAAATAAGTGTTTTGTTACCTTATAAGAATAAATTATGTTTTTCTTAGCTCAGCGTTCTTTTGAAAGACGATATTCAGTTTGTTATGCTTTGTTCCAGTGTGTAGTAGCCTAGTTCAACTGTGTAGCCTATAAATAGCTTGACATAGCTTTAAGCCTAAGCACTAAAACTATGCCCTATTTATTTTATTGATTCGCATCGATGAATGCAGCTATTTCTTTAAGCTAAATGTAAGGCTAACTCTCTGTATATGAAACCATTTTCCTAGAAAAGTTTGTTCTGGCAATAGCGTTTACCAGTCTGTGTTTCAACTGCACCACTGTTTTTACAGTTAAAAAATAAAAATATATAAACCACGCCGATTTCAGCCTTAGTTGTAAGTTTTGCGTTTTTATCTCAAATTGAATACCCCTTTTAGCAATTTTACACAAAAATGTTTTTCACTTTTTGTATTCACAACATATTAGGAGAGTATTGTCATATTATCTTATATATATATATATATATATATATATATATATATATATATATATATATATATATATATATATATAATTATATTGCTACCAATCAAATTTATTCGAATTGCAACTGTGGGATTTTATAATTCTTAAATTTATTAATAAACCTAATTTAACTCTCAATATTAAATGATATAACTTTTTTGAACAATTTTCTACCATATTGTTTTTAATAAAAAATCACACTTTAAATGTTTATTAAATGTGTTAATAAAAAAAAACAATAATACTTTTTGTTATTTCTAATTAAAAAAAAACTTTTAACTAAGCTTGGTCAGATACATATGTCTACCGATAAAACCGCATTTGTAACTCATCCCATAGAAAATAGTTCTGGGTTTAAAATGCAAACAAATGAATTAACAGATCAAAAGTTGGAATCACAGGTATGTATTTTCCAAATTGAAAGATTTAATATTTGTAAGTTTAAACATGATCCGAACCGAACAAAGAATATTTACTTGCAGTTTAGAGGATGGTTGTATTTCTAGCATATAAGGCTGCCCATTGTAAGAATAATTAGATTATATTAGATTATAATTATATAATTACATAATTATATTATTTTAGATTCAACAAGATTCTGTAATATATATATATATATATATATATATATATATATATATATATATATATATATATATATATATATATATATATATATATATATATGTAACTAGTGTAGTTACTAAAGACGATTGATAAGAACGCAATACAGTCTGTCAACTAAGACACGATCAAGGCCAAACTGGGCTGATGCAACGGATGCAGGTGGTGTGGACTGATAACGAATACAAAGCCACTGCGTAGTTGGGAAGCGATACGACAGAAGTGCGGAGTTGATAGTTATGATGCAACGGATAGAAACGATTACGAATACGAGGGATATAATAAGACTGCAGGACAGAAGAGCAGAACAGAAGTTGAAGACTGAACTGTGGAGACGTGTTGTGATTTGTGAGAATAGGTTTGGAAGCCCGAACCATGGACTCGTGTATTCTGATGTGTGAGAACTAGTGAGGACAGTGGGGGTCAGTTGGTTCATTGTATTCTATGTGGAACATTGATGCATTGCTATGTGGAGCATTTCTATTGATTCATTTAATAAAGAGATAAATGTAAACCTGCATTTCCGAGTATCTGTATTGTGGTTGATGTTGTGTGCTGGTCAAAGATAGCACAAGTAAATAGACTCGGTAACATTTGGCACTGCGAGTAAATACACTCGTTAAGGTAACATATATATATACGTTTAGACATAACTATATTTGTGTTTGTTTGATGCTTTAACTTTATACCCATTAGGCGAAGACCTCCACCATGGACAAGATGACCAATCAAACACTTTTGACATACTTGGATGAAAACAAAGTTCCAGAAGCAGTAATTACAGTTGTTAGAGGTTGTTTTATAGTTCGTGTTTTGTAAACATGTTTTACCAAATACAATTTATCTAATCAACCTATATCGGTGTGTGTTATATATAACTAATTTATTGCAGAAGAAGCTTTGGAGGGAAGACATCTGAAAAATTTAACCATAGATTTACTAATGAGCAAAGACATACCGTAAGGTTTACTATATTTAACGTTTACTCCCTTTTTACTTTAATTAATATTTACATTTATTTATGCTACTAGGCCAACTAGACTATAAGCAAACTTATTTTAATAAGCGAAAAAATATGCATTTACATAATAATGTGATCCAAATGATGGTTAATTTTGTTCTTATCATGCTACAAGGTTTGCCGATTGCTTACAACTAGTTCAACTTTACGAAAAAAACCTTAAGTCAGGAGCATCTTCTCTAAGAAAAAAGGTTGGGCATGTTTTTACATAAAAAATCATGGTTATTGTGCAATTTATTATAAATGATAAAAATTTTGCAGTATAAATAAAGTGTTGTAGTTTTGTGTTCGGTATACAATTATCTTGTAATTAGGTTATGCACAGTTGTTTTAGGTATACAATCATTCTGCATCAAACATTTGTACAATGATTCTGTATTGAAACGTTATATTGCTGTGTTAGAAATACAATGATCATGTAATTACGTCGTGCAATGAGTCTATTTTAAATGTTTGTTCAATTGTGTTAAGTATACAATGATCCTGTGATGAAGTATTCTACAATTGTGTTAGGTATACAATGATCCTGTAATGAAGTATTCTACAATTGTGTTAGGTATACACTGATCCTGTAATGAAGTATTCTACACTTGTGCTAGGTATACAATGATCCTGTAATGAAGTATTCTACACTTGTGCTAGGTATACAATGATCCTGTAATGAAGTATTCTACAATTGTGTTAGGTATACAATGATCGTGTAATGAAGTATTCTACATTTGTGTTAGGTATACAATGATCCTGTAATGAAGTATTCTACATTTGTGTTAGGTATACACTGATCCTGTAATGAAGTATTCTACACTTGTGCTAGGTATACAATGATCCTGTAATGAAGTATTCTACAATTGTGTTAGGTATACAATGATCGTGTAATGAAGTATTCTACAATTGTGCGAGGTATACAATGATCGTGTAATGAAGTATTCTACAATTGTGCTAGGTATACAATGATCCGATCCACGGTCAAATCGAAGTGAACCCAGTGTGTCAACGTATCATCGATACGCCCATGTTCCAGAGACTGAGATTTATCAAACAGTTGGGCATGGTCTACTATGTTTTTCCAGGTGCAGCTCACAATAGATTTGAACATTCTTTGGGGTAAAATAATGTTTATCTTTTTTAATGTACATATTGTATAAAACCCAAGATGAATTTTTTAATACTTATTTATAACTTTCTTAAAATGGTAAGAGCTTGTATTTATGAACTTTTTATTTCACGTTCATAAACTTAAAACTATAAACTTTTTAATTATAAATTTTTAACAATAACAGTTTGCTGAACGTTATCATAATTACCATCGTTTTATTTAAATTTTCTTCCAGTGTTTATCATCTAGCAGGTCAGTTTGTGAGAACTTTGAGACAAAATCAACCAGAATTAAACATTACAGACACGGATGTATTGTGTGTAGAGATTGCAGCTCTTTGTCATGACCTCGGTAAGCGTGTAAAAAATATGTGTTAACTTAAATATTTGATAACGTACTTGTTCAATGTTTTTCGGGAATGACTTTTTAATTTTAGATACATTTCAGCACGTACATTGTACCGGAAATTAATTTTTAGCAATTAAGTTATTTGATTAAATCACGTATATGCGCACGTATTAAATCTCTATGAGATTTTATCTGAGTATGTTTATACGATTACACAATTGTGTGTTTTGATTCGCCATATTTTCTATAAAAATGAAAAAATTATACTGGATGAAATTATGAACACACAAGCTTTTATTATACCTTAGGTCATGGACCATTTTCTCATTTCTTTGATAACAAGTTCCTCAGAGAAATTGATCCATCGAATAAAAACAAGGTAAATATTGATTAAGTTTTCTTTTTATTAAAGTATTTTCGGGCTAAGCTTTTTTTTACGGGAGTACATGAACTCACGTCTACTTGTGGGTGTTAAGTTGTCCGCGGTTTTCACAGCACTACACGTAATTTCCAAAAAGTTTAGTGAGACGGTTTATTACGAATTTAAACTGAATGTGATCATATGTGTTTATTGACTATAATTTGTTTATTCACTATAATTTGTTTATTCACTATAATTTGTTTATTGACTATAATTTGTTTATTGACTATAATTTGTTTATTCACTATAATTTGTTTATTGACTATAATTTATTTATTCACTATAATTTGTTTATTCACTATAATTTGTTTATTCACTATAATTTGTTTATTCGATGTTTTCAAATGTTGAACTCAGCACGACATGGCAGCAGCTAAAATGATTGACAAGCTGAAGGAAATTGGAATACTAAATCTGGACAAAGACGATATAACATTTATTAAAGAGATGATTGGACCTCTTGAAATTACAGGATGTCAGGTAGGTCGATGATATTTAGCTTTTTGTTACAATTCATTATAACAATAATTTTTATAATAGTTTTATATAAACAGTCAATAAAACATAAGTTTCAGTAAACAATCTGAACTCAGTTTTTTAAATTTATTCTTAAGGCATGGCCTTATGTAGGTAGAGGAGAGGAAAAGGCGTTCTTGTACGAGGTAAATATAGATGCACTTGATGTTTAAAAATACTTTTGTCAAACATTGAGCTCAATTTGTTCTACACACTTTAATATCTAGTTAGGCTTTAAACGTTTTACTGTCGAGCTAGTAAATTAAATGCAATTGTTGTGTTGATATCAACAAACTAAAGATTGTAAATTAGATGCAAATTTTGTGTTGATACCAACAAACTAAAGATTGTAAATTAGATGCAAATGTTGTATTGATATAAACAAACTAAAGATCGTGTGCAACAAAAGGAACGGTATCGACGCCAACATCTGGGATTATTTAGCCAGAGACTGCCACCATCTTGGTTTTTACAACAACTTTGACTACAGCCGTTTTATGAAGTTTGCTCGAGTTATCGAGGAAGACGGAGAACTGCAGATCTGCATTCGGGACAAGGTACACAAAATTTAATTAACTAATTATAAATGGGACAAAATATTTTACTTTAGAGAATTTAAATTAATTCACAATATCAGAAAACAACGAACAATACTGATTTGGTACACATTTCAGGGGCTGAATGTACATTTAATTCGACCAATTTGTAAGAACAATCTTATTTCGTAGTTTTTAATGCCAACAAAATATCTGAAATGGATAATTGCACTTATAAATTTGTCTTGAATCTGTTCGAAAAAATTAAAATTGGTATTCGAAAAAAGGTGTTATTGTTTTTAAATATACACAATTTAAAATATTTAAAACGGTATAGTTTAAAGATTAATGGCAGGTTTAAATTTATTTCATGTAATGTTGTTAACTTAAGAACAGATTGCAAAAACTGATACATTGCATTAAGCAGTTCAGCCACTGTAACTTAATTTGCGCTTTTGTCTTTTAGAACCATATGTTGGTTGCATACATTTCTAATTCTTAAAAAAAAACGCTTTTTCTGAAAGAATCAAATTATTTTTAATAAACGTATCACTGTATAAGTTTAAATAAAATACACGTCAGAAATGAAATATTAATTTTAATCTGATTGGCAAATGTTAAAACCTCTCACAGGAAATCATCAACTTGTACAACATGTTTTACACCCGATACACGTTGCACAAATTTGCATACCAGCATAAGGTCAACTGTGGCATTGAGATGATGTAATAATGATTTATCTATTTATTTGTTAATATTTAAACGTGTAGACCTAATTACATATAGTTTATTTGAATAATTCTGTATTGTATTATTTATTTTTAAATTATCTATAACACAACAAAACAGGCACATTTTATCATTTTCATAAAGCTGGTGCCTATCTCTCAAGTGTAAAAAGGCGCTTTGATTCCATTTATTAAAAAATTGTTCTCTAAATGTAACAGGGTTAAAGAAGCCCTTGTCTTGGCTAACGATTCTGTCTTTATAAAAGCAAATGGGTAAGTTGTCAGTAAAGTTATGAGTAAAACTTTTAATACACTTCATTGTTTTAAATGTTTTTGGAGTTTACATGGATAATAACGTAAGAGCATTTAGATAAAATTAAAACATTGTAAAAAATTACTTTATGCGCACCTTAATATTAAAACAATGCATTTCACTCAGGACTGCTTATAAAATATCGGAGTGTATCACTGACACGGACGCATACATTGAGCTAAACGACAACATTCTATTCAAAATTTTATACCAAAAAGAAGATGACAACGATAATTTGAAAAAAGCGAAAGAGATTATTAACAGGATCTTTGGGAGGGACTTATACACGTGTGTGTGGGAAAGTAAACCAATCCAACCAGATCTATGGAAGGTAGGTCTTATAGAAAGTATTAGCATGGTTAACAGGTGTGGGAAAGTTAAACATTCCAATCAGATCTATGGAAGGTAGGTCTTATAGAAAGTAGTAGCATGGTTAACAGGTGTGGGGAAGTTAAACATTCCAATCAGATCTATGGAAGGTAGGTCTTATAGAAAGTAGGAGCATGGTTAACAGGTGTGGGGAAGTTAAACATTCCAATCAGATCTATGGAAGGTAGGTCTTATAGAAAGTAGTAGCATGGTTAACAGCATGCAGATATGGAGTAATTCAGAGATCTAACTATGAGAAATGTAATAATATAAACACGTATTTTATTTCAAATCAAAGCCTAACATTTTCGTAACTTATACAGAAAGTCAGAATCAAAAAGAAACTTTATACTTTACTGAAGCCTTTTTAAAAAAAAATAATTTTGTCAACACTGATTGTTTAAAAAAACACCCCACAAAATTTTAATTATTTAAATCAAAATACAATCAATGACAAGTTTTAAGTATCGCAGCGAAACTAACTAATGTAAATGTACTGCACAAGATTTTTAAAGAAAACATGAGCGAGCTGAGCAAGAAGGGCATTAGATTGGAAGAAAATATGTGTCAGCAGTTCGAGATTTATGGAGTAAAAATAGAGGATTTAAGAATTCAGGTAAGCTAATTTTGTATTAAAATTAAATTTCATTTGTGATAATTATATTTAAAGATTGAGCCTCACTTGGTCGTGTGACACTCAGTGCAGGAACTCAGGGTGACACCACATGAAATATGTATATGTATAGGCCTATATATACATACATATATATATATATATATATATATATATATATATATATATATATATATATATATATATATATATTATATATGTTTATTGAGTGAACGAGTGAAGGGGAATGAATGGGCGTGAATGTTGTTGTACCTGTTACCCTATTCCGTTCGTCTCTGTTCAGTTTTCGTGCTGTGAGTTGTAATAGTCCGATTGGTACCACTTTATGAAAGGGTATTGTATGAAAACGTTTGTGATTGCCTCAGTTTCGTCCAGATCTGCAATTTAGTATAGGTTAGGTCTATACTAGTTTTTAGCCACTGTAGCATAGTTTTACTAGCTTGTGTATTTTGTGTTTAGAATAGACTGCGTTAGGTGTAGATAGTGTAGATTTTATTAAATTCTTTTCGTTTCAACGAGCCTTTGTTTCATTCAGTCTTGTTTTGTAACCCGTTTGTGGTTGTTTGTCTTATCTGTTGCGCCACGCATCGGATCACCCGAAAGGCGTGACCGTGTGTTCACAACAGTATGAGTTTGTGTATGACAGCGTATTTCTGTGTGTTTTTTTAAATATTGAGCTAACTTTGTTGCGGGGTTTATAAATTCTTCAACTTTTTAGAAGGAAACCTATAATGTACATCCACATTTTATAACGAACATTAATCTGATAATATTAGGCTAGATTAACTGCTCTAATAGTAATTAATTCTTATTAAAATTATACTTCTTAATATAACTGTTAATGTAATTTATTTAAGTATAATACTGTGATATAAATTTGTGTGTTCTATTTCAAAACAGATTTTATCTCTAGAGTTTGGGATGAAAGAAGTAAATCCTGTAGAAAAACTGAAAGTTTATTCAAAGAAAACATCAAATAAAGCAGAATTTCTCTACAAAAGAGATGTAAGTTTTAAATATTCGCAGGAGAAAAGTGGAAAAATCTAACTGACTAATTAAATTTAGATGAATATTGGAAAAAGTTCTCTTGCTTACTTGTTATACAGCCCATTAAGTGTTTAATCGTAGGCTATAATCTTGTTTAAACTTTAGTCTCTAGAGTAGTATTGTACTTGTACTTTTGTTAACAATGTAGTATTGTACTTGTACTTTTGTTAACAGAGTAGTATTGTACTTGTACTTTTGTTAACAATGTAGTATTGTACTTGTACTTTTGTTAACAGAGTAGTATTGTACTTGTACTTTTGTTAACAGAGTAGTACTGTACTTGTACTTTTGTTAACATAGTAGTATTGTACTTGTACTTTTGTTAACAGAGTAGTATCGTACTTGGCCCAGAAAAGTTCAATGAGAATCAAGTGAGAGTGTACAGCGTCTCAAATGAAGACAGCAAAAAAGAGAACATAAAGCTAACATCAGAGAAATGGTTTCAGTCCATGATAAAACCAGTGAATCCTACAGTAAACAAGGAGAAACATGACGGGAAAAAGTAAAATTCACAACCATATATGAATAGATGTGTCTTTTATTGAAGTCTAAATTTGTAACTAGAATCTACGTTTAGTTGCGGAAGAAATTATTCCGAATCCTTTTCTACTGTGTGCAGTCTAGTTTGACAGTTGGGGAGTCCATTTTGATCGTCTTCCTACAGTCCAACCCATCTTCGCCTTTCTCGGCGACACTTTAAGTGTCAAATCTGTCAATTCCCTGATATTGTCTTGTAGTGATATATATATATATATATATATATATATATATATATATATATATATATATATATATATATAAGCGGGTTTATTAGTATGTTGTCATTTATTTTGTTGCGTGCGAATCTGTGAAGTGAAGTGAACGTTCAACTGGACAGCGGCCACGGAGTTTAACTTCTGGCCGAGCAGTCTATAAGGCCGAGTGACCGCTAGGGTCGTCCCTTTGTACCCCATAGCCAGAATGTAGAGCTAATTTCAGCTGAGCGGTTTCGCAGTGGTCGCTTTGCGTACCTAGTGCGTGGAGGTATTTTTTTTACATTATTTTATTGTTATATTTGGGATATGAAAGCGGCTGCCAATATGTTTCTTGTTTCCTTACTTTTTCGTATTAAACTAGATAGTAGGCATTGGCAGGTCTGGTACATACGTGGTTTGTTTTTTATTTCTGTATTTTCTGAATCCGTGCCGGTGTTGTAATTTTAGGCCACGTGGTTTAGTAAAGTTTAGTTGGATACGTTTAGGTGAGATTTCTAAACTGATGTGTTTTAATATTATTTTACTTGATTATTTTTATGCTGTATTGTTATTGTAGAATCCCCACGATAACTAAGTTTGGTTGCGTTGGCTAGTTAGTTTCTTATAGCTTTAGGATAGTGTTAATTTATTTGCCTCGAGTTTTACTTAATTGCTTTAAAATTAATATGTGTAAATTCTTTCAATGTCAGTATGTTTGTTTACACCTGCTTTGTGTCAGCCTTTATTGGAGCCTTAACTGAGTGTGTGTTTGCTTTATGCTTGCCAAGCTTTGTTAGTGTATGTTGATGTTGTAGGTCAATGGCTTTTTCTAGTCATCTTTAGCAGAAGTGATTAGTTTTTAAACATGAGTATATATTTATGTATATATTTTACGTGTATTTTATTTATGTTTTATTTTTATTTTCTCTTTTTTTTGCCTTTCTATTCAGGTTGGATTTACAACTTGGCTGGGTGTTTGGTTATGTTTGGTTAGATGTTTGTTTTGTTTTGTTTGTTTTGTTTTGTTTGTGTAGTATGTTCTATTAGTTTGATTTTTGGTAAGTAGTTCGGAAAGGTAGTAGTGGCACAAGGAGGGGAATTCTGAGGGAATGTCGAGGACAGTTTCTTCCAGATATCTCTCAGGAGAATTTTTAGTCCCCCCCCCCCAAATTTTAAATGTGTTTAGTTTGTGTGTTGAGTAGGGATTGTTCAAACACCCAGTCAGGTTGGCAGAGAGCTGTGTGTTTATTTTGTGTGTTTAGAGATGTGTCTCGGTGAGTGTACAGTGTGTTAGGCTGCACAGGATCTGGTGTGTTAGTGTGTGAGGCACAGCGATGACTCATTGAGAAGGATGGCAGTCGACCTACAAACGAAAGTTCGATCCATAGATATTTAATAGTGTCTGTGACTTATCATTCCTGTACTTGAAACAAATGGAGGAGTGGACATAGATGCCAGTTTCTTTGTGTACGGATAGGTCTCTGCATATAAGGTTCTAATCAACGGCGAACATCTCATCGTCATTCATAAAAGATTGTAATCGAGTTTCAGAGCAACCAAATATATGGAAAGGATTGTTAGAATTGTTTAAAACTTTTAGAACTTCATGGTGTTTATTAAGTACATGAAACATGTTTGAATGGCCTAATTTGAGCCCATTTTGTTATGCTAGGATGATGAGAATAGACAATGCATGAAGATAATGAAAAATCTATTTGTAAGAGTTATAAAAACATAGATTAAAATATACAAAACTTATGAGACATGCAAAAATAAAAATTAATAAATAAAACTACTAATTGAATCAGAGTCATTATAACTTTGTCACCTAATTAGACAAACACTGTCTGCTCTTCACACTTCCTTACCGTCTCTCTCTCTCAAAATATATATCTCTTGATATATACATGTACAATGTATCTATATATAATAGTATGAATATAACACAAATATGAAACTATTATGTTACATGAAAATGGGAAAAAAACCCAATGATTACTGTATTAACAGACTTTTTTTCCTTTCTATTCAGGTTGCATTTGCAACTTGGCTGGGTATTTGGTTATGTTTGGTTAGATGTTTGTTTTGTTTTGTTTGTGTAGCACGATATATTCATCACTAGACTACGCAGAATATATAGTGACAAAATATGTCTGTATACAATATAACACAATATAACACAATCAAAACCTTTTGGAAAACATATACAACTGATGAGTCAAATGACAGAAGGAAATAATTGCTGCGATGTAATTTAGTTTTGTTGTGTCGTAAAGTATTTTTAAGGCACTCGAATGTTTATTCAAACGTTAGGAAGTTTACACTAAAAAAAACCACTCGTTTAAAAAGTAGACTTCAATGATATGCCGAAACTTGGAAAAGAAACTTTATCGTGACATCACATCTTAACCCCTTCCAACAAATTCTCATAGAAAACACCAGACAATAATATACCAAGTTTTCCTTATCAAAATACTAAGACTAGTTTTAATAATTTCTGATAATAAATTGATACATTAAATTTATGTTTTTAAGCTGCACAAAAGGTTATAATGACATTCTAGTGTGTTATTGCACCCGTAGCTAATTTTACAAATCGTGTGTATATTATGTTTATGATAATAATGGTGTTATTATTTTAGGCCAATCCCTATGAGGAAGCAGAAACAAACCACCTTGGACAAGCGTGTTGAGGGGCAGGGGAGCACCCACTCTGAAGAGGGTCCTAGTTGTAAAAGATCAAGAAGGAAATAGCAATGACGTAAAGCTGTTGTGAACGTAGATTCTTCTGGCAAAACATGGTATCTGCTCTTGTCTGTATGGACAGGATGATCTTTGAAAAAGCATGACACAAAAAACTTTAATTGCAATTGGTTTGTTAACATTATCAGTAATTACGTCTTCTTGAATTGTCGTTTTGTAACTTCATTTCTTCTCTATTCCTTTTGTGAATTAGTTTAGTACATAGTAAACTTTCGTACCAATACTGTGCTTAAAACGTTCATGTAAATTTTTAAATATTCTTGTTTCCTGCTCAGAATATAAATAGCGTGTTCCTAATTTAAATAAAAGCATGACCAGGAAACTACAAAACATTTTAAATTTGTCGTTTTTTTTTCAAATTGAACAACAGTTGGAAGTTTACGAATTTCCAGCAGTATATGTATTTCAACTTTAAGAAAAATATGAATAACTTAATTATATATAATACTATTATATAAATAATTTTCAATAGAAAGTGTACACAAAATACTTGAATTTTCATTACAATTAAAATAGTTATCTCTCTTTACTAGAGCTATTATTACAATAAAGTTTCGTTATATGATTTAAAATTTGCATTTGTTTTTAATAACTTTCTATTTTTTAAAATTAAAATGCTAATATGACAAATCACATTCAAAAGACTCTGTATATGTAACACAAAGATACGAATCCATAATGCTTAAAAATTTTAGTATTTTACCAGCCCTGTAGGTATATATATTTATTTACAGTAGCAGAAAAAAATGCATTTTAAAGACTTATAAACATTATAGTATTGCAGTATAATTTTGTAACAATGAACCCTTTACCTTGAAGAGTTTGTCTAATACTACAAAACTACATAACAGTAACATATAAAATATTTCTTCTTGCATCTTTAGATCGTAATTTCTCTTTATCTTTACAATTGTTTGGAGTCTGTTGAGACTTATTAAATCAGTCAATAAAAAATATGTATTAAATAAGTCTTGTACGACAAATGCTTTTACTATTTAATATTATACCTAAAGTCAATTTGTGTTATTATTTTTTTTTTATCTAAGAGGTTTTTAAATAATTGTTTATCGAATATAGATATTTTAAATGAATTGTAATAGTTAAATTATTATCTGATCAAATTGAAAATTATATAATCTTGTATTTTGATGGGAGTCAAATTATTTAGAAAGTTGAAACAAAATAGCTGCATCAGAAGTGGGTCAAAAATTGATTCGCCACAAGCCCACAGACAGACAATGTGACCTAATTAAAATCTAATAATTACAGTTTTAATCTTTAGTGGTCCACATAAACATGATTAAATCATCTTGTTATCACTATTGTCTATAAATAAAATATTTCCTCTATTAGACCTGGGCTATTTTCTTAACATTCTTGTCAAACCACTCTCGTGATGATGAATGTATCCGCTCACTTTTCCGGTCGTCTTTACTGCAGCTGAAAACTCGCACAATCACCTCACTAAACTTGCTGGGACTAAGTATGGTACTGACCTGAAAACAACGTTAAACAAAATCCATTGTAGTATTTCATACACACATGTATGTTGAGCGTTTCGTGAGTAAAACAAGCTGAATATATGTGTGAATCAAATTACCATTTGAATGCTGGCAGACCTGAAACAAACAAAACGATAACTCACATGTTCGCTCCTCAGTTGTGTGCCCCTGTTAATGTCGTCCTTATGGTAGACGTTAAGCCTCTCTGTTGGGTTGTTTTTGTTCATGCCAAAGTCCAAGTGAGCTATCTGTGTTGTAAGATAATTTTAATGGATACGTGCTGAATTTTTAAAATTCTATCATGTCTTGAATGTTATCTATGCGTTTTTTACAGACTGAAATGATCATAAAAGCGATGATAATTTGTCAAACATCGTGTATAAACATTTTAAAAATGGAAACCTACCCCGACTACAAAATCGTCAATTTGTAGATCTGAATTAGAACTGTCCGCAATTTCTTTTATTTCTTTTTGAATTTTCGCTTCAGCAATCTAAAATGAATAAAGATAAGAATACATGGGGAAATAATTACACTAGAGCTCAGCGTATACTGCATACATTGAAAGGACTTTGATTTTAGACTATTCTTTGTAACTAAGCTTTTACACCAATTCATTGAAGGGGCGTTGGTTTTAGAGCATGTAACTAATCTTAAGTTTGTAAAACAAGAAGCTTTATTAAATTATTCATATGAAAATACGTAAGTTCATGGTCAGGCTAAAACAAACTGTGAATAAACACACCGTAGACAATTCCTCGGCAGCAACAGGGTAACTCTCGTAGACAGTCTTGTAGAGATCCCTCTTGAAGATTCTGTTGATCAAATCACGTGACTCTTTCAGTCTGGGGTCTGGGCTGTAGAGGATCTTAAAGAGGACGTTGTCGGTCAGTTGTGAGAAGGCTTCCATGTCCTGGCTACACTCGGACATTCGGTACTGTCTGGTTAGAGATTTACACACCCCATTAGACAACCAACCTGATTTCAAGTATAACAGTGACAACCCAAGTCATCGTTGGTAAACAACCCTCCTTACAAGTATAACAGTGACAACCCAAGTCATCGTTGGTAAACAACCCTCACAAGTATAACAGTGACAACCCAAGTCATCGTTGGTAAACAACCCTCACAAGTATAAAAGTGACAACCCAAGTCATCGTTGGTAAACAACCCTCACAAGTATAACAGTGACAACCCAAGTCATCGTTGGTAAACAACCCTCACAAGTATAAAAGTGACAACCCAAGTCATCGTTGGTAAACAACCCTCACAAGTATAACAGTGACAACCCAAGTCATCGTTGGTAAACAACCCTCACAAGTATAAAAGTGACAACCCAAGTCATCGTTGGTAAACAACCCTCACAAGTATAAAAGTGACAACCCAAGTCATCGTTGGTAAACAACCCTCACAAGTATAAAAGTGACAACCCAAGTCATCGTTGGTAAACAACCCTCACAAGTATAAAAGTGACAACCCAAGTCATCGTTGGTAAACAACCCTCACAAGTATAAAAGTGACAACCCAAGTCATCGTTGGTAAACAACCCTCACAAGTATAAAAGTGACAACCCAAGTCATCGTTGGTAAACAACCCTCACAAGTATAACAGTGACAACCCAAGTCATCGTTGGTAAACAACCCTCACAAGTATAAAAGTGACAACCCAAGTCATCGTTGGTAAACAACCCTCACAAGTATAAAAGTGACAACCCAAGTCATCGTTGGTAAACAACCCTCACAAGTATAAAAGTGACAACCCAAGTCATCGTTGGTAAACAACCCTCACAAGTATAACAGTGACAACCCAAGTCATCGTTGGTAAACAACCCTCACAAGTATAAAAGTGACAACCCAAGTCATCGTTGGTAAACAACCCTCACAAGTATAAAAGTGACAACCCAAGTCATCGTTGGTAAACAACCCTCACAAGTATAAAAGTGACAACCCAAGTCATCGTTGGTAAACAACCCTCACAAGTATAAAAGTGACAACCCAAGTCATCGTTGGTAAACAACCCTCACAAGTATAAAAGTGACAACCCAAGTCATCGTTGGTAAACAACCCTCACAAGTATAACAGTGACAACCCAAGTCATCGTTGGTAAACAACCCTCACAAGTATAAAAGTGACAACCCAAGTCATCGTTGGTAAACAACCCTCACAAGTATAAAAGTGACAACCCAAGTCATCGTTGGTAAACAACCCTCACAAGTATAAAAGTGACAACCCAAGTCATCGTTGGTAAACAACCCTCACAAGTATAAAAGTGACAACCCAAGTCATCGTTGGTAAACAACCCTCACAAGTATAAAAGTGACAACCCAAGTCATCGTTGGTAAACAACCCTCACAAGTATAAAAGTGACAACCCAAGTCATCGTTGGTAAACAACCCTCACAAGTATAAAAGTGACAACCCAAGTCATCGTTGGTAAACAACCCTCACAAGTATAAAAGTGACAACCCAAGTCATCGTTGGTAAACAACCCTCACAAGTATAAAAGTGACAACCCAAGTCATCGTTGGTAAACAACCCTCACAAGTATAAAAGTGACAACCCAAGTCATCGTTGGTAAACAACCCTCACAAGTATAAAAGTGACAACCCAAGTCATCGTTGGTAAACAACCCTCACAAGTATAAAAGTGACAACCCAAGTCATCGTTGGTAAACAACCCTCACAAGTATAAAAGTGACAACCCAAGTCATCGTTGGTAAACAACCCTCACAAGTATAAAAGTGACAACCCAAGTCATCGTTGGTAAACAACCCTCACAAGTATAACAGTGACAACCCAAGTCATCGTTGGTAAACAACCCTCACAAGTATAAAAGTGACAACCCAAGTCATCGTTGGTAAACAACCCTCACAAGTATAAAAGTGACAACCCAAGTCATCGTTGGTAAACAACCCTCACAAGTATAAAAGTGACAACCCAAGTCATCGTTGGTAAACAACCCTCACAAGTATAAAAGTGACAACCCAAGTCATCGTTGGTAAACAACCCTCACAAGTATAAAAGTGACAACCCAAGTCATCGTTGGTAAACAACCCTCACAAGTATAGAAGTGACAACCCAAGTCATCGTTGGTAAACAACCCTCACAAGTATAAAAGTGACAACCCAAGTCATCGTTGGTAAACAACCCTCACAAGTATAAAAGTGACAACCCAAGTCATCGTTGGTAAACAACCCTCACAAGTATAAAAGTGACAACCCAAGTCATCGTTGGTAAACAACCCTCACAAGTATAACAGTGACAACCCAAGTCATCGTTGGTAAACAACCCTCACAAGTATAAAAGTGACAACCCAAGTCATCGTTGGTAAACAACCCTCACAAGTATAAAAGTGACAACCCAAGTCATCGTTGGTAAACAACCCTCACAAGTATAAAAGTGACAACCCAAGTCATCGTTGGTAAACAACCCTCACAAGTATAAAAGTGACAACCCAAGTCATCGTTGGTAAACAACCCTCACAAGTATAAAAGTGACAACCCAAGTCATCGTTGGTAAACAACCCTCACAAGTATAGAAGTGACAACCCAAGTCATCGTTGGTAAACAACCCTCACAAGTATAAAAGTGACAACCCAAGTCATCGTTGGTAAACAACCCTCACAAGTATAAAAGTGACAACCCAAGTCATCGTTGGTAAACAACCCTCACAAGTATAAAAGTGACAACCCAAGTCTAAACAATCTATATTACTATGGCTGACCTAAATTGGCATTAAAAAATGTTCATTTCACAAAAGTGTTCGTTTATTCAGAAAAACCACAATACTGATTACATTTTTTAATTTAACATCATATAGAATGTAGATGACTTTTACCCTCATATATGGCCTTCGTGCCTACAATTGTTAACGTTTTTTTGAAATAAATTTGAATAAATTCGAATTTGAATAAATTTGAAATTTGAATATTGTTTGTGATATAATTAATCTTTTTTTTGATATAGTAGCATACCAGTAAAAATAATAAGGCATTGTATCGTAGTGTTAATAGCGTGGTAAGGTCTGCGATCTGCCACTGACGGTACTTTTTCTCTCTGACATACGTGTTGCACGGGGAACAAAGTGTCGACCATGTGTGCAACAGTTTATGTTGTATGTGAATGTGTATGTGCCTAATTAGTACCAGCAAAAATATTACATCTAACTTACCTCTGTAAACCTTGGAAGAATATAAAGTCATTGGCCTTCAGCAAAGCCGTCTTCACCCTGATGGTAAATGTGTAGGTGACATCGTTCATATATTTTAATAACGCAATTTTGAATGCTGAGAATACAATTAGATAGACATATTAAACCGTTTTTAGTTGGATGGGTGTCTCTTACTTACATGGCTTCGATAGCACATTTGACCTTGTGTTGGTACGCTTGCTTGTGTAAGTTGAATCTGGTGTAAAACATGTTGTACAGATTCGACATTTCCTGCAACATACAACAGATTAATTGGTGTAAAACATGTTGTACAGATTCGACATTTCCTCCAACATACAACAGATTAATTGGTGTAAAACATGTTGTACAGATTCGACATTTCCTACAACATACAACAGATTAATTGGATTTCGTGTGAAACGTTGCAAAGAGTTGACATTTCCTACAACATACAACGAATTCTTTCAGACAGATGCTGCCGGTGGTAATGCAGGTAGAATTATACAGAATGTAGAAATACATGAAATCTCACCTTTTCTCTAATACAAATCTGCAATTGACCATCCACCTCTATAACTCTGGCAAACTTCATGTAGCGAGTGTAGTCGAAGTTGTTGCTGATACCCAGATGATGACAGTCTCGGGCGAAATAATCGAATTTATCCACGTCAATGCCGTTACGTTTGTTGGAGACTATCTGAACATTAGAAATTAAAATAGCATATCATCATACATTTTATTTTAGATTTGTTTACATCACACTAATGATAGTATATACACCAAAATATATCTCATGTTTTTTTCATTGGGCTAATTAATTAAAGAAACTACATGTCACAAGTAAGTAGTAATTATGGAGACATTTAAGTTGTGCTGATTTAATTACAATTCAATGTCAATCAAGAGATTAGGCTCGTGTATCCCAGCCCCCTACCTCTAACACACACAAAATTAACCAACCTCGTACAAATAGGCTTTTTCCTTGCCTCTGCCTTTATACTTCCATTCCTGAGAGGAAAAAGCCAACTCATTAAGTGCACGCTGTTTTACAACACCATATAATTAAAAACAGTTTTTGTTAAATGAAGCGTCCACATATTTCATCTACACAGTGGATAATAACAAATGATAACAAGTAGAGCAATCAAAAATTATTATGCATACATTAATTGAATAAATAAATATATTTTATACTTACCCCCTGTAGGTATGTCGTATCCCCAGAAATCTGTTCCTCTATAAACAAAATGTCGTTATCATCCAGCCCAAAACTTCTCAATTTCCCATCTGCTTGCATTAACCGGTTCTCTTGTACCAAATGTCGGAACATTCTCACGGATATTGACTCATGCTGTTGAAGAGAGGCTGAACATTTTATTTTCAGAACAATTTGTGTAACTCTCAGTCTACAATCTACGACTACATGGGACTAAATATTACAGACTTAATATCAAAGTATCACATAGGCTAGTATAATTTCTTCAGGACAAAGTTTGGGAGGACTAAAATACCTTACAGACATAATACCGGCAAGAAATGTTTCAGACAAAGTAAATATATTTAACCAAATATTTCAAAACTAAATATCTCAGAAAAAATATCTAAATATTTATTTTAGTCGACTTTTATTGTTTCTTCTTTCATAGAATATAGCTTCTTTTACTTTTCAATTTGAAAGAGATAAAGCTAAATCTTTTACAACTCGATCGAGTATTTTCTTCTCAATTTAACGTTTTAAGAACATTTATTCAAAAGTTTTCATACCGTCGTTTCCTTCGACGTTTCAACACTTGGAAGAAATTGTTGATCGAAGAAGTGTGACAAAATGCCATGTCCTTATTGAAAAGTAAATATTATTTAAATTAAATACGTAACCCATGAAATGAAATACATTTATGAATGACTATAGCACTTTATTTTTAAATGATTGAAGAATTCTAAAGATACTTTGGAATCTACACACGAATATATGAAAGTAAAATGGTTTACCCAAATCATGACACAGACCGGCTATCTCCACACACAAAATATCTTTGTCAGAAATACCCAGGAATGGCTGGTTTTGTTTTAATGTCCGCACAAACACACCAGCCAAATGACATGTGCTGAAATATTTATAACATTACACACATATAATATATATATACATATTATATATATATATATATATATATATATATATATATATATATATATATATATATATATATTTATATATATATATATATATATATATATATATATATATATATATATATGTATAAATATATATATTTATATATATATATATATATGTATACATATATATATATATATATATATATACACATAGATTAGTAGGTTAGGTGGCAGAATTTTTACATAGTAGCTTATGAGGAAGCATTGAAATAGAGAGAAGCATGCTTCTTAGACTTTCGATTTTTTAAAACATCCTAAAGACCTTATCGTTAAAGTTTCATGCGTTTAACGTACATCAAAATGAGCGTAATTAAATCCTTTATCGATCGGTATTAGTTTTAGCGTATGGCAAAAATTATACGGACAATAAACTTTAAAAAACCTCAAGCTCATTACAGCCGACAAGTTGATTTTTCGATTATTTCCCTTGGTTTAATTTCTACAGTAGAAACAATACTTCGCTATGCGCTCAAAAATCAACGCGCCTATATAGACAAAACGTTTCTCTTTTCGGCAGACCATGCCTGTTTAATGTTTTAATAAAGATTTAATGTGAACAAGCATACAATCCTCAGCAGTATTTTAAAGACCCTAGATGAACTTAAAAAAGTGTAGTGCATCATTTAAATTAACAATAGCCAATGTGTAAACGTACTTTTAGATTTAGGTGTAAGGCTTGGTGAATATTCAGGTGAGATTGTAAATGTTGGAAATAGTGAAAAAAAAAAAGGATGTTATTGATAGTGTTTTGGTAGCTGTAAAGCTGTGAGTGTAAGTGTACGGGTCGATGTATGGGTATTACGTAATGCGATAAGTATGCGTGTGGGTGCGGGAAAGTCGCGGATTTGTGTGTATTTTTTATGAACTTAAAACTGTATTAAATTTCCGTTTGTCTATTACATAAGGTAAAAACGAATTGTAAAAAAAGATGAAAACGAAAGTTGACGAAATAATGTGTGTACTTAAAATGTAGGTGATGGTGTGGGTACACATAATGCGATAAGTGTGCGGACGGGGGGGTGTGAGGGAAAAGTCACGTAGTTGTGTGTATTTATTATAAACGTTACTATATTATATTATTTCCATATGTATATTATATGAAGGTTAGATAAATGCGATAAGTATGTGTGGGGATGCGGGAAAGTCTCGAAGTCGTGCGTATTTAACTGTATTAAATTATGTCCGTATATATAAAACATCAAAAGTCTTTAAAAATAATTTAAATGAGTTTAAAGAACCCACATAAATAGAAGTGTCACGCTTAAAATATAAATCGATATTTTAGTATCTAAGAGAGTATGTTTGATAATATAGGTACCAGAGATACTTATGTCCATACAATTTGTTTGATCACATTTATACATCAGGAGGTTATTTTGTTTTACATAGGGGTAAAAAGTTATTTCATTTTCATGCGTGTTTAAAGGGGGTGGGTTATAGAGCGATGATAATTTCGACGTTTATCGCAAAATATGGAAAATTTAGGTGGGGTGAATTGGTAAGGTTAACATCATGGGGTGATATTTTAAAATGAAGAATTTTAATATAATCTACACAAAAGACCGCTCCTATACACATGCGACTATATTTTTTTCAAAATCTATTTAAAGCTTTACTTACCAAAAGGGTGTAGGCGGCTGCGAGTATCCGTACCACATTATCCTCTTGTATCCCAAGGTAATTGAAACATATGTATTATTTAGTATGTCCTATTTGTTTAAACATAAACACACACGGAAAAGAAGATGTGAGTCCGAATAACTTTAATTCAATTCATCTGAACGCTAACACTGATTACCTAAATGAAAGAAATGGCCAAGATGAATTACTTAAAATGCCCAAATAATATTCATTTAAGAGCACGAACTTTTATCACAGCACTTAAACAAAATATCCGGAAAACAGGGTCCAGCGTATACAATCATGTGGTTTTAAATTAAGCCATATGATTGGTCACTATAAAAAAAAAACAATCTTTAAAATGAAGGCACTATTAGTTATATTTAAAACCAATGGATAGTTCGTTTTTTCTCAATATGGGTGGAGCTTCCAATTTTGACTGAAATAGTAGAACCCGATCGCAAAATTAGCCCGGCGCATTACCTGTTTAACACAAGTCCGATTGGTCGCCTTTCATCTTCGCACCTTTTTCGTCATACAACCCCTCGCCCCCCCCCCCCCCGTTACGCACAGAGGGCACCCTTTAACAAATCTTGCTAGACGCTTGTCTCTGACTTACATAACATTCGTCTGATACGCTTCAGCAGGTTACACGCTTGGTTTTTTAATCTTGAGTTCAAGGACAGGTCCGGGTAGGGGTTGGGGAAAGAAGGGAGTGGGGATTATCTTACTTAACGAGATACTGATAGTGTTTTAAAACAAATATATTCAGTGGCAGCATTGGTACAGTCGAATTCACAAATTATAAATTACTGAAATGTAGAAAATAAAACAACTAAATAGCGGGTCGGCTCATATAATGTCTCTTCGTAGAGACATTAAAAAACATCACGCAGCTTAGCCACCACCCTCATCCCCACCTGTCAGGTGAGCTGTGGTTCACCCCGAATAATTAAAATAGAAGTGACGGCTATAAGGGGCAGATAAATCAGTTTAGTTTTCCAAACATAGAACTCTAACCCCCACCCCCCTCTTTTCTTTACTATACGATCGAATTTGAAAAGAACATGGGAGGAAGGTCAAGGGGTGGGGGGGGGGGGGGGGGGCTAGGCGTACGTAGGAAGGTTTTGAAAAAGTAATTCAGCACAAATTGAGGCTGGTATGTCGTTGTATATTAATCTTACCAGGTTGGCGGCCCACCTTTAGTGTAAAATAAACACGTGGGAAGCTGACCACACTATCTGTGGTCATTTAAACGATTGTAGAAAAAAAAGTCACAGGAAAAAAGTCACAAACATATATTTGAATGGAATTTGTTAATTTTTTTCTGAATTAAATATTCAGAGAGTGCATATTAACTTAGGATTAATAAAATGCAATTTAATATGTGTAGGTTATATACGCATGGTAATTTTTATAATTCAGCTGAAAATATTTAGTATGAAGTATGTAGATTGTAATTATTTTAAACATAATATTAATGGCGTTTATTAGAATGTTACAAGTTCATCTGACTTGCTGCGCTCAACTCATCGCAACAATAGTTATGATTAGTTCAACCACCTTTACTGGTAAACGGAAAAAAAGTCACAGGAAAAAAAACACAGAAAAAAAGTCACAGTTTTTGCTAGGAAAAAAAGTCACAGAAAAAAAGTCACAGTGGAAAAATTTTATCGGAAAAAAAGTCACAGAAATAAAGTCACAGAAAAAAAGTCACAAAAATGTTTTTAGAAATATTTTGATTTATTTGTTAAGAATTGTCAAATTTTGTATGTTTATTGTTGTGGGTTGTATTTTTTGATAGAATACATTATTTATAGACGTTAAAAGCAGTATGGTGTATAACAATTGTAAGTGAAAATACTCTAATATAAGTTACACAACAATCTCAACACTTTTGTTATGTATTTAGTTAAATACGCGGTAGAAAAGTTAATTATAAAAGAAATTTAGGCAAATTTTACCGTAGGCTATTCTTTGGTCGGCCTCTCCTCAGTAGGCATTGTAAGAACATACTTTGTATTGTTGACGTTATGCGTCATCGACAGCCTTTCAACGTTGTCGGCTTTCTGTTTTGATCCTAAGTTTTGTTATGTAATGAGCGTGATAAATGTGGACAGTAAAGGTGGTTGAACTAAACATAGCTATTGTTGCCATGAGTTGAGGGCAGCAAGTCAGATGAAATTACCATTTCACGGTAATTTAAAGTTGGTATTTTAAAAAAACACGATGAAAACAGTGGACTTTGGAGCATTCTATTAAATGCTAATAATCTTAAGTTTAACATAATTACAATCTACACACTTCAGATTAAATATTTTTAGATGAATTATAAAAATTACTATTCGTATACAGCATACACACATTACATTTAATCAATCCTAAGTTAATTTGCACTCTCCAAATATGTAATTCACAAAAGTATTAACAAATATCATGCAAATATATATTTGTGACTTTTTTTCCTGTGACTTTTTTTCCTGTGACTTTTTTCCTGTGACTTTTTTTCTTTGTTTTTTTTTCCTGTGTTTTTTTTTTCCTGTGACTTTTTTTCCTACAATCCCTTTACTGCCCACATTTATAACGCTCATTACATAACAAAGCGTAGGATCAAAACAGAAAGCCGAAAAAATTCAAAGGCTGTCATTGACACCAAACGCCAACAACACACAATATGTTCGGACAAGGCCGACTGAGGACATATGTGCTTCGCCAGGTCTTCTAAACTATAAATGTATGTAATGTGCGTGCTAAATGTGGGCAGTACCTATTGTTGTGATGAGATGAGGGCAGCAAGTCACATTAACTACGTATAAAAAACTGTATGATATATTATATTTATAAAACACTAGCTGACCCGCGACATAGCATACGCCGCTCTTTAGCTTAATTCCTATTTTTTCAGTTATTCATAATTTGTAAATACGAAACTACCAAAGCTGCGACTGAAAATTTTTTGCTTAAAAACACTATTAGTAGCTAGTGAAGGACATTTATCCTCACCCTCACTTTCCAATCCTCTACCCCCCCCCCCCCACACACACACACTCCGTAAAAGCAGCCGAAAAGGAAAAGAGCAAGCAGAATATGTATTATCTCCCCTTAGTTTCCAATTTTTTAAAAACTGAATTATCTGCCCTTACTAGCCGTCCCTTTCTTTAGACATCACGCAACAATAGTTATGCTTAGTTCAACCACCTTTACCGCCCAAATTTATCACGCTTATTACATAACAAAACTTAGGATCACAACAGAAAGCCGACAAGGTTCAAAGGATCCTTGACACAAAAC